AAAAAAAAAAAAAAAAAAAAGCATACAATTTCTTCAAAGTCACAAATAAACTGTGACTGGTGAAGAAATGGAGCTCTAGAAGAAAGATGAAAATTCTCAAGTGAGATCAAACGGAAGTCCAGAATTAAAAAATAAACGAAAAAAAGCAGCTAAGACCATTCACCTTGCAAGCAGGTCAATACAAATTACTCCAAATGAAGGACAAGATTGAAAAACAATAAAATGTTAAATTAAAAAAAAAAAACTGATAAAAACCATCAACTTAGAAGAGTAAGAAGCTCCCTAAACTGTAATCAGGGGAACAGAAAACCAACTGGACAGAGCTGAGCAGTTATGGAAGTGGCTGGTGAGGAAAAAAGCCAACTGAAGACAGGGAACCAATGGTGAGAGTGACAGTGAGGGTGACGGCTGGCTGTTGCAACCAAGGAATCAAGCCAGGGACACTGTAAAGGGCTGCCAGGGAAAAATGGCCCATCCACAAGTTTCCACTTGGCACAAGTGTCTTAAAAAATGAAGACAAGCAAAGAGGAGCATGGAGTTCATTGGCAGTAGACCTGTGCTACAGCGGACTGCAGGGAGAGCCCCAAACCCAGAGGCCTGGCCCCAGAGGAACTGACTTGCACAGCAGGCACATGCCAGAAACTGAGTGCTCGGTAAGTGTTAAAATGTGCCTTTCTCTCATTTCTTTTACAACACAAAGAACAGTTATATCCATCATGGGGCAGGCACAGCAAGGTTCTCAAGACCTTCACTCACGTGTCACTGGCACAGACGCGGAAGCAGCTCATCAGCAACTCAGCAGCTTTTTCCAGCATGTCCCCGACTTTGCTCTTTCCTTTCTTTACCAACTGCTGATCTGCCTAGCAGAATACAAAAACATTTATTTTCAAAACAGAAATGGGAACAGTTGAGTCCAAGTCCCAAAAGGTTTTAGAGACACCATCTAGTGTGCACCATGGTTTTTAAACAGTCATCTACACGCCAAGTCTGCCTCAAGTTAAGGTGTTGGTCCCCAGCTTTCCCCTGCTTTGCTCACAGTACAGAGCAACTGGTGCCTTCTCTCCTTCAGACAGCAGTGAACACCCGAACAAAAGCTTCTAGAGACGTTAGTCATGGTGAAGCGCGGCTCTTCCCTCGTTCTTAGGAGGGCCTGTGTTAAAGCATGAACCTGCCTGTTTTCTCCTCCTGCCATTTTGCAGACAGTCCCATGCTGAAGGCTATTTAGTGTCCTGACACACACTGGAGGTGTGAGCACCAGGCCAGTGGGCATGGTATCCTCCTGAAACACCAGGCTGCACCAGTGTGGCTGTGAACTCAGCACCAGTCCACAAGCCAGGCACACTGGCTCTGCAGAAGCATCCTTGATGGCACAGCAAACATTATTTTTTACATTTAAGCTTTCTCTGTGATGAAATGGAGGTGTAAAAAACACTTCAGGCCAGGTGCCAGTGGTTCACATCTGTAATGCTACCTACTCAGAAGGCAGAGTTCAGCATTGTGGTTCAAAGGCAGCCCAGGCAAACACTTCATGAGACCCTATTTCAAAATAACCACAACACACAAAAGGGCTGGTAGAGTGGCTCAAGGTGTAGGCCCTAAGTTCAAACCCCAGTACTGACCCCCCCCCAAAAAAAAGTACTTCAGGAACACACCGCCTGATGCCTCTTTCTGAGGGAAGGCATCCCAGCAGAGCAGCTGGAGCTGCAGGCTGTCCTGTTGTTTCTCCTGGAAACACTGGCAAACACAGCACCCAGGGTGCGTGTTGGAGACCATACTTTTAGCGAATGAGATAGATCTGTCACTTCCAGGCAAAGAATTGATGGTATTTGTTGCTGGCAGTATTTGTGCTTTCAATAAAAAAAAAAACCCTACAATTTTGAGGTGAATATGATCAAAGTACAGTAATGATGGAACCTGTTAAAATGTAAAACAAAACAAAACAAAACAAAAAACATCTAGAATTTTGGAAAATGTCTATTGACCACTGTGAGCTTGGCAGCTTTACTTCAACACTTTTCTGATGAGGTATACTAACAAGCACAGGGTTTTATTTACACAGTGAGGGGTCAACATTTGGAACTGTTGTATTATCTTAGTGAGCTGAAACTTTCCAAATGGGGTCTAAACATTTGTGCCTCCCAAATTCATGTGTTGTAATTCTAACACTCAGTGTGATGGTAATAGGTAGGGCCTCTGAGAGGCAATTAGGTTTTGAGGGTGTGCTTATAAGAGACCCCAGAGTTCCCTGCCCCATCAAACATACAGACACACCAAGAAGACGCTGTCTATAGACCCAACAGTGTGCCTTACTAGACACCCAAAGTGCTGGCACCTTGATCTTGGTCTCTGGAACTGTGAGAAATTAGTATCTGCTGTTTATAACTTTCCCAGTCCTTGGCATACTGAGACAGCAACCTGAATTGAGTGAGACAGAACAATGATGCACTATAAAATCATGCATGGGTAATGAGCTGTTTGAAGACAGACCACTGGATTTTAATGCAATCATAGAAAAATTTCATAGCTCTGTTTCAGAGCCACATTGTAACTAACCTTTAGAAAACTGCACACCCGCAATCCCAGCACTCGAGAGGCTAAGGCAGGATTCCAAGTTTGAGGCCAGCCTGGGATTCCTAGTGAGTTCAAAGACAACCTGGCTGTATAGTGAGACCCTATCTCAAAAACAAAACAAAAAACAAAAAACCAACCCTGATACTTGAGTTTTGGTGTAGTGTCAAAAAGAGCTCCCTGCAATGATCTGAAAAGGCTATTGAAATAGTCTCCCCTTTCTGTTGACGTCTGTCTTCAAACACCTCAACGTGAACATGATGGTGCAATGGTGTGTGTGCAGAAGGAGCAAGTCTTCAGAAGGGTTCTGTTAAAACTGAGCATTAAGAGCTTGAGATGTAGCTAGGCGCCAGTTGCTCACGCCTGAAATCCTAGCTACTCAGGAGGCAGATCAGGGGTATCCAGGTTTGAAGCCAGTCTGGGAAAATAGTTCACAGCACTGTATTTCAAAAATATCCAACACAAAAAAGGGTTGGTGGAGTGGCTCATGGTAGACAGCTTGCCTAGCAAGAGTGAAGCACTGATTTCAAACCTCCACCCCCAAAAAAGAGCTTGAGATGTGAGGTAATGGCACTCTCCTTAATGAATTTTGTCTTGTAAATATAGTTAGCTTTTATTTAGGTCAGTGATATTAACAGGCAAAGGATTTATTATTATTTTTAAAAGAATATTTGAAGAATTTCCCATTTAAAATTTCTAAGATGGCAAATATAAACGAATATAACAGAAATAAACAAAAGTTCTCTGGGGTCTTCAGGTAACATTTTTTTACCTGAAGTTTCCACTTTACATCTTACTGAGACTGTTGACATTTTTATTTGCTTCAAGCATGTTCACTACTGCTCACTCAGTGTTTTTATAAGGGCTGCTTCAAAATCCCCATCAGGTAATTCCAACAACTATTGTCATCTCTATTGGAAGTATTCTCATTAAAGTCTTAAGAAGTTGATCATGCCTGTAATCCTAGCTACTTGGGAGGCAGAGATCAGGAGGGTCACAGTTCAAAGCCAACCTATACAGTTCAAAGCAAACAGTTTGAGAGGCCCTATCTCGAAAAAAACCTACCACAAAAAAAGGGCTGGCAGGGTGGCTGAAGGTGTAAGCATTGAGTTCAAACCCCAGTACCACAAAAAACAAACAAACAAAAAAAAGTTGAGATTCTCCTCGTCCTTGGCATGATTGCTGATTTTTTGTTGTATCCTAGACCTTTGGGGTATTGGAACTTCTGACCTTATGTACCCTGTTTCCATAGGCCTCTGCTGACCCGTGCTAGCAAAGAAGAGGCCTGATCTCTTGGCTGCTGAGTGGAGTGGGGTCCAGGCCCCTTACTCCTTTGCTGCCATGGTGGGTGGGGCCTACAGACTTGCAGGTGGAACACAGCACTGAAAGGCAGATACCATCACAGATAGTGCTGTCTCTTGGGCTGGCCTCCATCGGGGGTATTTTTGTCTCCATCTATAGGCACATCCATATATGTTTTCCCAGACCCTGTGTCCCAGTCAGACAGGAGGCAAACAGGAAATGCTCCCACTTGACTTTGTGGGTCCCTGCCCTTCCCTCCCCAGTGTGACTCTGACGCTCACACCTATCTTTTGGAGAAAGAATAGGAGAAATCTATCTATTCCATCTGATCTGGGCCCAGAAATCATAGACAATTTAAAGGGAGCCTAAGACTACAAAGACGACAACTGTGGTCCCACAACTGGCTTATGCAGCCCCAGGGAGGTCACATCACAAAATACAGGACCTTTACCCTCACATCAAAGAAGCCAACCCCCGGATCTACATTAAACTACAATTTCTTAGGACAGGGAACAGGCCACATCTCCCTGTTACTGTTCCACCCCCTAAATGGTTAACAACGTGTGGGTAGCCCTGCACTGACAGTGTGAGAATCTGAACAATCTCATTACTGGATCAGTGAGAGGGGACAGTCAGCCAAGCCACCTCCTGGTCTTTTGCTTCCTATACTAGATGCACACCACCTCCCACTCATTCCTCAAAACTTTTGGGAAAAGAGACATAAAATCAAGCAGCAGAAAGTGACCAAGTTTTAGTTCTAAACAGCAGCGAGAGAAAATGGAACTTACATTGTTGGCAAATACTCGAAGGTCAAGTGCTACTGCATACATGACAGGCAAGGCCCTATGGGCAGAAAGCAAGTACATTTGAAGAGCCACAAAGTCCAAGATCTCACCCTAAGAGGGAGAAGGACACTGGCACCCAGGGCGACTCAGAATGGCATCCACACCCTCCTCAACTCTGATGACTACTGTCTGCTTCCTTACATTTCATCCTGGCAGGCTTCAGCCCCAGGCTTCCTGACCAACCTAGAGGCCCCTGTTTGGTCCACACCACTATCCCACCCCTACTTGGGCATGGGCCCTGGTCCAGCTGGAGGCTCCTAGGACTTCTCCTTTCCCTATCTTCCCATCACTAACAAACAGCTCCATTTAAAAAAGATGTGGCTTGGCCAAGTGTGTTGGCTCACACCTGTAATCCCAAATACTTGGGAGGCAGAGATTGAGAGGATTATGGTTTGAGGTCAGCCTAGGCATAAAGTTGGTGAGACCCTGATCTCAATCAATAAGCTGGGCATGGTGGACATGCCTATGATCCTAGCTACGCAGGAGGTCATAGATAGGAGGGTCATGGTCTGACGCTAGCCCTGGGCAAAACACCCCTATCGCCCTATCTGAAAAATAACAAACAAAAAGTCCTGGGGCATGGCTCATGGGGTAGAGTGCCTAGCAAGGGTAAGGCCCTGAGCTCAAACCCCAGTATCACCGAAATTTTTTTTTTAAATGACATGCTTTAACAAGATTTCTGAGTAGGAACCAGAGTGTATAATGCAGCCAATGTCATAAAACAGTGTTGGGTATATCTAGCTGGCAACACTGGGCTTCCTATCCTGTGTAAGCTAAGTCTCCACTTAGAAAGGGAAAAGGGCTGGGATGTTTGTGTAATCAAAAATTACATATTTGCCTAGTGTGTTAATAAATTATAAATCCTCAAAATAAAAATTAGTTTGTCGAAACATTTAAACAGCCAGGCAGAACGGTGCATGCCTGTAATCCCAGCACTTAACAGGTTGAGGTCGGAGGATCGTGAGTCTGCAACCTAGCTGCAGAGCGAGACCTTGTAAAAAGCCGGGCGTCAGTGGCTCTCATATGTAACCCTAGCTGCTCAGGAGGATCCCGGTTTGAGGCCAAAACAGAAAAACCCCATTCAAAAATACCTAACACAAAAAGGGCTGTCAGAATGGATCAAGTAGGTACAGTGCCTACCTAGCAAGTGTGAGGCCCTGAGTTTAAACCTCTGTTCTACAAAAAAAAAGGACTTTTACAGCAACCCAGTTATTATGTGTATCACACTAAATGAACTATACTCGGTCTGACACTTTTATCCAAAGTAAACTCAAAATTGACAACTGAAGGAAAAAAACAGTACTCAATAAATATTTGGGAGAAAGGAAGTGTCGAAATAGAAATTATTCTCAGTATAAAAATAACACCAAGAATCTGGCTGACCTGTCAGTCAAGTTCACACAGCTAGTATGATTTTGTCATGCCACAGGACATTATATGTCCACAGAGAAAACACAATACCTGCCTAAAGCAGACTTTAAAGGGCTCTGTGAAAGAAACTGCTACTCACCAATCTCCAGTTGTTGCTGCTCCTACTTACCAGTTTTCTTCTTTGTGGGCCTGAAACGCCCGCAGGAATGATGTGCAATGTTAAGGAAGGTATGATATGCAACACTCAAATCATGATACAGATGGCAAAAAAAAGAATAAGGAAGATTCTAAATTTTAAGGGGTTCAGCACACCCTTTAAAAGATATTATGTGTGTGTTAGGCTTGGGGGGTCTGCTGCAGTGGGTAAGGCACTTGCCTAACAAATGCAAGGCCCTAGCGTGGCAAAAAAAAAAAAAAAAAAAAAAAAAGAATACATATATATATATATACATATATATATATATATATATGCCACAAAAGTAATATGTTCTTGAAGAAAAAAGCCCACGTTACAAATATCAGTAAGCCTAAGTCTACTAAATATATTTATTTCATACATCTTTCTTCAGAGTTAGAACACTTTATTATAAAATTTTTAGAAGTTTGTTTGGGTTCTCTGAGCCCAAATGGTCATGAGTTATCTTTAAGTGCTTCAGAATCTGTAGTGTAACACTTATTTTTACCAATTCTAGAGTTTTGCTGGGTATATTTAAACAAGACAGTTTAAATCTGGAGATCAATACAAATACTTAGAATATCCATCAGTTAGGACCTTCACTGTAAGATGTCATCCAATTAAGCTAAGTTGGCCTGGTGAAGACCGTGTGTCTTAGTCCACTCTGCACCATGTAGGCCTGAACTGTGGACTTCTGCTATTTCACCAAGAGGACTTAACCAGCTTCCACAAGTGGACTCAATGACTTAAAGGCAAGAAGGTATTATTCTTCAACAGAATTAATGAAAGCCCTCCTATTTTTTTCCCTTTCAGTGCTAGGGACCAAACTTAGTGCCTTGCACTTGCTAGGCAAGCACTGCATCACTCAGCTGAGCCCCAATCCCAAATTGTCTCTCTTCTCCAGTGCTTTTCTTCAAACTGGGAGACTCTTTAAGATCTGTGCTGAACTTTGGTACCAAAGAGAAAAAGCTAAAAGGAGTTTCCCTTCCAAAATATTTTAGTTCCTTTCTAATTGTAGGTTTGAACAACTGGCCCAAGATTTCAAATCTCAAATCCCAATAACCCACTGTACCTGTTACCCATTTCACAGCTACCTCTGTGACAAAAGATATTGGACTATCACCGTCTGGCATTTGTAAGCTTCTATGAAGTCATGGTTCCCCACCGCATAGGTGCACCTGCAATAGGTGTCAGAAAGAGCATTTATACAATGAAAACCTAGAAGCCAGCCATGTAAGCCAGAGTTCAATTCTGCCACAACCCCCTAGTTCTCTACTGGTCCTGGAAGGAAAGCTGAAGCTCCTGTTTGACAGCTAACAAAAATTGGAAGGAGGAAATGCAGATGACTATTTGGTGTAAAGGGGAATGCCACATGAAGCTGTGAGACTACTCTGTCAAGCCTCACAAGGGGACAGCTCCAGTAGGTTTGAGTAAATGGACTGATGATTCTGCATGGCCCTTCCCTTCTGCCAGTGGGCTGACCAGGGTGCTCTAACTGAATTCCTTCTGGGCAGTCAGAATCAGTTCATCATCAGATCTGGAACCACACTGTACACCGCACAGAAAGATAATCACAGGGTGTCTTACAGAACAAGGAACGCAGTGGCACCACAACACTTCCAAAGACCTTGCTGGTTTTCAGGGTTTCCCTGCTCCAGATCTCACCTTGCCCACACCCGGCCTGTTCTAAAATGCTACAGGCATGCAGGCAGAAGGGCAGACAAATTCACATGGCGTTAGGACACAAAGTTCTCCCTAATGGAGAAACAGAAGTGGCAGACACATGTAAATCAAAGGAAGCATTTTCTGCTTAACTCAGTTTCTTTCCCAACAAGGTGAGGAGGTTAAAACTGGACACATTTCCTGAAAAAAGCAAGTCCTCAGTCAGGCTCAACACACGAGTAATAAAAGACCACGGCCCAGGAAGTGTGATGAGTACCAAGTGATTTTTTTATAGCGTGACACAACAGTCACATAACACCTGCAAAGGCTTTGCCATGAGGTTAGAAATGTGCTCTCTTACTTTTCAAAGTCATCTCTGACAGCTGCAAGCAAAAGAGGACAGAAGGTAAAAATCCCCAGAGAGCTCAGCAACTTCCAGCCGTGCTTTTCTTCACTGGCAAAACGTTACCTTAAATGAGCTGCAAACATTTCATCATAAGGGGGTTCCAAAACTTGCTGACATTTCTCTTCTGGAGAGGCCATCTGATTTATAAGGAGAAAAATGGCCAAAAATAAAACTCATGGGCACAGAAGAATGCACTGTATCTATAGAAAGAGATTTAGACAACTCTTTCAAAATGCCATAGTTCACATTAATAGTCTTAGCATTTCTAATAAAGATTCATTATTTCAACAATATTTATCAGGATTTCAACGGAGTATGAAGTCCATGAGTTCAATTCGGTTTTGCCTGGTGCAGACCAGAAAATATCCTAGGCACTTCCACAGCATTTTAAAATTTACAAGCCAGTTAGTCAAGAACATTTATTAAGCAACAAGCTGAGATGATACCATGTGAGAAATCACTCCCAGTTTTCTGCAGGGAGCATGTTTCCTTGGCTAGTGGCTGACATTAATTTCTAACTTTCCTTTCTTCCCAACAGTCAAATTTTAGATGGTTTGATGCTTCATGTCACCTTGATGCCATGGGGCACCCAGAGGAAATGTCTTCTGGTGTGTAAATGAGATTGGCATTGGAGTCAGTGGCTCTGGAAAGCCACTCCAGAGGTTGAGTGCCCTCTAACCTGCTGAGGGCCTGAATAAAGCAGAAGGGGGAAGAGCGGGGCCCTACATCCTAGCTCCAGGCTATTGCATGAGCTGGGACACAGTTCATCTTCCCTGACCCTTGCACTAGGATCTCCACCACTGGCCCTGGTTCTCAGGCCTCTGTACTCTGGACTGGACTATAAGCCTAGCTTTCTTGGGCCTCCTGTTGAAGATGGCAGATCACAGGCCTCTCAGCCTCCATAATCACATGGCCCAGTTTCACACAGTAAATCAATCTGTGTGTGTTTGTGTACATATAGACTATAGCAAAGTGATTTAGAAGAAAAAAAGAATCAGTGAGTTCTCACTGATATAGTAAGTATACATGCGTATTTACAAATATAAAGGTGGACTATCAGTAGAATCACCACGTGGCCCCTTATGAGATGACTGATTCAGACGTGGCCACCAGTGAAGGAATTATCAGATGTGAGGTCAATGAGGTGTTTTATAGGCAGATGGGGGTCCCCCAAATGAACTACACAATGCAAGCATGCTGCACCAACAGAGGGGTGCTCTGGTCAAGACACCCTGACTCTTCTCAAGTCTGAGGCACTAACTCCCACTCAGGGCGTGGCTCTCAATGCCATCTGTCCACCAGAACCACCCAGGGGCACTGATACCCTGCTAGCACTCGGGACTGATGGATTTGGTAAGTCACACACTCCACTATTATGGGAGTCAGCACAAAAATAGGACTTTACAAAACAGGAACACTTTCTACATAAAGTACTGTATGGATGCCATTTAAACTCCAAATCAAGGATGCTTGCATTTTCAAGCAGAGGTTGGCAAATCTCTCTGAAAGGGCAGATAAACATTTCAGGCTTTGTAGCACCTGTGCTTGTTGTGGCAGGAAGGCAGCCAAAACATTCAACAGGGACATGACTGTCCTAACAGATCTCGCTGCCAACCCCTCAGGGCACAGGGCCTTGGTTTGCTGGCCCATTTTCAAATAGGAACTTGCATGGGATTCACCTGTGGTGTATGGTGGCTATTAGGTTCAGGGGAACAGACAGATCTTGACCGGGTCTAAGCTCCAGAGCCTTCCCCCAGATGACCTTAATATGCCACTCACTTTAAGCCCGAGTTACGGAGGACTTAAATATAAGAATATGAGGTACAGGGCTCAATATATGAAATAAGATTACATATATCTCAAAGAACTTTGAAATTTTCAAACCAAAATGGTGATATCAGTTTTCTTCTACTCAAATTTTTACCTTCTCCAGAGAACCGGCTGCCCCACAGTTCTCTCTGGACACCATGTGCATAGCTCCCACCTACCTGCAGCCGTGGGTTTGCAACATGAGGGTGCTTGAAAGACACCAACTCTGCACAAGATGCGCCATCTCTGGTGTCAATTGCTTCATACACCTGAAACATGACAGGGAAAACTTAGGTAGACAGGAAAATGTCCTATTCTACTAGGACATAGCCAACACACTACACACCACTAAAAACAATTTTCTCCTACTTAAAAGGTATCAGAATAATTGAAATGTAGAAAGTCAACACTCTTGAGCCAGTAAACACTAATTTCATTTCAAGATGGGATCTTCCAGAGGCAAGAAAACAGATAAAGCAGAATAAACCAGTGGTGTACTACTTGGTGATTAATGAAAGTAAATTATTCTAGTTTCACTTGGTCACACTAACAATATACTCAAAAATTCAATTATAGATTCCAAGATGGCAGCTAGAGGTAGGAAGCAGAAAGCGAGCCTCCTATAGTGAAATCTTGGAGAGACGCTGGAGACACACTTTGCAGGCATAATCACCGAGAAAAGGCATAACTTTGACCCCTCCACATCTCCAGCCGGCGCAGAGAATCTCCACTTCACGTTAAACGGAGAAACGAGGAGGGCCCCCAGGGCCGCCAGTGGCCGGCGCCCATACGGCTTGGGAAGACGCAGACCAGCTTACTGTCGATTAGTACACTAACACTCCCTGTTTATACCTTTGAAACTCTCTTGTCTGATACCTTGTTCTGCTTTCTCCCTCTTGTCTGTATATTTGTTTTCCCCTTTTCTTTAACTTCTTGCTTTCCATCTCAGCTCACTCTTCCATTCTAAATATTACCATTGTTATTATTACAAGCTAGAAAATACTTAATTACACACAGTACAGGGACAGTAACAACACCAAGGACAATGACGGGAAGACAGAAAAAACAGGGAAACCAGTTTCCCCACAGCAAAAAATTAGTACAGGAACCAGAGGGGAATGAAGAGAACAGAAACTCAGATCCAGACTCCAACAAAATGAAGATAAACTATGCCAAAGGACCCAATGAAGCCCACAAGAATAATTTAAAAGAAGACATACTATAAGTACTCAACGAGAATTTTGTAGAGATGATACTGGATAGGGTCAACCAAAATGTACAGGAGACACTCAAGAAATTCCAAGACAATAAAAATAGAGAATTTGAAAAAGCAAAAGAAGAAATAAAGGAAACCATAGAAGCACTGTATAAACACCAAAGTGAAAGAAAGAACACAATGAATAAATGGATAAATGAACTCAGGACAAAAATAGACAACAATAAAGAAGAAAACTGCCAGGATATGGAAAACCTCAGAAAAAAGAACGAAACAGAACTGCAAAACAAAACGGAAGGCCAATCCAGCAGAACAGAACAAACAGAAGACAGAATCTCAGAACTTGAAGATGAAATGGTAATTAAAGGAAAAACCGAAGAACTATTAATTAAACAACTCAAGACCTGTGAAAAGAAAATGCAAGAACTCACTGACTCCATCAAAAGACCAAACTTGAGAATCATGGGCATCGAAGAAGGAGAAGAGGTACAAGTGGAGGGAATGCGTAATATATTCAACAAAATAATAACGGAAAATTTCCCAAATCTAGAGAAAGATATTCCCATACAAATGCAAGAGGCCTCCAGGACACCAAACAGACCAGATCAAAATAGAACTACTCCACGACATATCATCATTAAAACAACAAGTTCAGAAACTAAGGAAAGAATATTGAAGGCTGTAAGAGAGAAAAAACAAGTAACATACAAAGGTAAACCCATCAAAATCACAGCAGACTTCTCAACAGAAACATTAAAAGCAAGAAGAGCGTGGGGTGAGATCTTCCGGGCACTGAATGAAAATAACTTCAACCCCAGGATACTCTACCCAGCAAAGCTATCATTCAAAATAGATGGAGCAATAAAAGTCTTCCATGATAAGCAGAAACTAAAACAATATGTGACCACAAAGCCACCATTACAAAAGATTCTGCAAGGGATCCTGCACACAGAAAGTGACACCCAACTTAACCATGAAAAGGCAGGCAGCACCAAACCACAGGAAAAGAAAAAGCAAGACAGTAGAGAGTAACATCAAGTTAGGTACACACAATCAAACCTTCAAACAACTAAGACAACTAAATGGCAGGAATCACCACATACCTATCAGTACTAACGCTTAATGTTAATGGACTTAATTCACCCATCAAAAGACACCGTTTGACAAAATGGATTAAAAAGAAGATCCAACAATTTGTTGCTTACAGGAGACTCATCTCACCGACAGAAATAAGCATATGCTTAGGATGAAAGGCTGGAAGAAGATTTACCAAGCCAATGGCCCCAAAACAGCAGGAGTAGCAATACTTATCTCTGACAAAGTAGACTTCAAACCTACATTGATCAAACGAGATAAAGAAGGACATTCCATACTAATAAAAGGGGAAATAGACCAAAAGGAAATAATAATCATCAATCTGTATGCACCCAATGTCAACGCACCCAATTTCATCAAACATACCCTGAAAGACCTAAAAGCATATATAAACGCCAACACAGTGGTTGTGGGAGACTTTAACACTCCATTATCATCAATAGATAGGTCATCCAAACAAAAACTCAATAAAGAAATCCAAGATCTAAAATATGCAATAGATCAAGTGGACCTAGTAGATGTCTACAGAACATTTCATCCAACCTCTACACAATATACATTCTTCTCAGCAGCCCATGGAACCTTCTCCAAAATAGATCATATCCTAGGCCACAAAGCAAGCCTCAGCAAATACAAGAAAATATAAATAATACCATGCATACTATCTGACCACAATGCAGTAAAAGTAGAACTCAACAACAAAAGTAAAGACAAAAAACATGCAAACAGCTGGAAACTAAGTAACTCATTACTTAATGAAGAATGGATCATTGATGCAATAAAAGAGGAAATTAAAAAGTTCCTGGAAGTCAATGAAAATGAAAACACAACCTATCAGAACCTACGGGACACAGTTAAGGCACTCTTAGCCATGAGTGCATATATTAAAAAGATTGAAAGATCCCAAATCAATGACCTAATGATACATCTCAAACTCCTAGAAAAACAAGAACAAGCAAATCCCAAAACAAATAGAAGGAGAGAAATAATAAAAATAAGAGCTGAAATCAACGAAATAGAAACCAAAAAAACCATACAAAGAATTAATGAAACAAAAAGTTGGTTCTTTGAAAAAATAAACAAGATCGATAGACCCCTGGCAAACCTGACTAAAATGAGGAGAGAAAAAACCCAAATTACTAGAATTAGGAATGCAAAAGGGGAGATAACAACAAACACCATGGAAGTCCAGGAAATCATCAGAGACTACTTTGAGAACCTATATTCAAATAAATTTGAAAATCTAAAAGAAATGGACAGATTTCTAGATACATATGATCATCCAAAACTGAACCAAGAGGAAATTAATCACCTGAATAGATCTATAACACAAAATGAAATTGAAGCAGCAATCAAGAGTCTCCCCAAAAAGAAAAGTCCAGGACCTGATGGATTCTCTGCTGAATTCTATCAGACCTTTAAAGAAGAACTGATACCAACCCTCCTTAAACTGTTCCACGAAATAGAAAGGGAAGGAAAACTGCCAAACACATTTTATGAAGCCAGTATTACACTTATCCCAAAACCAGGCAAAGACACCTCCAAAAAGGAGAACTATAGGCCAATCTCCTTAATGAACATTGATGCAAAAATCCTCAACAAAATAATGGCAAACCGAATTCAGCAACACATCAAAAAGATTATTCACCACGACCAAGTAGGCTTCATCCCAGGGATGCAGGGGTGGTTCAACATACGAAAATCAATAAACGTAATAAACCACATTAACAGAAGCAAAGACAAAAACCACTTGATCATCTCAATAGATGCAGAAAAAGCCTTTGATAAGATCCAACATCATTTCATGATAAAAGCTCTAAGAAAACTAGGAATAGAAGGAAAGTTCCTCAACATTATAAAAGCTATATATGACAAACCTACAGCCAGCATTATACTTAACGGAGAAAAATTAAAACCATTCCCTCTAAAATCAGGAACCAGACAAGGATGCCCACTATCTCCACTCCTATTCAACATAGTACTGGAATTCCTAGCCAGAGCAATTAGGCAAGAAGAAGGAATAAAAGGAATACAAATAGGTAAAGAAACTGTCAAAATATCCCTATTTGCAGACGACATGATCCTATACCTTAAAGACCCAAAAAACTCTACTCAGAAGCTTCTAGACATCATCAATAGCTATAGCAAGGTAGCAGGATATAAAATCAACATAGAAAAATCATTAGCATTTCTATACACTAACAATGAGCAAACGGAAAAAGAATGTATGAAAACAATTCCATTTACAATAGCCTCAAAAAAATCAAATACCTAGGTGTAAACCTAACAAAAGATGTGAAAGACCTCTACAAGGAAAACTATACACTTCTGAAGAAAGAGATTGAGGAAGACTATAGAAAGTGGAGAGATCTCCCATGCTCATGGATTGGTAGAATCAACATAGTAAAAATGTCGATACTCCCAAAAGTAATCTACATGTTTAATGCAATTCCCATCAAAATTCCAATGACATTCATTAAAGAGATTGAAAAATCTACTGTTAAATTTATATGGAAACACAAGAGGCCACGAATAGCCAAGGCAATACTCAGTCAAAAGAACAATGCAGGAGGTATCACAATACCTGACTTCAAACTATATTACAAAGCAATAACAATAAAAACAGCATGGTACTGGCACAAAAACAGACATGAAGACCAGTGGAACAGAATAGAGGACCCAGATATGAAGCCACACAACTATAAGCAACTTATCTTTGACAAAGGAGCTAAAAATATACGATGGAGAAATAGCAGCCTCTTCAACAAAAACTGCTGGGAAAACTGGTTAGCAGTCTGCAAAAAACTGAAACTAGATCCATGTATATCACCCTATACCAAGATTAACTCAAAATGGATCAAGGATCTTAATATCAGACCCCAAACTCTAAGTTGATACAGAAAGAGTAGGAAATACTCTGGAGTTAGTAGGTATAGGTAAGAACTTTCTCAATGAAACCCCAGCAGCACAGCAACTAAGAGATAGCATAGATAAATGGGACCTCATAAAACTAAAAAGCTTCTGTTCATCAAAAGAAATGGTCTCTAAACTGAAGAGAACACCCACAGAGTGGGAGAAAATATTTGCCAACTATACATCAGACAAAGGACTGATAACCAGAATATATAGGGAACTTAAAAAACTAAATTCTCCCAAAACTAATGAACCAATAAAGAAATGGGCAAGTGAACTAAACAGAACTTTCTCAAAAGAAGAAATTCAAATGGCCAGAAAACACATGAAAAAATGCTCACCATCTCTAGCAATAAAGGAAATGCAAATTAAAACCACGCTAAGATTCCACCTCACCCCTGTTAGAATAGCCATCATCAGCAACACCACCAACAACAGGTGTTGGCGAGGATGCGGGGAAAAAGGAACCCTCTTACACTGTTGGTGGGAATGTAACTAGTACAACCACTCTGGAAAAAAATTTGGAGGCTACTTAAAAAGCTGACATCGATCTACCATTTGATCCAGCAATACCACTCTTGGGGATATACCCAAAAGACTGTTACTCCAGAGGCACCTGCACATCCATGTTTATTGCGGCACTATTCACAATAGCCAAGTTATGGAAACAGCCAAGATGCCCCAGCACTGACGAATGGATTAAGAAAATGTGGTATCTATACACAATGGAATTTTATGCAGCCATGAAGAAGAACGAAATGTTATCATTCGCTGGTAAATGGATGGAATTGGAGAACATCATTCTGAGTGAGGTTAGCCTGGCCAAAAGACCAAAAATCGTATGTTCTCCCTCATATGTGGACATTAGATCAAGGGCAAACACAACAAGGGATTGGACTTGAGCACATGATAAAAGCGAGAGCACACAAGGGAGGGGTGAGGATAGGTAAGACACCTAAAAAACTAGCTAGCATTTGTTGCCCTTAACGCAGAGAAACTAAAGCAGATACCTTAAAGCAACTGAGGCCAATAGGAAAAGGGGACAGGAACTAGAGAAAAGGTTAGATCAAAAAGAATTAACCTAGAAGGTAACACCCACGCACAGGAAATCAATGTGAGTCAATGCCCTGTATAGCTATCCTTATCTCAACCAGCAAAAACCCTTGTTCCTTCCTATTATTGCTTATACTCTCTCTACAACAAAATTAGAAATAAGGGCAAAATAGTTTCTGCTGGGTATTGGGGGGGGAGAGGGAGGGGACGGAGTGGGTGGTAAGGGAGGGGGTGGGGGCAGGGGGGACAAATGAACCAAGCCTTGTATGCACATATGAATAATAAAAGGAAAAAAAATTCAATTATATAGCTAAAAAAATCAGTTTAAAAATCACATACATGAAGGCTTCTTACTCAATCTAAATACAATAGGAAATGGAAATGGCTGTGCAAATATGGATATGCCACATCCATACAAGGGGACACTTGCCAGAAGTTAAAAGGAACGAAACAGAGCTACTTGTAACAGTGCAGGACAATTCCACAATGTGCTTACCGTTAAGTGGGGAAAAGATTAACTATAGGAAAACTGCAACTTGGCTTGGGAGAAGAAAGAACAGTAAACATGTGTCTCGAAGGCAAGGAAAACCACACAGGGCCCCACACCACATAAGCTGATCGCAAAGGCGAGGGTGGGGCAGGGCTGGGAAAAGTGACATTGTATACCTCAGTTTGGCACAGGAGGCCTGTGTCATTATAAACACTGGTAATCAGAAAACTAAATACATTTTAAGTTATATTTATAAAAATTAAGTGAAAAAGCAAAAGGCTGCATATGCAATTTCAAAAATAAAATAAAATTTGTAACGTAATGCCTGTGTGATTTTTTTTCTCTTCAGAGTCTCTCTCCAGAGGAAACCTATAGGCAGCTAAGAGTCACAGAACTGGAGCAAGCATACTGCTGATGGCTGCAGGTACTAGGAACACAGGGATCACTGAGATCCAGACACCAGGTCCCCGCACTAAGCAGGCTAACTCACTGGCCTCCAAGAAAGGTGAAACTCAATCCTCTTCCCAACAGCTGTGAGGAAATTATCACAGAAAACAGGGAAATGAAAGACATACCACCCAGCCACATGCAGCTGCTGCCAAGGCTGCTGTCGAGGTCCTGAAATGGGAGTGGTCACTTGGCCAACAAAGTCACTGAGATTCAAGCACAACTCTCCAAGAAGCCATGTCATCTGGGATTGTTGAAATTATTTTAAGTGTGTGGCAGGGTATAAAGGAAAATGACGGTGGGGGTGAATCTAACCAAGGTGCCCTGTAAGTATATATGGAAATGCCATAATGAACCATCCCCCTCCTGCCCCCGGTACAACTAATATATGCTAACAAAAATGCACACACACAAAAAAAAGTGGGCTCTGGAGCCAGAAACAGAGGCTAGGGGACTTGGGCCAACCACTTACTCATTATGCAAAGTGGGGCTTGTGAGGCACCCACCTCATAGCACAACCCCGAGTACCTATAAAGTGCTCACGACGGTGCCTGCTAACTAGAATGCACTCAACAAGCACTAACAAAATTAAGTCCTTATCCTCATTATCACCTCAAACTACTTCCACTGAGTGACATGACTAAAGGGACTCTCAGAGCCCTCCTCTGAGAACATATGGCCAGGGACAGTGCTTTGATGAAACAGAGGGAAGGCGAATAACCCCTGCTCACCACCGCAGGTCTGTGCACGGGGAAACTACCCCACCTTCCTGCTACCCTTTGGCTGGGGTTCCCCAGCCTGTCAGCTTCCCTCCACTCATACAGTCAATGTGTTCTCTGAGCCCAAATGCAAAGGTAAGAAAGAAAGCCTCATGGAGCTCAAGTTTTAGAGCAAAAACCAACCAAACAAACAAACAAAAAAAAGGGTTAAAAAAGATGAAGTCATGTAACTGCTATAAAAAAAAAAATGGCACAACAAGAGATAATGGTGTCCCCAAACGGGTCATCAGGAAAGGCCACTCTATGGATGACAGTTGAGCTGTGACCTAATGGCAGGTGCAGAACACACCACCAACTGAATCCTCAATTAGTCAAACCCAGCTCCAAGGCCACAGGCTCAAGGTGACAATATTTTCTTGCAGGGTTCCAGTTCTAGCCGATGAGATGGGAATATTTTCTTCCCTCGGAAAAAGACAGGAGAGTGTTTTCAGATGCTAGTCACGGGGAGGATGCTTGGAATTTCCACAACCGAGCAACGGGAGGAGTGAACACAACACTAAAATACTCAGAGGGCAGCGTTAGATAGGTGCAAAGGGACTGGGCTCTTAATGACATTCCAAGCGCTCAACCAAGAGTTACAAATGGCAGAGAACACCGACGCAACAGGTCAGAAAGTTTAGCAAACTTTCCGAAAACCACCCTATGAGGTTGCCCCTTGCACCAGGTGGGAGTCATTCATTCAACTCACCAACTGGCTCCCTCGCACAGCTTCGTGGAGGGAACTGAGGTTTTGGATCGCCTGGCACGGCGGTTAACGCCTGTAAACCCAGCCACGAAGGAGGCGAAGGCAGGGGGACCGACAGATCGAGTCCAGGCAGTCAGCAATGCCTTGTCTAAAAAGCAACAGACAAACAAAAGGGCTGGAGGCGTGCGTGGCTCAAGGGGTAGAGGGCTTGCCTGGCAAGCAATCCCCAGTACCGGGAAAGAAAAGAGATAAAGAAGAACAAACACTGCGGTTGTGCTTTTGCCATTCGCCTGTCGTATAAGCCCGGCTCCCCAGAGACACTCGGTGTGCGACACGCTCACAGGCGGCCGGGCACCCGCCTCTCGCTCGCCATCTCTGCCTCGTCTCCCTCCTCCGCATCTCTGACGGCCGAACCCAGGCCCTGCGGCCCTCGGCTGAACCCGCCTCGCAAACCCACCGGGGCCCTGTCCGGCCGGGCCCCCAGGGCAGGGGGAAGCCGCGGCACCCACCTGCTGCAGGTACTGGTTAATGGTGATGTGCGCCATGGCGGCGGCGGCGGCGGCGGCGGGCAGAGAGCGCGTCACTTCCGGCGCGAGTCCGCCTCCTCCAGGCGCTCCGACGCTCTGGCACCGAGACCGGCAGGTTGGTTCCGGGGCGGTGCGGGGGGAACGACGCGTGCGGGATGGAGAACGCGGCTCCCGGGCGCGTGCGGCGGGGGCGACCCGCGCGACGCTGCCGTTTCGCCCCTCCAGATCCTGCCTCGCGGAGTCCTGGGACGCCGCTGCTCCCCGGGTCGCGCGCCCGAGCGGGACTGGAACCGAGACGGAGCCCCGAGTCCACTCAGTGTCCCCGTGCCCCTGAGCCCACCATGTGGGGGGAGTCTCCTCGCGCCCGAGCTCCTCAGGACCAAGAACTAACGTGGCGACGACCCCACTTAGGAACGTGTCCTCGGACGCGCCCCAGCTGTCTGTGGGGGGTCCCTGCGCGCCCGAGTGGCCACTGGGGTGTCCTTGAGCCACGTGTGTGGGACCCCGCGCGCCCCGAGCCCTCATTAGGCAAGGCCGCGCGCAGCACGGGGCCGGCCGGGTGGGCGCGGTGGCGGTTGGGGCGCGGGCGCGCGGGGCGGCGCGCACGGACGGGGCGCCCAGCTGGAGGAGGAGCCGGGCGCGCACGGACGGCGCGGAGCGGGAGGAGGAGGAGGCGGAGCCGGGCGCGCACGGACGGGGCGCCGAGCGGGAGGAGGAGCCGGGGCGCGGCGCGGGGCGGGGCGGCGTCCGGCCCAGCCATGGCGGACGAGGGCCCGCGGAAGGGCAGCGTCTCGGCGCTCATGGGCCGCACCAACGGCCTCACCAAGCCCGCGGTGTTGGCGGGCGGCCCTGCCAAGCCGGGGGGCGCGGGCGGGTCCAGGAAGCTGGTCATCAAGAACTTCCGAGGTGGGTGCGGGCCGGCAGGTCGCGCGCTCGGACGGGGCCTCCTGGGGCCGCCAGGCAGGCCCTGTCCCCGCACGGCCGGGCCGGGCCGGGTCCTGTACCTTCCGCCCGGGCCCGCACTTGGCGACAGGCCCTGTCCCCAAGCCCCGCCCCGCCCGCTGACCCTCTCTCTCCACAGACCGGCCCCGGCTGCCCGACAACTACACGCAGGACACGTGGCGGAAGCTGCATGAGGCGGTCAGGGCCATCCAGGGCAGCACGTCCATCAGGTACAACCTGGAGGAGCTGTACCAGGTGAGCGGCGGGGCGGCACACGTCTGGGACTTGTATTTGGGTTCAGCTGGGCCGCCCGGGAGGAGGGCGCGGTGCCGAGTCCCGGGGCTGCTGCGCTCCTGCGTGTGCACTCAGTTCGCCCGGTAACGCCGGCGCAGTGGCCTGAACTCGTTTCTGCTTTCTTGCCAGCAGAGGGTTTTTTCGCCACTTTGTTGTGGCTTTGCAGTTAGTTGTTGCAAATAAGGTATGCAAACGGACTTTGTTACATTTAAAGTAACGTTCGACGTTTTTAAAGGAAGAAAATGGTTAGAAGAACGTTTTGCAGTTCGTATGTTTCATTCAAAGCAAAGTTTCTAATGTCATGTTCTTAATGTTCGTTAAGTAGTCTAATAGTTACACTGTAGGCAATGATAGATCAGATAGTTATTTCTACTAAAAGACTTGAATTTTTTCGTGGTTGCACAAGCGAGTACGTTATAAGAACTAGGAAAAGTACAAAAAGGAAAATTTAAATCACCTACACATCCACAACCCAAAGAAAACTACTATAGGTTGAGTGTTCTAATGCAAAAATCTGAAATGCTCTGAAATCCGACACTTTTTGAATGCAAACAAGATGCCAGAAGAGGAAAATTCCATACCTGATCTCATGTGACTGTCTCAGGCAAAACAGGCATGCTAAAAATACTGTATAAAATTATCTCCAAGCTGTGTGCATAGAGTGTATATAAAACAAATAAACTTTGTGTTTAGACTTGAATCTCATCCCCAAGATACCTAAAATCTAAAAACATATGAAATCCGGTACACTCTTTGCTCCCAAGCATTGCAGATGAGGGACACCAAGCCCCTAGGGACAGTTTGATGTACCCACTTTTGTGCTTTGTGTTAAATGTGAGTTAGTTGATTGTAAATCAGCTTAATTGAGGTATTGTTTACATGGTGTGCTTTAGTAGTTGTCATAGTTTTTTTTACTATGCAGGTGTGCTATCAGCATCATAATCAATTTGTGGAGTAGAGGAGTACTTTCACCACACACAAAGTCCCCAGGGCCTTTGTCCAGTCAGCCCCTTCCCCAAATCCCACCTTTGGTTATTACTGATTTGCTTTCAGTCACTATAATTTGTCATTTCTAGAATTTCATCTGAATAGAATCATGCATTTTGGCATCTTTTGTATCTGGCTTTTGGTTAGGATAGTGTTTTCAACTCAGGTAAATACACACACTGGGTGATAGTTACGTTTCTTTTTATGAGTGAGTAGCATGGATATATACCACACCTGGTTTATTTATATCCATCAGTTCCAGACATTTGGATTCCAACTTGGAGTTCTTATGAATAAAGCTGCAATGAACATTAGCGAATGTCTTTGTATGGACTCACATCCAGAGGAGTGAGGATATAAGAAAGCTTTCAAGGTCACATGGAAAGTACGTTTAAATTTGTGAAAAACGTCCTGTTTTTCAAAGTGGCTGCACCATTTTGCATCTCTTCTCGGCATGGTTTGCAAGTCCCAGTTCCACATCCTCGCCAGCATTTGGTGCTGTCAGCCTTTAGTTTTAGATATTCTAGAACTGTGTAGTGGGTTTCTATGTCATTTTAATTTGAGTTCCTCCAGTAAGAGTAAGCATCTTTTCCTGTATATATTTGCCATTCCATGTATCTTCAATGAAATGTGGATTCAAATCTTTACTTAGTTATTTATTTTTAATTATTTGTGAGACAGGGTTTCTCTTTGGCACGTCCAAGCTGGCCTCAAATTCACAGTCTCTATGTCTTGATGATTGGGATTACAGGCCGGTACTACCTACTGTACCCGACTTCTGCTCGTTTTTATTAGGTTTATTATTAGTCTTTATTTTTTCGTTATTGAGTGTGTGAGGTGAGTATATATTTTGGATGAAAGTCTTATATCAGCCCTACAAATACTTTCTTCCAGGCTGTGGCTTGTCATTAATTCATTTGACTGTGTCCTGAAGAGCAGTAGTTTTAAACTTTGAAGTCCAATGTATCAACTTGTTCTTTTATGGGTTGTACTTTTAGTATCTACTAAAAAAATCTTTGTTCTTCTCTAAGGTCACAAAGACTTTCTCCTATGTACCTTGTAAGCATTTTTAGAGTTTCAGGTCTTACATACGGGTCTGTGGTTTATGTTAAATGAACTTTTGTACATATTGTGAGATTTAAATCCAAGTGCAGTGTATTCCCTCTAAATGTCCAGTTACTGGTATTTGTTGAAAGCCTTCCTCTTCCCCACCAAGAAATGGCTTTTGCTTCTTTGTCAAAGATCAGCTGTCCATCTGGGCTGGGTGTAACAAACAGGTTGTTAATTATGGAGTATTCAGTCCTCCAGCTTTATTCTTTTCTTTCTTTTTTTTTTTTTTGTCGTACTGGGGTTTGAATTCAGGGCTTACACCTTGAGCCACTCCACCATCCCTATTTTTGTGGTAGGTTTTTTTGAGATAGAGTCTGAAGGAACTATTTCCTGGGCTGGCTTTCAACCGAGATCCTCCTGATCTCTGCCTCCTGAGTAGCTAGGGTTATAGACATGAGCCACAGGCGCCCAGTCAGCTTTATCCTTTTCCCAAGATGTTTTTGGCTATTCTTAGTCCTTTGTATTTCCATGAATCTTAGAATTTGTTTGCTAATGTCTACCAAGAAGTCTTCTGGGGTTTTGATTGAGATTATGTGGAATGTGTAGATCAATATGGAGAGAATTGACTCCTGAGCTGCTTATCAGTCACTGGTTAATCAGAGGAATGGATCCAGCTCTCTGTTTACTTAGCCCTTTTTTTTTTTTCTTAGCAATGTTCTGTCATTTTGTTGTACACGTGTTATACATATTTTATGAAATTTTACCCTAATCATTTTGTACATTTGATGGTATTATAAGTGGTGTTTTAAATTTTCACTTATAGTTCTCACTACTGATTAGAAATACCGTTGACTTTTATCTCTTGGTCTTGTCCTGCTGTTGACCTTGAGTATCTGGACTTTTCTGTAGTCCCATTGGATGGTCTGCACACGGCCGACATCTGATTGCATTTGGTTGCACTTTTTCCTTTCCTTGCTTTGCTGGGCTGACCAGTGCCTCCTGGACGAGGCTGTTAGAAGTGGGAGATCTGGCCTCTACCTTGTCTTGCTCCTGATCTTGGATCTTTTGTCATTCTCCTAGCAGTGTGATGCTAGCAGTGCAGAAGTGTCCCCTCTGCTCCTAGTTTGCTAAGAGCTCTTTTTCTATGTCTCTCTAGGGGATCCTATGATCTCATATGTTGTTGGATTCAGTTTTCTAACATGTTAATTTTTGCTTTTGAGTTCACAAGGAATATTGGTGCATGTTGTTTGCTTTTTACTTCTCTTGGATCATGCCCCAGTCCTTTTTTGCTTTTAGTTTGTTTTTCAGATAGGGTTTCATGCTATCTTTGTCCAGACTGGCCTCAAACCTTGATCCTCCTACCTCTCTGCCTCACAAGTAACTGGGATTACAGTGTGAACCACCACACTTGGCCCTAGTGTGCTGTTTTATTGTTATGTCTGCTTGGTTTTGAGTGTCAGAATAATGCCTCATGAGTTGGGAAGTTTTCTCTTTCTTTCTGGAGAGTTTGAGTAGAATTGGTGTTATTTCTTTAAGTGTTGAGAGGATTGCCTAGTGGAGCCACTTGGCTGCCTTGTGAAAGTGTTTGAAGCACATAGTAAGTTTCCTGAGCCCCCCAAGGATTGTCCAGCTGCCTCTCATCCTCTGCAGTGCCTCATTGCTGTCCACCACCTGCTGTGAGCTCCCCTCACAGTGTGGGTCTTCTAAAAGGCTTCTGTGTCTCCTGTGGGGTCAGTCAGTTCTGAGTTGGTTTTGGCTGGCATCTCCTTCCCCTGTAAGGGTCTATTTTTTTTTTTTTCTCTTTTTCCTCTTTTTTCATGTCTGGTAATCTTCAATTGGATGTTGGAAGTTGTGAATTCTAACTGACGTGCTAGGTATTTTATATTCCTAAGAATATTGTTTACCTTTGTTCTGAACACAGTTGAATTATCTGGAGAGTGACTGTCTTGTCTTTTTGCTTTTAGGATTTGTTAGGCCAGGCCAGAGTAGTGTTATGTCCAGGGATGATTTTTCCCCAGCATAGGAGCCAGACCTTCCTAAATATTCTGCCTGGGTTTTTCCCATCTTGCTAGAGGGAAGCTGCTAATCCAGGCTCTACGTGAGCTTAGGGTTCATTCCCTGGTGTTTTGTTGTTTCCTTACCACATGCTGTCTGCTGAATACTTAGGGGGTCCCTGGAGCACTCTTGCTCGTCTCCAGTCCTCTGGCCAGGTCTCTGCCTTCCAGACCCTGGTCTTTTAGGTTTACTCAGTGCCCTGCACAAAGCCTGAAAATTGCCTATTCAGGAAACCAGAGCATTTGGGGTCTGTCCATTTCCTGTCTCCCAGAGGTCACTGTCTTTCATTGCCCAGTCTTGAGTGCCCTTAAAGCTATTGCTTCATACATTTTGTCTGGCTTTTTGATTATTTCAACCGGAAGCTTTAATCCATTTCTTTTACTGCTCTTGACCAGAAGTCAGAGTCTTCATAAGCATGTAAATACTCAAAGGTTTTTGATTTAATAAAATGTATATTACACCTAAGGCTTATTATTCCTGTTTTCTTGGCGATTTCATCATTCAGTTGCCCCATAATTTTTCCCTAAAATAGCAGAAATACCTTGCCATGCAGTGATACGTCTCATAAATTTCAAGATGGTGTCTTGAAAACCTGAGAGCTAGGGATGCTGCCCCAATACATAGGCACTGGCTTCTTCCCTAGGGACCTCCCACATCCCAGGGCATCTCCAGACCCCTGCAGAGACCACTCACTAGCACTCAAGCAGCTTGTCTCTGGAGTGAGCGGAGTGGAAACAGGAAGGCAGATGTGGAAGTACTGGCTGCATGGGCACTCAGGAGTTGTGCTCTGTACTGGCCAGAGACTCTTTTAGGTGAAAGTACTGTTTCTCACCAAAGTTTGAAAGGTTTGGCTTTGAGGTCTGTTGCCCAGTGTAAACACCATGGAGCCTGTTGGCTCAGGTGCCAGCCTTCAGCCTGTCCTGTGTGTCTTTGTTTCTGTTTGGTCACAGTAAAGTGGGGTCGAAGCCTCTGCATGCTCACCACCCTGTGCTGAAGGAGGGTGTCTTGAAGACACAGCTCTGCTGTGTTTGCTTCTGAAGACCTGAGTTTAATCTAATGACCACTGGCAGGAGAATGCACACTTGTGTGTCTCTTGTCCTTGAGTTTTCTTCTTCCTGTCACCTAATGAACATCAGGAAGCTGCAGGCTGTATTTCCAGAAGCTGTCAGAGGAAGGCACAGAGTTGGCTTCACCTGGGTTCTGAGGGGGGTCAGGTTGCCCTCTGGAGTGCAGTGGTGTCCCTGAAAGGCTCCAACCTGTCGGTCACTTCACTGAAGGACGTGGGTAGTAGAGTGAAGCGTTGACCATGTCTGTGCCAGGCTTGCTAGAAATGAGGTCCTAGTCTAGCCCTCCTCACTCACTGCACTTGGTTGTGTGTGTTCTGAGCCTCCCTCCCTGTCCCTGGGAGACAAGGTCTGGTGCAGGTGCTGCATTGGAAAGGCTGTATGGTAGATTCGTGTGGCTTGGAAGACATCGGAGTGTCCTGTTCCCAAATTTGAGCTGCAGTTTCATTTCTGTGTTGTCATTTACTTATTTCTTCCAGACAAGAACCTGGGGGTGGTCAAGCACTCCTAGCAGCTTGTCCATGTGGGCAAGCTGGTCCTGGTATAAATGGTGTGCCCAGTTCTATCCTGGAGCAAGGCTGCTCCACCTGTGTGTCTCATGAGGACTCCCGGGGCCCTCGTGGTGGGGCTCCGCGGCTTCCTGAGTCTTGTGTAGCAGTTGGGACATGTTTGGTGACTGTGCCTTCCATGCTCCCTGTCATCTATATCAGTGACTTTAGCACCTGCCCACTTCTCCTTTAGAGACTCAGTGATAGCTTCCTCCCTGTTCTCTAACTCAGCTTAGGCTCAAGGGTTTCTGTGCCCAAGTTTAGTGAATGCTGAGCAGAGCTTTTCAGCCCAGAGCTCACTGCAACTTCTGATTTCAGTGTTCCACACCTGAGGGGAGTGATTGTATAGTTTGCAGGAAGCATTTCAGTAGCAGTGAGGACACTCAGGTGACAGTTGACTAAGCTGATAGACAACATTTGACACCATGGTCCATGCTTTCAGCACTTGGGTGCAACAGCCCTGCTGCAACCTGCTGTTTAGGAAGCAGCCTGCAACAAGGAACCTGTGAGCAGTTTTCCTATCAGACTGAGTTGATAGGAGGAATAGCTGAAAAGTAGTACGAGAGCCACCTCCCGTTACTGCGTTAGACCCCACCTATCTGGAATGATTTTCAAACCATACTGCTCCAGACTGGGTCAGCATGTCATGCATCAAGAGGAGGCACTGGAGGTCTAAAGTAGTAGAGATCTCAAAGGCTGTATCAGTGGAAAGGGGTTCCTGTGTCAGGCTGCTCCTGTACAGCATGGGGCTCCTCCAGGACTCCTGCCAGTGGCAGTGGCTTAGTGTGAGGAGAGATGGGGCTGCTGCCTGCTTTAAGAGGTCCCCCGATTCTCAGTGTGCTTTATGTAAATAGCAAGCTTGTGACAGCGATAACATGTCACAAGTGAGTGAAGGTGGTGATAGAAGCACTCAGAGAATGGTCCTCCTAAGTTCCCTCTCCTGACAGGCATGCACCATGAAACTTACCTTGATTTTTTTGCCAAAGAAAATGCATTTCCTCATGTGTTATATAAAAATCTTTGAAGGTGTTGCATTTGTGAATCAATGATGGTTAACTGCTGAGCCAAGCCTCTGCTATGATGCATCTGGGTGTGTTAGAGAGAAAGGGTTGGTAGGTCATGGACTGAACCCTGCAGACAGGGAATGCAAGGTGGTGGATTTGAGATTTAAGAGAGGCATTGAGGCTGAACACAGGATGGAGATAGGAGTCCTTATTTCTACAATAAGACAAATGTGTGGGGGATGCATTTTTGTTGTTACACTGATACTAAATTTGCTAAAGAACATTGTAGTGTTTATTGTCATTCCACGTTTTCTCTGAATCTTTGTAGATGTGTATGTGTTCTTGTAGTGAACGAATTTAATGTAGGTGAATATAATGCATAGCAGTTATGTTGAGTATTGGAATTAATCTCTCTGTAAAACCTCAATTTACCTTTTTTCTGAGGGGACAGCCATACTTGAGTTAAACCCAAATTCTTTTTTTTATGTCTCCATTCTGTCTATCCCCGTACTTTTCCCCCCAGTGAACCCAGGGCACCACAAATGCTAGGCAAACACTTAACCATTGAGCTGCATCCCCAGGCCCCAAACTTATTTATTTATTTTGCAGTACTGGGGTTTGAACTCAGGGCCTACACCTTGAGCCATTCCACTCGTCTTTTTTGTGAAGGGTTTTTTCGAGATAGGGTCTCGTGAACTGTTTCCCTGGGTTGGCTTTGAACTGCAATCCTCCTGAGCTCTACCTCCTGAGTTGCTAAGATTACAGGTTTGAGCCACTGGTGCCTGGCTATCCCCATACTTTTACATGGTTCAAAAGCAGTAAGTGGGAAAACATGCTGTTGATGATATTTCACCTTCAAATTGAATGAGACACCAGCCTAGCACATGAGATTTAAAGGAAGTTTTATTTGTATGTACAAGCATTGTTTCTTTCATGTGGATAGAAATATTTTTTTAAAAATTTTCTGCCTCAAAAAGTTTCCTCACTAAGACAAAACTTGAGTGAATTATACATTTAGCATGTAGGAAATCAGGAACCAATCCAGCCTGGCCTGTGTCGGAATCTTGGTTTCTCCTTATACTCATCACAGGCGGAATATCTGTGCCACAGAGGGAAGGCGCTGCTGCCCTCCTGCTGGTCCCTCTCCTTCAGGGAAGGGGTTTCTGGAGAAGAGAAAGTAGGTTCTTGAGCTGTGGCTTCACAGCATAGTCATCAAAATAGACTTGCTTATGTACCTCGGTCTAGGGACCGAGGTCTGGGGCAGAGCTTCCAGAAATAGCCATAGGGTCCAAATCTATGTTGAAGTCCTTATGACTGTGGTGTGTGGCCAGGTGTGGCGTCAGCTGAACTCAGAACAAAGCTGAGGACTGAAGTAGGGCGTCCAGAGATGGGGCCTACCTGCCTTCTAGGCCCCGGATGTTGCAGGCTTTGGTGTGCCATCGGGTTTAAGCTCCTGAGCTCCTTTTTGACTCATTCCCTCATTGTCCCTTATTGTGACTGCACCCAGGTGTGTGCTCATAGCACCTGGTTTACTCATAAACGACCAAAGTATGGTTGAAGGTGAGGCATTTATAGAATTGTTCAAAGAACTGATTTGATGTTCCTGCTGAATAATTAATTTCTTCCTTTTGTTTTAGGCTGTTGAAAATCTTTGTTCTCACAAAGTCTCCCCGACACTTTACAAGCAGCTGCGCCAGGCCTGTGAGGACCACATCCAAGCACAAATCCTTCCATTCAGAGAATATCCTTTGTGTGGTTCAGGCAGTTTCTATTCTTTACGTAACAGATAAAGAGCTAAAGAGCATCCTTACTGTTCAACAACAGCTTTGGGTTCTCTTGTAGAACAGGTACTTAGATTGGCTTCGTGAGTTCATATGGTGGGTTTTTAAGTGATGTTTTTAACATTTAATTTACTCTGCTGATGTGAATAAAAGGTAAGCAGTCCTTTTATTGGATGTGGTTCAAGTGTTTGGCAAAGTTCTGGAAATGTCTTAGTTTGCGTTCTGTACTTTATTCTAGTAAAAACCACCTGTCTTGATTTTCTAGAGTGTGTAACAGATTCCCACAGACGTGAAAGCTTCAAGCCCCCACCCCGACCCCTACTTATCAGCCCCTGGTGTGTCTGTCAGGAGTTGGGGTGCAGCTCAGCGGCTTCTCTACTCAAGGTCTCAGAGGCTGAAATCCAGGTGTCAGCAGGGCTGTGGTCTCACCTGAGGGTGGGTCCTCTTCCTGATTCTTGCAGGTGGGTGGCAGAGTTCAGTCCTTGTGACTGTAGGAATTAGTTCCTGCTTTCTTTTTGGTGCCGGCAGGGTCACTCACCTGAGAGGCTGCCCCTTCTTGCAGTGGGGTGTGAGCTCCTGCTGGACCAGCAGGAATATCTCCTGTATGGTCTCCTATGACTGTGTCTCCTGTAGTGGAATCAGTAGAGGGAATGACAGCCATGGTTCTCCCATCGAGGAGGACGTTGCTCAAGAAACATATTTCGACTGGCCAGACGGCATTTTAGGACCTGCTGCCACACCATCTGTGACTTGGACGCACAAGGACATCCCTGAGCTCCTTATATCCTGTCAAAACCCTTAAACCTGGCCTTAGTCTGGTCCCCAGCTCTCCCATTACCACAATCTCCATGTCCCGGCCAGCATTAGAGCAGCTTCTGTCATTGCAGAAATGTACTATGATTTCTTTCCTGGGCCTCTGTCTCTGTGTGTAAGATGAGGTGGCTAGGACCTGCCCCTTCCTAGGTTTTCTTGGCTCACCCCCTTGCCCTCGTCTTGGGAAACTCAACCTTCCTTGTGGAGTGGGATGACTCAAGGCAGCACAGCATGTCACAGCCCTAGCGGTCCACAGAAACGGTCTGCACATCTGGCTCCCACAATGGTGCGAGGAGTTGCTTCTGGTTCTTGCTGTATGGACTTCTGTCCATACACCTCTACAATATGTTTTGGCAAAGCTCTGTCATAAAGACTGCGAGGATGTACAAGATAACAGCAGTTACATGCTCTTCTGGAACCTGCCAGCTTCCACATACCTCCACCCCACACAGGGACCCCTGTTCTAGGCACATGGCGGAAGTCTGACTCCTAAGCTTGGGAGGGTCACAGCAGCATTCCAGGATGCTGGCACTCATCAGAACCAATTGGTGTTATTTTGCCCTAATCCTGCTTGCTCAGAAACTACTTTTTAAAGACCTGCTGAAATTATCCTTGAGACAAGTAATCCAACCCTGCGTGTGGACTGAAGTCTTACCAGCCCATCATACTCAGCCCGTGCTCGCTTCCTACCCAGGGTCTTGACCCAGATGATAGAAAAGCCACTGCTGCAACCTGATTTCCACCTTCCATGGAGCCATGTCTGGGCGGAACCAGGGAAGTCCAGGGCTTCCTTGTCCGATGTCCTTGTTAGTGACCAGGAGCCCAAGGACAGGAAATGGGCAGTTCCAAGAAGACAGGTTATGCATTAAAGGTCAGTGGGGTCTGGCCAGATAGAGCACACATGGTGGAGCAGGAAGTGTGCTTCCGAGGACCTGGAGCTGTTTGCATGCCCAGAACGTGGGGACTAGTGGGATCTGAGGCTGGAGTCCAGGTTGCATATTGGTCCTGGGTCTGCGTATGCCTATGAGGAGTTGACTGCACCTGAGCCCCTAAGATGCCTTATGGACTTTCTAAGCAAGAATCCAAAAGGATTACATGGATTTGTGAAGACCGCTTTGGCAGTATAACAAGGTAGATTAGAACACAGGCCAGCCTGTATTGCCAGTCCTTGGCAAGTACTGCTCAAGGGAGAGCATGACCATGTTTCCTTTGCCTCTGGAATGCTCCAGTACTTGGTACAGCTCACTTTCTAAGGCATAGGGAACCCCACCACTGTCTTGAGACTATGCTGGTATTGAGGTCAGAAGATGAGGTAAAGCTGTTGTCTGGTGGAAAAGACTCCTGTGGGGCTGAAATGGACAGTATTGTTGACTTCCGGCCAGCACCTCCATTCTTTGTCCATAACAATTGACAAAACTCTTCCTGTGTCCCCTGGTGCATCTTCACAGTGCAGCAGCCCTATCACCACAGAGATGATAGGCAGTGCTGGCCAAAGCTGCCTTTCCCAAAAGGTGGAGAGCACAGAAGCAGGCCAAGGCCTCTGTTGTAGGGATGTCAGGATGCCCACAGTGTCTGGAGGAGATACTGTGCCTGTGCTCACCTGACCAGATGCATACCATCATCACAGAGCACTTGGTGGAACAGGCAAGCCTGTGCATCCACAGCTCAGTTTATGTGCCCTGGCGCTCTGAGCCTGTATCAGCTATGTCTTCTAGGTAAGAAACTAAAGCCCTTGACCCGTAGTTGGAGAGTGGCTCGTGCAGTGCTGGAGGTCAGCAGGGGCACACTAGTATGTCATGAAATCCTTTTCTCAGCTGCTGTAACAGGCCTGATTGAAGTGAGTTATCACTGTCAAGTGGCCAGTGTGATACAGCGTGTGGCTGCTGACCTGTCACTCTTCCAGTCCAGCATGTGTAATGTATTTTTACTCTGGTTTTTTTGTTTTTTTTAAATCACCTGGGATGGCCAGTTTTCTCATAACCTGTTATGAACATTTTTGCTGTTGGGTTTTTGTTGCCCTGTGGGGCCCACCTCACACCTCCATGGACCATGTGAGTCCTGCCTTCATGGGGACTGGCCCTTCTTTGAAGTGTGATGAGAGTAGTTGTGGAGGATCCTGGCTCAGGATAAACTGCTACTGAGCCTCGCAGCACTGTCAGGAATTAGTCACTGGGGCACTGTGGCGACGTTACATCCTGGATCTGAAGACTTTGAATTCTAGCAGGCTGCAGCTCAAACGGCTGCTCACCGTTTGTACTTTTTTCCCCATGGGAAATACAATACTGATTGGGAGACCTTTACAGAGCTCTTTCTTGGGATGTGTCTTTTGTTTAATGGACACTTCGTGATGGACCTTTATATCTTAGAAGCAGACACTATAGGAGGTACAGCTCTGCTCAGGTTATTTGTGACACCTGAGCTGCCCAGTGGTGTCTGACTGGTGTTGGGTTAATTCCATCAAGCCTAAAAGGCCAGCATGGGCTCTGGGAACCTGCCACGGCCTGTAGACTATCCAGTACTTGGAGTCCGCGGCTGCTGGGCCACCTCACCGCTTGCTAAGTGTGCTTGTGACAGACTGTTGGGGCAGGTTCCCAGAACGGTGGGCCATCACGTTTTAGAGTCACACAAGAATTCGCTCAGGTAACTGCTAACCACTGATCCGCTAGGTCCTCACTGTGGCTTTCTAAATTTCTGGGCATACTTCCTAAGGACTCAACCAAGGCTCAAGAGGAAATAAAGTGGGCTGCCTTGGCCAGGCCCGACATAGCCATGGCCACTGGCACTCACTTCTCTGATGAGATACAACTTGGCTTCTGCTGTGGCCCTGAGCTGCTTTCCTCCCCTTCCAGAGGCTGAGCAGGTGTCACCTGGCTCTGCTAGACACCCTTTGCTAACAGAAGATTCAGCACCTGTCTGTCCTAGGCACATTGTCCTTGCCCAGGTTTCTCTTCCCTCTGGCTGGGAATTTGCTGTGTGAACCTTGAGTGTGGGTGTCCTCTTGTGTGTGAGCCCTGAGTATGGGTGTCCTGCTGTGCGTGAGCTCACTGACATGGCTGGTGCCAGTGCCATGGCTTGCAACAGGCTAGGACCACAGCCCAGACGTCTGGCTCTTTCCACCCAGATGGATCACTGGTTCTTTCTTGTTAGGAGTTTTGGAGGATCAAATAGAAAAGATGTGAAAGGTCTTTGTTCTAGAAACCGATACTCTGGTTTCTTTATCCTAAAATGACATTTTGAGCCTTTCTTAGATATATTCTAAGAATCTAGCTGAATGTGCATAGTTTGGTTTCAAATGCAACTTCCTGTGAGTGTTACAGAAAGTTTTCACTGGGCTAGAAGTCAAAAGTGACCTTTTCATGAGGGGGGATAAAGGAGAATGATGGAAAGAGTGGATTTAACTAAGATACATTGTAAACACTTGTAAATGTCACAGTGCACCCCCCAGTACAATAATAATATGACAATTAAAAAAACACAAAAAGTAACCCTATCCACTGTCTTCACAGCTTCCAGCTCCCTGCTGCTATTAATAGCCTGCCTTCTGACTGTGGGGCACTCTGGCCTGGCCAGGCCAGGCATTAGCTCCAGGAGCTCTGTGGTGGGGTTACATTGAGCCTGTGCCCTTTGTGGGGCAGGGCCCAAGGTCTTGCCTTGGATGCTGGCTTCAGTTGGCAGCATCTGTAAGTAAAGAGAGAAAAGAGGGAACCAAAGGTCAGCAAGAGGTGAGCAACAGAGCTGGAGGGAGGGAGGGTGAGCGCAGGCAGGGTTGATACTGGTAGGAATTGAGACCTGCAGATTGGTGAAAGCCACCATCACGGTTTGGGAGCTTTGAGTCTCATTCCATTCAAACTGCTATAACTAAACACTGGTTGACTTAAAAGCCACAGACATTTTTCACAGTCTGGAGGCTTTAAGTCCAACGTCAAGGCACTGGAAGGTTTTGCCTGTGGTGAGGACTTCCTGGTTCAATGATGGGGTCTTCTCATGTGTCCTTAGCTGGTTTAGGGGTGAGGCAGCTCTCTGGTCCATCAGCCTGGGACTAGGACCTCAGCCTGTGGATGTGGAGGAATGTGAATGTGAAGACTGTAGCGTGGTCTTTCAGTGTTCTGGTGACTACAGCACCTGGCATTTGGAAGAGAGGGGAGCTTAGGTTAAGGTGAGAGGAGTAGTGGTGATGGACCCTCATTTCTTAAGTTTCCTTAGCAGGCCTGCACAGACTCACTAGACAGTGTGTTATTTCTAAAGAAGATTAACACATGCTGGCAAGATCACTGCAGACAGATGGTAAGCGCGTAGCTTCTTGTTAGCTCTCACTATGTGTGAGGTGCGCCCTGCACTCTAGCCAGCGCCACTGTGCCTGCTCTTACTCCTTCACTTGCACTCTGGGCGTAGGAAGCCTCTTCTCTGGCCAGAGGGTAGGCAATTGGAGTCCTTCACGGCCTCCTCTGGCCTCCCTCTCCACCTGAGGAAGGCATGAGCAGGTCGCAAGCTGAGATGCAGCAGTTCTGTTCAGTTCTGTTTGCGCCTTCAGCACAGTTGAGCAGCAGAATACAGTGGGAAGCTGAGCTGCTCCAGCAGGCTCTTCCAAAACTGCCTCCAGGTCAGTTGTGACTTTGAACATGCAGAAACAATCTCCATAAGTTCCCAGAATGGTCTCCAGGTTCTCCCTCATTGCAGTCTGCCCTGAGTTCTGTGTCTTCACTGCATCTGCATGACAAGTCATGCTTTTCGTGCCCTTGGAATTTTAGTGTGACCTGGCTGTTAGTGACATAAGTAAGGGAAATGGTCATTGTTTTGATCATCTTAAGCTGAACTGTTTCCTAAAGGAACACTGAATGTCTCTGTTGTGGGCCAGGCACCTGTGGATGTTGGAAACAAGGATGTCTGCTGGGGAAGGTGCATTTACACACCAGCACATATGGGGATTCAGGGCTGTGGCAGCCCAGGAAGAGGTGGCTCACTGTCCTGCATTTGCCCCTCTGTGCTAGCAACAGAGAGTCAAGTGTATATAAAGTGTACACAGCCCCAGAGCCTCCAGATAGCATAACAAAGAGCTGATTGCTAGAAAGCTTAGCATGGCTCTCTAAAAAACTACGGTATATCAGATTTAAAAGAGATCCTTTAGGCTGAATGCTTTTAAGATCTGTACAGTCAGCACCATTGCATTAAAGAGATGAAAATCCAACACCATTGGGGAAAAGTTAAATTTTGAAAAGTGAGGGTTTAGGTACACAGTGTCTTTCCATCAGGAAATGATTACGTTGTTTTTGAGACAGCTAGCGTAGCATAGTCCAAAAAGTCTACTCCTGTGTAGTTTGTTAATAAGGCAAATGGATGAGCAATTTTTCTTTCTGGTCCTCAGATCATGATCAGAAGCATTTTCTTGTTTCTGGACCGTACTTATGTCCTTCAGAACTCCATGCTCCCTTCTATCTGGTGAGTGTCCTGGCCCAGCAGAGCGCATGCCCCCTTCTCTGGTGACTTCTTCCCACTCCATCCTAGCAGAGCCTGTGCCCTCTTCTCTCTGGTGACCTTCCTGTCCCGGCAGAGCCCATACTCTCTTCTCTGGTGACCTCCCATCTCAGCAGAGCCCTGTGCCTACTTCTCTATGGTGACCTCCCTGTCCCAGCAGAGCCCTGTGCCCCCTTCTCTCTGGTGACCTCTCCATCCTAGCAGAGCCTGTGCGCCCTTCTCTGGTGACTTCTTCCTACCCCATCCTAGCAGAGCCCATGCCCCCTTCTCTCTAGTGAGTGCCCTAGCCTACCAGAGCAGCACCACCACAGCACAGAGCTCATTTGGGGTTTGAGGACAGTCGCTCTGGCCACTGAATTACCTTCCCAATGCTCCCAGGCTATGAGCTGAGGAGGCTGGTAAACCTGCAGCTGGGTTTCAGCTCTCTTCTTTATGGAAGGTACCACATGCAGGAGTGTTCAGGAGCCCTGGAGGGCAAGGTGCTGGGGTCGGCACGGTGGGAAAGGCAAAGACTCAGAGGGTGCAGGAGTAGTACAGGGCTGGTTTCCCCAGGTTGGATCTGTGACAGAGATAGTGATCAGACTGTTGGGTGCCTACCTGACCTGGCTGCTCAGTACCTCTTTTGGGACAGTAGACCTAACCTGTTGAGGAAGATAACAGTCTGTTTAGGGCAGTGACATAAGGCATCCTGGACTGGTCAAAAGCAAGCATGTTTGAAAAGGACTTGTGGATGCATGGTTGCAGAGGAGTAGTTAAGGGCATTTTGGGAGGAGCTTTAAGGAGAACAACCAAAGCAGCTCTGCCTGTGCTGTCTGACAGGGACATGGGCCTGGAGCTGTTTCGGAACCATATCATCAGTGACAGGATGGTGCAGAGCAAGACCATTGCAGGGGTCCTGCTGCTGATTGAGCGGGAGAGGAGCGGCGAGGCCGTGGACAGAAGCCTGCTACGCAGCCTGTTGGGCATGCTCTCGGATCTCCAGGTGAGGCCTTCTGGTGCTGCCCGGCTGCCGGCCCTGTAGACTCCTGAGTCTACCACATGAGCCACAAAAGGAAAAACTGACAAAAACATGACTGTGCAAGTGCCGGCCTTCTCGGGGGAAATGCACCATCAGCAAAGGTACTGTGAGAAGACAGAGTGCAGAGATGCCGGGCATACGTGAAAAGACCGAGGCATAGACTCATCACCATGGTCCTCTACCCTGAAGGGTCCCAGGGGCAGGGCCAGAACAGTGGAGCGAGCGGTGGCCATGGGCAGCTGGGGAACACGGGTTGTAGCCTGTCTCCTCAGAAAGTGAAATGGGGTGCCTCGGCACCTGGAAAGGTGGTTTCTCTGTGAAGTTGGTCAATAACTGCTCATTTCCTAGGTCTATAAAGATTCATTTGAACTAAAATTTTTGGAAGAGACTAATTGTTTGTATGCTGCAGAAGGCCAAAGATTAATGCAAGAGAGAGAGGTGAGACAATGGTGTGGTCTGGCTTGCCTCCTTCATTCCTCTGGGGGCTTCTCCTCCTGGGTCCCCAGTGCTGATCTCATGCACACCACCTTCTTGATACAGTCCAGCCAAAATCCCCAGGAACAGCTGCTCACTGTAGTAAGAAATCAGTTTCTCTCCCTTCACTTAGAAACTATTTTTTCCCTCCCCCGCAAATGAAAGGCCAGTTTAAATAAGAAAACAAAAAAACCCTAGGATGAAAGATAAAGCCAGGTGCTGTGGCTCATTCCTATAACCCCAGCTACTGGGGAGGCAGAGATCAGGAGAATCTCCTGATAAAGACCAGCCCAAGCAAAAAGTTAACAAGACCCCATTTCAATAAACAAGCTGGGTATGGTTGCAAGTGCCTGTAACCCCACCTATGCAGGACACATAGGTAGGAGGATTTCATTCCAAGGTTGACCTGGGCAAAAAAGTGGGAGACACCATCTGAAAAATAACAAAAGCGAGGACTGGAGGCATGGCTCAAGAAGGCCTTAGTTCTTGAGGGCCTTCCCCCTCAAAGAAAGATAAAATCCATCAGAGGTTTTCATTATGTGAAGCATTGGGAGGAAAATCTGGGAAAACGCCATGTGAGAAAGCATGTGTTGTAATGTCAGCCCCAAACGTTGGAACCAGCTCCTGGATAGTGGAGCACAGCCCTGAAGGAAGCCTGAGGGGACAGCCACCAGTGTCCCCTGCTGCACACTGGATAGACCCCCATGGCTCCTGGACCCTGGTTTTAGAGAAGTTTCACTTCTGCGTGGGCCTGGCTATAGCCATGCTGTCAGGCAGCTCCAGGGACAGCATTTACCCCTGGATGTACAAGGCATACCTTGTGTCCCCATACCCTGTACCTGGGTACAGGCTTGCCAATAAGCACTACACCTTCCCACCCGGGGACCATGGCTCTCCCATTGTGGATCTTCAGGGAGGGCCCTTGTGGTGTCCCCCATGCTTTGTGGTGAGCTGGGAATGACAGTGAGTGCAGCCTGGGTCCTCATCCGCTCACCCTGCCTGCCCCCTGTAGTCTCAGTTTGGGGCTTGGATGTGTACTCTGCTTTTTTATTTATTTATTTATTAATTAGTTAATTAATGAGGAAGGCAGAATTTCGGTTTCTGGGTAAAGTCAGGAATGTTTTTGTTACTGATGCTTTAAATGTTTCCGTTGGAAGGTTCCAGAATACCTTAGCCATGTGAGTAAGCGTCTGGAAGAGGAAGGAGACCGTGTGATCACTTACCTTGACCATAGCACACAGTAAGTCCTGCTTACCGCCTGCATTTCGTACCTCACCATGTGCCTGTGTTTTTCAGGCAGGTGTCGAAATAAATGGTAGCTCCTCACCCACTCAGTACCCTCTAAGATGCTTTGTTCCTAAAGCTCGCATTTGCTCCTAAGGGCACCATTTGACCTTATTTCCCACGTACAAGCTGCAGTTCTCATTGGGGTCCCATCATCCACTGAGCTGTCATTCAGAGGCAGGAGTCCAATGGAGGCACGGGGCAGCGGGTGCTGACGGTGCTGATGCAGGGACTCTTCCCTTAGTGGAGTGCCTAGAAAATGAGGCCCTTTTCACATCCGACATGTCAGTGACTTGTTCATGGCACGAACACATTATTGTTCCTTTTCATCTACTTTTTTTCTGTAGACATGAGGTTATGAATAGGGAAAGAAAATGGAAGCAATCATGTGAATGTCTGTGCTGGGTGTGTAGTGTGTACTGCTGTGAGGAGAGGAAAGGTTGGAGGCCCAGGGCGTGGATGAGAAAGGGCAGAGGCAGCATGGCATGGTGACCCATGTAGGCAGGTGGGCGGGAGTTGGGGACAACATCTCAGCAAAGCAGAAGAGGACACAGGAAATGTGCACGCTCCATGTGTACCAAGTATGGGAAGCTGTGGGTCCCTGGTGTCCAACCCGGAGCTGAGCTGGACAGGGACAGGGTTGCTGTGGCGATCGCCATGTGCTCTGCCATACTCCCGTTTCACACAGGATGGCTGGAAGGGGGGACAGTAGCCCTCAGGAGGTTGCACAGACGCAGCCAGGGCAATTCAGAGCTCACAATAGGCTCCACTCGCAAGCAAGTGGTGACCTTTGCAAGTCACTCACCTCTCTGAACTCAGTTCCCCATATGTGGAGAGGGACCTGGAGTCACAGCCCTGCCTTTCTCCACAGGGTTGCTGCAAGGCTCAAATAAGATAGCACTGTAAAATTTCCTTATAAAGAAATTCGAAGGCTTGGGAAATGCCCAAAGTCAGTAGTTCTTGGAAAAAGGAGATGTTCTGGCTGGGCGCTCTGGCAGCTCACGCCTGTAATCTTAGCTACTCGAGGTAGAGATCAGGAGGATCGTGGTTTGAGGCTACCCAGGGCAAATAGTTCACTAGCCCCTAGCAAGTGTGAGGCCATGAATTCAAACTCTAGTACTACACCGCTCCCCCCCCCCCCCGACTCCCCACAAGTAAAAGGAGATTCTCTGGTCAATCTTCTGAAAAGAACTGAGTTGTGGATAATAAACGAGAAAGCCAGGAAGGTGTTTTCTGTACCCTGTGAGTGTTGCAGTCATACTTGACTTATTTCTACATTTTTGCATGCTGTTTTGTGTGACACTCATGCATCTCAGAGCTCAGGGCTGAACATCTGCCTTAAACAGGATTGAGCTCCTGGTGATGAGGGAGAAAAATGGGCAGGTCCAAGGGCTGGTACTGCAGAAGCCACTGTGGATCTCTCGGGGTCTGGGGCAGGTAAGGGAAGGGCAGACAAGGGCAGAAACAGATGGTAGGCCGGGTCACTGGGGCCCACGCTGCCAGTCCTTTCCATGTTGTAGAAGATGCTGGGGACAGTGCTGAGAACACTGCAGAGCAGAGGGAAGGTGGTAGTAGAGGGGAGAAACCAGCGTCTGAGCTCTGAGAAGGTGGTCACCACAGCAAATGCCCAGGCCCACAGGTGCCACAGCACAGTAACGACACCATGTTGGCAGGTTTACATGACAGTCAGCACTGAAACCAGGCAGTAGCATGGCATGATCTGCAGGACTCCCGGCTCTGCTCTAGAGTGTATGTCTGCTATCAGGAGACCTCAGCACCTGACAGGAAGTGCCATACAGGGAACAGCTGAGAAGAAAAGCCCAAGGTGGAGCGCACATATACTTAACAGCCTGCCAGGCTCTGCCCTCTTCTTCCTGCACCACTGTGAACCCTTGTGTTTCTCAGCAAACTGTGTCTGAATCATCTTGCTCTTTTCTCTGTGTGCTGCCTGGCTGTGGGCTGGCTGCCCTGCCCTTGGCTTGACTTGCCCGATCCAGCCACTTTCCTTTTTGACACTTGTTCTTTTTGGTTTTTCTAGGAAGCCACTGATTGCTTGCGTAGAGAAACAGCTCTTAGGAGAACACTTAACAGCAATTCTGCAGAAAGGTATGTTTTTCCCAGCCTTGTGTGAGTGAAACTGAATGCTAATCCATAACACATGAAATTCAGGAAGGATTATCCACAGCAGTGCTCAAGTGAGAGAGGCCTACCAAGCGTGAGGTCCTGAATACAAACCTCAGTGCTGCCAAAAAAGAAAAAAAAGAAAAAGGATTTGCGTAATGAGGCTGGGTATGCCTAACATCCTTGCACTCAGGAGGCTGGGGCAGGAGAACCACAAGTTCCAGGCTATTCTGGGGCTGCGTATCAAGACCCTGTCTCAAAACAACAGCCACAGCAACAGAGAGACATGGTGTCTGTTTGAACATTTATTGCTAAGCCCTGGAGGTCCCAGGAGGCCTCTGGACTGAAGACAGAAAACATCGGGACACAGTGGGCCCTCAGCAACAGCAGATCCCAGTATCCATAGGCTCAGACTCACTTCCTTTATCATCTCAGCTGAGAGGCCCAGGACTTCTCGGGTATAGACATGTGCTGACATAGGTGTCAGTCAGGTTTTCCCTTCTCCCCCAGTGTAGACGAGTAAGCACATGTTGCGAGCGTGTCCTCATGACATAGCTGCATCTTCGACCTTCACATTCTGTCACTTAAAGTGAGCCTAGTGGAAGTAGTACTTGGGCACCCGTGCTCATGGCTGCAGTGACATGCTGGTTGCACGTGTCCTGTCCTGTTTTGGTTTTTGTTTGTTTTTTTGTTTTTAACAGGGTCTCACTAGCCCAGGCTGGCGTTGAATTTTGAATTCTTGATTCTTCTACCTCAGCCTCTTAAGTGCCATGATTGCAGGCATGCGCCACCATGCCTGTCTTGGCATGAGCAATGGTTCTCAACTCTGGTTGCATATTGAAACATCTAGGGAACTTTTTCTAACGTGTAGTGATTGTACATATTTACAAGGTACTATAATGTTTAACAATTTAGTAGTTACATGAAATAGCTCTCATGGCTCATCACTTGAGCCATGCCTGGCCCTTTTTGCTTTAGTTACTTGTTTTTGCCTGGTGCCAACCTCAGACCTCGATCCTTCTGTGCCTCCCTTTTAGCTGATATCACAGACCTGCAACACCATGTCCATCTTGTTTGTTTACATGGGTGTCTCACTATTTGCCCAGGCTGGCCTCAAATTGCTATCTTTCTGATCTCTTCCTCCAAAGTAACTGGAATTACTACTCCTTGCCTGACAAATACTTTTCTGCCTGATGGACTAAACCAGAGAAACTTGGATCATGAATCTCCCAGGACAAATAGTTGTAGTTAATGTTTTTTACTTTAGTGAAATAAGAGGGCTTTGGTGAAATGAAGAAGTAAATATACATCTCCTAATATATACAGAAAAATGAGATTCAAGCCATATGGGGTAGCTCATACCTATAATCCTAGCTTTTCTTGGTAGGCTGAGGTCAGGAGGATCGCAGGTAGAGGCTAGCCTGGGCAAAAGGCTCGTGAGACCTCATCCAACTAATAACTGGTGCAGCGGCATGTGCCTGTCACCTCAAGCTACTTAGAAGGCTGAGATAGGGAAGATCATGGTTCCATGCTAGCTCAGGCAAAAAAAGTTCACAAGACCCCATCTCAACAGAAAAAAAACTGAACATGGTGATGTGTCCCTGTCACCCCAGCTACTGCAGGAAGCATAGAATAGGAGGGTTGTGCTCTAGCCTGGCCTGGACAAAAAGTGAGACTCTGTCTCTAAAATAGCTAGAGGTGTATCGGCACCGGTGGCTCACATCTGTAATCTAGCTACTTGGAAGGCAGAGATCAGGAAGATAGAGATTTGAAGCCAGCCCAGACAGTTTGTGAGACCCTATATCAAAAATATTCAACAGAGTGGGTCAAGTGGTAGAGTACCTGCCTAGCAATCATGAAGCCTTGAGTTCAAACCCCAGTACCACCAAAAAAAAAATTATAAAATAGATGTAGGGGTGGGGGTGGAGGCTGGAAGGATGGCTCAAGAGGTAGAGCACCTGCCTAGCAAGTGTGAAGCCCTGAGTTCAACTGCTAATGCTGCCAAAAAATTTAAAAAAGAAATTGAAAAGAAAAATGAGATTCATCTAAAAAGATCCATCTCAGGCATTAACTGGACCAGCTTGCTTGTGTAGAAACAAGTCAGTATACTCCCTGAGTTTTCAAGTCATACGCTAACTTTTGTAGTGCACACTGTACTGCGGTCAGTTACAGACGCTGGCTTCCTGCTGTAACCTGCTCACCTCTGCACATACCTAGGGCTTGACCACCTGCTGGATGAGAACAGGGTGCCGGATCTCACGCAGATGTACCAGCTGTTCAGCCGGGTGAAGGGCGGGCAGCACGCGCTCCTGCAGCACTGGAGCGAGTACATCAAGGTACTACACAGTGGTTCCCAGGGGTGGTGCCACCTGGGAACATGCGGTGCCCTTGCAAAGAGGACTGGACTATAGTAATGGCCCATCTGTTCCCGTCCTTTGTAAATGTTTCTTCGCATCAGTTTACCTTTCTAAACTAACAGCAGTGATGGACCCTGTCCAGGGAGACACGTGTGGTGTCCAGCTTTTGAGTGAGCTAGCTTAGTTCCCAGCCACGCTGTTAAAAGCAGCAGTCGTTGGTGCCTCTGCTCCTTCAGAGCTTTGATACAGCAGGTTGCCTGCCTGCTGCTGTATGTCCAGGCAGCCCAGATTTAGGGTTTATTACCCAAATTTGCACTGATCTCTTGCATGCTAGTGCAGAAGGGCTGCCTGTGCTAACACAGGCCCTCTCTGAGTGCCAGACAGTCCAACCCATGGGGGTGCTCAGCAGTGCCTGCTGACACTTCAGTGGCCACAGTGGACAGGGCAAGGCCAGAGCTGCTTCCAGGTCTTGAGGCAGCAGGAGAAAGTCCCACTTGGTTTCATAAACCTCTTGCTGACTTGGCATTTGTTTGCTCCTGTAGACTTTTGGAACAACAATTGTCATCAATCCTGAGAAAGACAAAGACATGGTACAAGACCTGCTGGACTTCAAGGACAAAGTGGACCACGTGGTGGAGGTGTGCTTCCAGAGGAATGAGCGGTTTATCAACCTGATGAAAGAGTCCTTCGAGACGTTCATCAACAAGAGACCTAACAAGCCTGCTGAGCTGATAGGTAGCAAATCTCAGTTCTAATGCGAAACTCAAGCACATTTCCCCAAACTTGGAGCTCTTCCTATGGAGAGTGAGGGAGGGATCGCTGCCGAGCCTTACTTGTCAGGACGCAGTTCAGCCGTGCAGTGTTTGCACCCCTGTGCACACCTGCACTCTCCAGGTAAGGGAAAACGTGGTAGAGATTTAGTAAAGACAGAAGCAGCGCAGGGTGAGGAGGCCTGTCCTAGTGTGCACTTCCCGCACACGCAGCTCCTGTCCCTACTAAAAGCAAGTGATCTCCACTCAGAAAATGCACCAAGAAGGTTGTTGTGTGTGAATGCCTCTGCAACAGGATGGCATCATTGGTCCTGGATGATACTTCATATGATGTGTCCTTTAGTCACCGTCTTTACTCCTCCACTCCGCACTGAATAATCATGGCTCTCAGAGTTGTTTCACAGTAGTATTAGAATAATACTTAGAAGTCATAAGCTCAGCAGTCAGTAAAGGTTTCGTTAAATTCACAGGGGAAAGGGGCAGAGGTATGGAACAGAGTTGTGGATGTTGCTATTGCTGGTACGTGATGGAGCATGGGGTTCATCAGACATTCAGCACTTTTCTGCAGGTTCGGAGCATTCCACAATGTAATGGCTTGAAGGAAAACACACTAATAAAAGCAACAATAAGAAAAACCCACAGGACAGTGTGATTAGACTTTGTGTCCCACTGTCAATTGTTGCTTTCTCACAGAGGATGAAAATTAAACCCTTGGGAATTTGGGCTTCGGGAAGTCCCCCGGCCGCCCTGAGATTGGCCTATGCAGCCTCAGAAGCAAGAAGCCCCAAGGAGAATGCACTTACCCTTGCATTCACACCTTGGCTTTGACCACTTGAAGCCCTGAGAAAAATTCACTTTAACAATGACACACAGGTCTTGAAATGGGGGTATTTCAGAAACCCAAATGGGTAATGGCTAGAATCAGTTTTCTGTTTAATCTGGGATTAGGAAAGATGCTGAAGCTGGCTTCTTTAAAAGCCCTGCCTTTGGTTTTGTTGAAGTTTTGAAAAGTGTTCACTCTCAGACTTGATAGCATCTGTCTTAGAAAGTCCCATGTTAGCCTGTGATCTGGTCATGTAGCAGTAATGTCATCTTGGGAAGGGTGTGGAGTGCTGGGGTCCATTTGCCACCTATAAAAAGGACCTCATGTTTGCTAGGCAAGCTTCTGCCACCAAGCTTCATCGCAGCCCTTTTCTGATTGAAACTCTTACTCTCCCAGCTAAACATGTGGACTCAAAGTTACGAGCAGGCAATAAGGAAGCAACGGATGAAGAGCTGGAGAGGATCCTGGACAAGATAATGATACTGTTCAGGTTCATCCATGGTAAGAGATGGTGCTGTAGGGCCCCAAGGCCAGCATCAGGCTGGGCCTGGTGAGGGCCCACAGGAAACCCAGAAGGAGGCCTGAGGGCTTCTTGGCAGATGCAGTGCCCATCACCTGTCTTAAGCTTTGTGTTACTCTGTGTGGTCACACAGGCAAAGATGTCTTTGAAGCATTTTACAAGAAAGATTTGGCAAAAAGACTACTCGTTGGTAAGAGTGCTTCAGTGGATGCCGAGAAGTCCATGCTGTCAAAGCTCAAGCATGGTAAGCTTGTGGGCTGGCCCGGTTCTGGAGAGGGCACTGTGGGCCGGCCTGGTCCTGGGGTGGACGCTGTATTTCAGCCTGGTCCTGGGGAGAGCACATTGGGCCGGCCCGGTCCTGGGGAGGGCGCTGTGGGCCGGCCTGGTCCTGGGGTGGACGCTGTGGGCCAGCCTGGTCCTGGAGTGGACACTATATTCCAGCCTGGTCCTGGGGAGGGCGCTGTGGGCCGGCCCAGTCCTGGGGAGGGTGCTGTGGGCCGGCCTGGTCCTGGGGTGGACGCTGTATTCCACCCTGGTCCTGGGGAGGGCACTGTGGGCCGGCCCAGTTCTGAGGAGGGCGCTGTGGGCCGGCCTGGTCCTGGGGTGGCGTGGGCCTCACTCTCACCCATGCACACCTCCTCCTTGTCCTGCAGAGTGCGGGGCAGCGTTCACCAGCAAGCTGGAGGGCATGTTCAAGGACATGGAGCTTTCCAAGGACATCATGGTTCACTTCAAGCAAGTGAGTGGCTCATGGGACGTCACAGTCAGTGCAGGCCGAGTCACTCCAGTGCAGTTAGCACTGACACTTGGCTGGGGGATGTGCTGGAGGTGCTGGTGTAGATACTGACACACACACTGAGCGTTACACATTCTCTTTCTGAGCACTAAGTATTTCTGGTGACTTGCTGAAGTCGTTATTTTGCCTTGAATTCCTTTGTTTTTAGCACATGCAGAACCAGAGCTCCCCAGGCCCCATAGACCTCACAGTGAACATCCTCACCATGGGGCACTGGCCCACGTACACGCCTGTGGAGGTGCATCTCCCTCCAGAGGTGAGTGTACGGCTCTCGCGGTCACACCTGTTACCCAAGAAGCATTAGGTAAGAAGTTTTTGAGACACCAGCCCCATTAAAACTAGCATGTTCCTGTGGTCCCAGCACAGTGGTATTTGAAAGTAGCCACTTTGTTCATAGCCCAAGGCTCCTTCCCATGCACTGTGTCCACCTGCTGCCTTTTGGTGTGACTTTCCATTGAGACACTTGTTTTGAAAGTGCCTCCTTGCCTGGCTTTCCTTCCCTCCCGCCATAGACAGTGCCAGAGTCTTAAGAACAGCATTGCTCAGGGCTGTCCGTGTTAGCTTGGACTTGGTACTGAGGGAGACCTGAGGACCTACAGGTCTTGGTCTCAGTGAGGCTATGCTCCAGCAAGGTAAAGCGCACCCATGCTATCAGGGATGCTAAGCGAAGAAGAACTGGCTCCCAAGTGGAGCATAACAGGCTTCCTGGAGTAGATGAAGGATCAGGGTCTCTGTCTTCAGAGAGCAGAGGTAGACAAAGGCCTTCCCACTGAGGCAGAAAGCCCAGGTTTGAAAAAGCAAAGCTGGACCCTCAAGTCTTCTCTTGGGATCTGTCTGCCAGTCCCTTTTAAGACATTTTTCACTTCCATGTCAGACTCTTGACTTGACTTCTTTCTGGGTCAGCCCTGCTGGTTAATTGCCTTTTTGTTGTCTTCTGTTTTTCTCCACCTCTGTCCTAAACGCCCCGTCCTTGCTCCATACATGGTGCCTGACTTGGTGGCCTGCTGACATGTCCACTTGCCCTCAGCTGTGGGCAATGCCCCACATTTCCATTGCCCTTCTCCCTGAACCTCTGCCCTTGGGAACTGGACTAGCCTACAGCCAAGTTTGGTGAACACTCAAGTTTGTCCAGCTCTGCTACTCCCGCACACTTGCCAGGCTCTGTCTGTTCTGACTGTTGCAGGTCCCAGCCACACTGATGCTCTCAGGGCTCTTGTGTTTGTGCCTCTAAACTCCTCTGCTCTGACAGCTTTTCTTTCTCCTCCTGCTAGAAACTCGCCTCCCTCTGCCCAGGCAGGACTCTCATGGCACTGCCAGTGTTTTTACTTCTCACTCTGAAAAAAATCTAGATGTAGAGAAAATGTGCACCATGGCTCAAAGAATGCTATATTCTAGCATAGCTGGTGGGCAGCGTCTCTGGGCCGCGTGAGAGTGAGTTGCATGGTGCCTCTCCCTTAATTCTTTGGAGGGTGTTGCCCAGGAACACCCAAAGCACCTATTGGCTCAGGAGACTCTTGCTGCTGGGACTCCCTCACTTGAGCTTTCTCAGCCATCTCAGACTTGTCCTTGACAGCTGTGATGGTTAATCTCGATTGGTGCGATCTGTGCTTCCCTCTTGACAAGTGATACTGATGCTCTTTCCTGTGCTTGCCTACCATTCTTTGGAGAGACATTTCTCCATGTCCATTGTTCATTTTGTAATTGGGTTGTTGGCTTTTTGTTATTGAACTGTAAGCATTCTTTGTATATTCTGGATGCTTGACCCTTACCAGAGAAAGGATTTGCAGATATTTTGTTTGTGGACTGTCTTTTAACTGTATTGATACTATGTGTCTTAGTATGTCTTCTGTTACAGTAACAGAATACCTGAAGCTGGGTAATCTGTGAAGAAAAGAAATTTATTTCCTGTACTTCTGGAGTGTGGTACTCCAAAGGTCACGGGCTGACTGCCTGCAGTGAGGGCTGTGGTAGAAGAGGGTGTCAAGTGGCCAGGGGTTCACGGGAGGTGCTAACAGATGCACTCTCCTGATGACTAACACCTCCCACCCTCCATGACCTGCTAAGATGCTCAGAGCTCTCCGCAAGCACCCTCTGAGCATCTGCACCTCTGCTAGTCAACTTTTTATCACTGTGACAAAACACCTGACAGAAACAACTGAAAGGAAGAAAGATTTGTTTGGGCTTATGGTTCAGAGGTTTTAATGTAAGGTTAGCTGGATCTTTGGGCCTCAGGGGAAACAGGTGATCATGCATTGTGAGCATGTGGGCGAAGCTGTTCACTTCATCATGGCCAGAAAGCCAAGAGCAGCATTTACCCCTAAAAGCCACACCCCCCCCAGTGACCTTCCTCTCACCAGGCCCTGCCTCCTGGTGCTCACCCCCTCCCAATAACACACTCAAATTATGGCTCCATCAGTGGATTCATCACTGGTTAGGTCAGAGCCTCTGTGAGCCAGTCATTTCTCAGAAGCCCTCAGCTGGCAACCACACCTTTAAAACATGAACCTTTGAGGACTTTTTAGATTCAAACCAGGCCAGTGTCTGACACCAGCCATCACCAGAGTGTGGTGCCGGGGCCTTGGCATCACCCTGCTGCCCTGGTGAGAGGTGGGAGCCTGGAGAGCAGTCAGAGCAGGGAGAGGAAAAGAGAAGACCAGCACAGGTGCGCTGGCTGTGAACACTATCTGATCCAGGGCAACCTCTGCTGTGTTGGCCAGTCTGCCGTGTGTGCCACAGGCCATGGCCAGCAGGCATGACAAGTGTGTAGGACATACCTTTCTGACTGCTAAGCACTAATCCAGGCAAGAACGGTATGTGATAGGAAGCTCCAAGGTCTGAGGACAGCGATATTTTCACAGGTAGTAGAATCCAGAAAAAGAACATCAAAATACAGGACTGGGTTTTTAAATTCAGCTGTATAGAGTACACAGTGTGCCTGTCAAATGTATGTATTCAGTTTGGTCTCCTTTGTCTCCCGTGCATGGCAGATGGTCAGACTTCAGGAGGTGTTCAAGACCTTCTACCTCGGCAAGCACAGCGGCCGGAAGCTACAGTGGCAGACAACGCTGGGGCACGCCGTGCTGAAAGCAGAGTTTAAGGAGGTCCGTTCTCTGCTGTCTTTCTGTGTGTGTTACTGAGATGTTTTAAGTCTCATTGAACTTCAGTAGCAAAGAAGGGAAACATTGTTTCCATTATAGTTCAGTGCTGGCTTTTCTAGGTCAACAAAATGAATAAATTAAAGGGCTAATATTCCACTTCACAAAAATCTTGTCTGTCAATCAGTAGAAAACCATTGGCCTACCTGGAAAAGAAGGCTGTGAACAGACAGATCACAAAAGCAAAACTTGAGTTTTGTTGTGAAACAAAAAAAAAACTCTTCTGAGTTGCACTGACCAAAGGGTTGCAAACTAAACTACAGTGAGGTGCCGGTTTTGAACAGGGAGAGCAGCACTGCCTCCTGCATGGCCCTGGAGCAACGTGAAGGCCACAGGGCCTCAAGCTCAGAACTCAGTCAGCAGCTTTGCTGTCCAGTTCAGTTCTGGGGATCTCTTGCATGGCATTTCTTTCATTTTTTATTTATTTTGTGAGGCTGGGATTTGAACTCAGGGCATTGCACTTGTGAAGCAAGCGCTCTACCACTTGAGCCACACCTCCAGTCCATTTTGCTCTGGTTATTTTGGATATGGGGCCTCACTAACTATTTCCCTGGGCTGGCCTTGAACCTCGATCTTCTCAATCTCAGCCTCACAAGTATCAAGGATTACAGGCGTGAGCCACCGGCACCCAGCATGATATTTCTTTTAAGTTAGCTGTTAAATCTCCCTTTTGTTGGAAGGTGTCATTGAGCAAATTGTGCCAGGTACCAGGAACCCCAAAGTGGCTTTCGGGATTTTACCTTGCTATTTCCTGAAGTTACTCCAGATAGAGCTGGAAATCCTTCTTGCTAAGGCATTTTTAGCATTTAGTAAATAAAAATGTGCACTGCACAGCTACTATTAAGAGTGATCATTTAAGCCGAGTGCTGGTAGCTCACACCTGTAGTCCTAGCAACTCAGGAGGCAGAGATCAGGATCACAGTTTGAAACCAGCCCAGGCAAATAGTTCATGAGACCCTATCTCTAAAACCCTGTCACAAAAAAGGGCTGGTGGAATGGCTCAAGGTGTAGTCATGAGTTCAAACCCCAGTACCACCAAACACAAAAAATGATCACTTAAGAAGAGAGACTGAACCAGGCACTACTCCCAGCTACTACTTGGGAGTCCAGCCAAGGCAAATAGTTCTCAAGACCCTCATCTCCAAAATAACCAGAGCAAAATGGACTGGAGGTGTGGCTCAAGCGGTAGAGTGCTTGCTTTGCAAGTGAGAATCCCTGAGTTCAAACCCCAGTCCTACAAAACAAATGAGAGAAACACCTGGAGGCATGGCTTAGGCAGCAGAGCACTGCCTAGCAAGCATGAGGCCCTGAGTTAAAACTCCAGTACCACAAAAAAAGGAAAAAAAAAAATCTTCAAGCAAAGTTATTTTTTGTTGTTGTTGTTTGGTTGGTTTTTATTTAATGTTTTTGGGTTTTTTTGTTGTTTTTTGGGGTTTGGTGGTGGGTGTTGAGTCAGAGCCTTGCTCTGTAGTCTAGGCTGGTCTTGAATGCTCAGTCCTCCTGACTCAGGCTCAGGAATGTTGGAATTACAGGCATGTACCACCACACCCAGCACTGGGGTTTGAACTCCCTCAGGTTCCCCCTCAGGGCCTCACACTTGCTAGTTAGCCCCTCCTCCCACTTGAGCCCCTCCTCCAGGAATAGAAGAATTTTTAAGTGCAATATCTAATAATCATTTTGTTTGCTTATAATCAGTAACATAATTTCTTAACTTGGTGGCTATTGTTATAACAAAAAGTTTGAGAGCAAAACTTTGTGATGTGTGACATGTCCAAGTGCAGCTCCACAGTGACAGCTCCGTTTTCTTGAAGGGGAAGAAGGAGTTCCAGGTGTCCCTGTTCCAGACGTTAGTGCTGCTCATGTTCAACGAGGGGGATGGATTCAGCTTCGAGGAAATAAAGATGGCCACCGGGATAGGTAGGGAGATTCTTTGTGAATGTTTCCAGCATGTGTTCATTTTAAAAGAAAGTGTAGGCTGGGGTGTTGCTCAGTGGTAGAACACTTGCCTGCCATGTGTCAGGCCTTGGATTCCATCCCTGACACTTTTTAAACAAAGGAACAAATACCAAGCGAAGTCAGGGAGCTCAGTCTCCGCCAGTTGCCCTTGGTAGCCTCTCCCTCATTGTGTAACAGTTCTTGCTTGTGTTTGCTTCCCATTCAGAGGACAGCGAATTGAGAAGGACGCTGCAGTCTCTGGCCTGCGGCAAAGCACGCGTTCTGATTAAAAGTCCCAAAGGAAAGGAGGTAGAAGACGGAGACAAGTTCATTTTTAATGGAGAGTTCAAGCACAAGTTGTTCAGAATAAAGATCAATCAAATTCAGATGAAGGAGACCGTATGTACAAGCTTCCTCTTTTTACCTGCAGGGCATGCACCAAGGAGTTTTAGTCTTTTAGAGAAAGTTCTTAACTGTTAGAAGCTGATGCAGTTTCTAAATCTAATGTGAATTTGTAATTTTCATAAGAGTACTTGCTTATATCTTTGTTTGGTTTATTTTTGGTGGGACTGAGGTTTGAACTCAGGACATCACACTTGCAAAGCAGGTGCTCTTCCACTTGAGCCACACCTGCAGTCCTTTTTGCTCTGGTTATTTGGGAGATGGGGTCTCACAGACTACTCCAGCTGGCCTCAAAGCTTGATCCTCCCAATCTCAACCTCCCAAGTAGCTAGGATTACAGGCTTGAGCCACCTGCCAACTTTGTGTATCTTTCATTATTTCTGTGTTCTCAGTAGGGTAGGAATAAAATGGGAAAGGCATTTGACACATTGCCAGCCACAAAACGGTGTCTTCCCATACCCAGATCCTGCTAGCTCAGAGGGCATACCAGCACCTGTCTGCTTACTTTGCACAGCCTGGTTCAGCCGTCCTCCCACCTTGTCCTTGTGGAGGGTCCCTGGCTCAGTTTGGGCATCATGGACCCACCACAGTTGTCTGTGCTGCTGCGGAAGAGGCAGCAGGTCTAGTGGGGACTAGACCTGGAGCACCCCAAGATCCCTCCTGACACAGCAGCCCTCATCCCTGAAACCAGGCATTTAGCAGTTCCAGCCACCAACATGTCCCTGAAAATGCCAGACCCACTGTGTGTGGTGAAGGTGCTTGTGAAGCACTGTGCTCAGTCCAGGTAGCAGGAGGATGACTTTAATTACTTTGGGCGATTCCACAGACATGTTGATTGCATCAGCTCACCCTGAGGCATTCAGTGTGCTGGACAAAAAATACATTCAGATCATTCAACAAGATGCTCACTGCCATCAATAATTCTTCTAAATTAAAATAATATTCGAGGGTGAGGGTGTGCAAAGCCCTAGGTGCAGTCCCCAGTACCACCAATGACAAAATTATAATTATATTCCAGTTGTGGTATGTCAGTTTAGGAGATTTTTAAAACTTGGACATTCTCTAAAGTTGGTACATATATGGGGAGAAACTGCCATTTTTTTATCTTTTAGATGAAAATTGAATTAGTATAACTTTTGTGTTTGTGTGTAAAATTTTTAAAAGACTGTTTCCTTAGAGTAGTTACAGATTGACAGCAAAATTGAGGCAGGTTCCGAAATTCCTGTGTATCCCTGCCCCCACCCCAGCCAGCCTCCCCTCTCCGTGTCCCTCAACAGAGCACACATCCAATTATCGTGACCCCAGGTGTGCACCTGCATTGGTGCCCTCAGTGCTGGACAGTGTCACACAATGGTTTCATTGTCCTAAAAACCCTCTTCTTTGTTACTTCCAACCCCTCCCTTAGCCCCTGGCAACCACTGACCTCCATCTCCCTAGCTTTGCCTTTTCTAGATACCATATGGGTGGAGTCCCAGTGTGAGTGTTTTCAGACTGCCCTGTTTTGCTTAGCAATATGTGCTTAAAATTCCTCCATGTCTTCCCACCATCTAGATGGTCAAGTTTGCTCATCCACTCAGCCACTGAAGGTTGCTTCCACATTTTGGCAGTCACAAATGAAGTTCCAGAGGGTTTTTGTGTGGACACAAGTATCAGTTCCTTTGATGAACCATTTCATAGTGGCAGCTTGCTGTATCTGTTAAAGATTTAAGTGCATCTTTCCATTATCTACCCTTTTTACTGTTAGGAATTTTTAGGTTAAAGAGTATAAAATCCAGAGTTATGATTGCAAAATGTGACAATCTGCCATCTCTTTGCCAAGGAACTTGGGGCTTGTGGTCATGGTGCTTTTCCTCAGGTGCACATTTTGTTTGTTTTATGGTGCTGGGGATGGAAACTAGAGCTTCCTATACTCTAGGTAAACACTCTGCTACCCCAAAGCCAAGGCTTTGTTTAAAATGGGATCACTGTATACCCTGCCATCTCTGTGTCATCTTACAGCCTGTTATATCATCCTAAGGCAACTTTCTTGAATATCACCTTTGCTGTTATCAAATTCATATATTATGGGTCAGTTTTTCAATTCCGTTCACCAAATTCTTTCCATTTATTTCATAGCCAGGACACAAATCCTTTGTTCTCTTGGCAGTTTTGGGTATCAGACCCAGGGCCTTGTGCATGCTAGGCAAGCACTCCACCACTGAGCTATACTGTAGTCCCCAAAATTCTGTTACTGAACCTATTGCTGTAACTCAGTTCTCCCAGAGAAGTTCAGAATGATTTCATTATGGTTTAGTTCCCCATGGGAACACTGACACTTTATTCACTTGCCTAAGTTAAGGTGCAGTTTTCATCTTTAATCGCACATCTGTGCGTAATACAGGTCTTCTATCTTCCTGGCTTTCTAGTTTTCTTGTGTATTTCTCACTAGTTATAAATTTTCAACACGCAGTCACTGAGCTTTTCCTTGTGGGCCAAACCCTCTGTGAAGCATTACAGTACACACAAAGTCCCCATATTGAGGACATGCAGTCCTATCCAGCAGACAAACACTAAGGAACACAGGTGGGCTGACTTAAAAAATGGAGGTGACTGTGGTGGTGAGAAGTACAGGAAGTCTGGTCTGCTTGGCAGACCAAAGGGAAAGCTGAGCCCAGTAGCCTGAGGTTGCAGGCCACAGCCAGATCCCACAGAAACCGCTCAGACCCGCGTGTCACTGGGAAAACCACCATAGTTCAAGCAGGAACGGTCCCTGCAATGTTGACACGCTTGAGGGAACCTTTCTTCCTTGTATCTGGCTGTTTTCATTTTGTAAATGTTAATGCTACTTATATTGATGTATTTATCTGATTTCCAGACACTTCACAAAATTCTCATCCGCTTGGATGGCTTTTTAATTGATTTTCTTAGATTTTTCCAATTTGTCTACAAATAATCACTTGTTCTGTCCTATTTCAATATACCTTTTTAGTTGTTTATTGTAGAGCTAGCACCTCTTAAATAGTGTGCCTTTTTTAAGAACTAGCAGTACAACTTTCTCCTCTTTGTATTTTGTCTCGAGTACAGGGAATATGATGGAAGCTTGGGGCATCCCCTCCCAGAAACACACTGATGGCCCTTCTCCCGCCCACCATTCAGCTGCAGCCCCGTTGGTTTCTGTGCTCACTGTTTCTAATATCTGCTGTTTGTTTATCATGTTCAGGTTCTCCTCCCGTTTCAAAATTAGTCCTTACTTGCTAAGGCTTGTTTGAAATCAAGACTCTGTTTTCACTCTTTTGTCTTGCTTCTCGGCTTGTGTTTGGGCAATCTCATGTATGCCAACAGGGGCATTCATTCCCATGCTGGAATGAATGTTTACTGTGCTGCTAGAGCTTAATCTTCAGATTTAAGTGCTCTTGCAGCTTTTTATAAGGAAAATACAATTTTGGGGGGGGGAGTTTTTGGTGGTACTCAGGGCCTCATGCTTGCTAGGCAGGTGCTCTACCACTTAAACCACTCCACTAGCCACAAGGAAAATACAACTTTTTAAATTACTTTTCCAAGTTTTGGTTTTACTCTTCTGAAAGTTTTCCTACAACAAATAAAAATGCATAACAAAGACTCATCCACAGCCTAGCCTAGCCTTCGTTTGCATCAAAACAAAGTTTTTCACTAAGCTCAGCCACCTGACGCAGGAGTGAAAGTATTTTTACACATCTGTTTTTTGTGCAGGTTGAGGAACAAGTCAGCACTACCGAGAGAGTGTTTCAGGATAGACAATATCAGATTGATGCTGCTATTGTTAGAATAATGAAGATGAGAAAGACACTTGGTCATAACCTTCTCGTCTCTGAACTGTATAATCAGCTGAAGTTCCCAGTAAAGGTGAGCGTGCCCACAGCGTGGTTGAATGTGTGGGGTGTGCTGATGCTCAGCCTGAAGTACTCTCATGGCCCTCAGCATCCTAGCACTGATGCCCCTCAGTCAGGCAGAGTCTGGGAGGTTCTCCACCGGCCCCTCCCAGAACACTGCACTTGTCGTGATTTCAGGAGAAAGGGTGCTGCAGGAGATCTGGACACACTTTCCTCCCTGGTTTTAAGAGTCAGGTTCACTACACGGGATCTTGGGGAGGGTTAACAATTTGGTGATATTTTGTGGTGGCTGTTGCATGTGAAAGCCAGCCTCAGGCCTGTCTCTCCACCCTGAGCTCCAGAACTGGGCTCTGTGGTTCTGCTGCAGACAGAATGTGGGATAAGCTAGGGAAAATATATCGTGTAGTGCTTCATTCATCAGAAGGTTCTGAGTTCTCAATGACCCTGGCCTTTCAGCTGGACCCACACCTGTGCCATGGGGAAGGAGTCCTGGTTCTGTGAAGTGTGGTGTGATCCTCCCTCCCCACTGGGGAGTCAGCACTCAGTGGATGGTGGGGGCCAAGGCCAGACGCTGCTCTCCACGTGGGGGGTGCACAGCCAGTGAAATGCTGTATGCATGGTGGGCTTACTGCCCCAAACCAGGGCATCTTTCCCTTTGCAAATGAAGAGACTCAGCAATTAAGTAGGAGTGTGATATGCAGCTAGCCAGAGCCCCCAGCCCGTTTTAGCCGTATCCGTGTCTACGAGCTATCACTCAACAGATAGATAGAAAGGCTTGCTGTTTGGAAAGTGGAGTGCTAACACAGATTTGCTTCGTAACAGCAGAGCTAAGGGTGGTGCCCGTTGGGTGGAGACACTTAGGTCTTAGGCTCTGTGATTGTTACATACTGTTAGCAAAGAATAGTTAGAATTTGTGATTACACTAGGCTGCACATGAGTGTACAGTAAAAAGCACAGAACTCAGAAGAGCCACACAGGATGAAATGCTCCGTGGGATTGCCAGCGTCCTTTCGAGCAAGCCTGTGGGTCATGGCTGGTGCATTTACATTTCCCAGCTGAAGCCATGCGCAGCAGGTGGTGGAAACACTTGGTAGGGAGACAGTGCTAACGTTGTCCTTGAAGTAGGGAGCTTTGTCGTTCTGTAATTACCAACGGTTTGTGTGTAAATACATCTTTTACAGTTACGTATTGATATAACTGCGTACCTCACGCATGACGTATTATACCCCTTGTGTTTGTGAGTTTAGTGCCAGCAAAGGAGTCATTTGCTTTATATTTCTGTTACAGCCTGGAGATCTGAAAAAGAGGATCGAATCCCTTATAGACAGAGACTACATGGAGCGAGACAGAGACAGTCCAAATCAGTACCACTACGTGGCGTGATGTGCCAGTGGACTGTTGTCTCCCAGTAGAACCAACGCCAGGATGTGTGAAAAGCAGTGAAGCCCACACGCCGTTTCCAGACCCTGCAACTGGACCAGCTGTGGCCACTTGGATGCGAAGGATGTGATTGCTACGTCCACCCAGGGCTCGAGGACTTTCAGATGACACATGTGTCTTTCCTCCACTTCTTCCTCTAGTTCTTTTAGTCATTTAAATTGTTTCTGCTGCTTTGTGCAAAGTAACTTTGAGGCCGGACACAAAGATAGAAGATAGTAGTTAAGAGAGGTTCCTTCACAGGTGGTGTTCTTGTGGCAGCAGGCGCAGGCTTGGTTTGTTTCGTGTGTGATTGTGTGCATAGTGGAAAGACCCAACTAGATGCTGCATTCTGTCCAAGACGAGCACTGTGGCCATGAGCACTTGGACTGAAAATGGGGCCCTCAGCTGGTGGACACTGGGAAGACAGTCAGTGTCCAAGCCAGCCACTCAATTCCGTACCCAAGCCCTAGCCTCTGTGTTCCATGTACTTCCAGGAAGTTTGAAATTCTGGCAACTGGTTTCTTACAATCAGGTTTCTAAGTGACATCCTGATGTGCCAAGAGGATATTGTGTCTGATGCATGACACGGAGCCCATTGGCACCACCAGTTCAGTTCAGCCAAGTTACCTGTGCACTTCCCTTTTAAGGGCTTGGGGTTAGTGTGTTGGTGTTTTCATTCTAAGACTGAGTCTGGATGACTGCAGTTTGCAGGATTTGTGTGGTTGCCATAATAAAGTTTGGTTTGGTTTTGCAGTCACTCACAGGGACTGTCCTTGTTCTCTGCCCTGCCACTGTACAGAGCTTCAGGGGAGACTCAGTCTTGACATTGTGATGCAGAGGTCATTCTGTTGACACCTGGCTCTGTGTTGTGTACACACGTGAGGTTGAGCAGTGGAGAGGGAAGGTTCAGTAGTGATGTTAGTATGGAAACAATGACAAAGATACTTTTGTGATAACTTTTAAAAATACTTTATATTTTACAAAATAGCATGTTTCATTTTGATTAAAAGCTACCAAAGGAATTTTGATCATGGTATGAGTGTTTAAAGCAATATTTTCTGGAATATACCAAATTTATATAATTTCATTTTATGCTAAATTATTAAAGGATTCTCCCTTTTTGAAACATGCGTGTTTAAAATATGACATCTTTTGGGTTCCGACATTAAAATCCTTAACTCTTTAAGTATCATCATTTCTATATTTGTAAATCTTCATTTATGAGTTCTATGATACGTGGTCTGTGAAAGGCCAAATAGATTTCTCTCTACTTCTTATATTTTAAGTTCATTGTGTCTAGAGATTGTTAATATTGTAATTTAATGTAGACTTCCTTTGAATAAAACTAGTTTAATTGGCCTTAAAATTATATTAATAAAACTTTTTGGTATGCAAACTACAGATTCCTCATACCTGTAATGACCAGGACACCAGACAGAGAGACACCAGAAACAGGGAACATCGTCACCCTGATGTGACTTTCCCTCCCAGCTCAGCTCTACCACAAACGACCGATGAGGGAAGTGGTTTTCTGCCATTCTCTTTTTTTATCGATATCGTCCAGCTTATAGTTAAAGGTTAATGTTATAAAGCAAATAGCTGAAGAGGAAAATGTGCTTAGACAAGAAAAGCTATGAGACTGGAAAGGAAGAGGTGAAATTGTTTGCATTTTAGATAGTTGTACACCCAGAAAATCCCAAGACATGAAAAACTCTTGACAGCAAATTAACAGGAAAGTCAGTCAGTAGCTTTCCTTTAAATAAAGACTGTAACAGCAAGTAAGAATACCTAGTAAGGAGCAGGGGAACTGCTACATGCATCCCCAGGTGTCTCCCAAGCATCGAAAGCTGATTGACTCTGTGGGCACCAAGGGCCCATCATAAACCACCTCACCAACAGGAGAGTTGAATTACATTCATTTGTGTGCTAAGTTGCAAGTGACTGAAGATTTAAGTATAAAAAGATGAAACAAATATAGAAAAAACGTGATTATTTTTTCCTTTTTGCAGGGGGTGGGCATTACTGGGGTTTGAACTTGGGGCCTCATGTTTGCTAGGCAGATGCTCTACTGCTTGGGCCACTCCACCAGCCCTGTTTTGCTTCAGTTTTTTTTTTTTTCAGATAAGGTCTCAAGTTTTTTCCCAGGGCCAACCGCAGACTGAGTTCCTGTTACTTATGGCCTTCTATGTAGTTGGGATGACAGGTACAGGCTACCATGCCATGCGTACCGATTTGAGATGGGGTCTCTTTTTGCCCGGGCTGGCCTCAAACCTGATCTCCACCTCTTGGGTAGCTGGGATTTCAGGCCTGCGCCACTGCTCTCAGCCTAAGGTTTCTGTTGCGTAGCAGGAACAGACACCACCTAGATTTCACAGCAAATCCTGAGTGAATGTGTCTTAGCTAAGCCATGTGGGAGGATAAATGCCACACTCTGCTCTTTGCTCTTCTCAGGCCTCGTCTTGAGCAAGGAAGGTCTGACCATCTACTGAAGTGCTGCCCTGGCAGCCTGGCCCCATTTCAGCCCGTCCCCCACTTTCTTTGAGTTCAAATCCTGAGTTGGAAATGATGAAGTGGCTTTGAGGATTTCAGTTCCCATTCTGTATCTTCCACAGTTAGAAATGTGCTCTGTGAATGACACTCATTCTTCAAGAACAGGCCCTAGTAAACACCAGCTGCCAGGGTTCCCAGGCTGTGCCAGGAAACGAGTGTGAGAGACTGCAGCGAGACCTCGTAACTCTCATGCTGCAAATACTCCCAAACTGCTGCTTAAGTCTGCTTTCTAAGAAGCATAAAAGTTTTGGTTCTTCTTTGTAACTTAAAAAAAAAAACACTACCACAGGTTAAGTACTTCAAGGAAATCTAACAACAGCACTTGGCACTCAGGCAAGCGCTGTCGTGGAATAGCACCCGAGCGAGGGTCAGTGTCTCCTTCCAGGAATCTGCTAAAAGGAAATGACTGGAGATGGGCAGGAGACAAGCTCTTGACAGCACCGAACGGCAAAGCACCAAACTCCTACAGGGGGGTCGAGTTTTGTAAAGTATTCTATGACAAGTCTTGCTACTTTCTATTAGCATGTATTTCACTTGAAAACTTACGAAAATGGGCAAAAGTCAGTGTTCTCCAGGTGAGTAGGAAACAGAATTGGGAAAGAGGAGGATAAGAGGTGAGCAGACAGGATGCAAGGCTGCCCGCCCCAACGCCCAGCCCCCAGCCCACCACTCTCAGGCCTGAGGTGTCCTACTCTGTGCTTGAAATTCCAGTAACCCCAGCAGTGCATCTTCCTGGGTAAAGATGAAATAACGGGGAACTTGGACAAAACAAATATAAGCAGGTGATTCAGCCTGTTTGATGAACAACTAAATGAAAAAATTAGATCCTACCCCTTTAATGGTTGTAGTGGGGTAGCATGAACTGCAGTGTGTGCTACACATCCCTTTCACCTAGCAAATTCAATCTATGAGGGAAATTATAGGCACATATAAAAAATTTATCTTCAAATATGTTTATATTACTTAGGGCTGGGTGAGTGGTTCAAGTGGTGGAATGTCTGCTTAGCAACCATGAAACCCTGAATTCAAACTCCAATACCTCCAAAAGTTCAGATTACTTATATTACCAAATAACGTCATTACAAAAATTACACAGTTTCTAAAAAGTCTAGTACATGGGGAAAACATTTCTTAAGACTTACAAAAAGTAGGATGTAAATTGAGAACTTTAAAAAAATGTATGTAAAAGAGACAAAATGTAACAATACATAACTGCTGGTTGACAAGTAGTGAATTTTTCTCTTCCCATTTTCTGCATTTCTCAGTTTTTTATTATGAATAACTATTACCACTTTTAAAGTAAAACTTTAAAAATGACTCAACTAGATATCAACAGATTAAGTGTCCTTAGAGTAGAGGACCTGACACCTAGCTGTCCACTCCCCCAGCTGATTTCTCAACGAGACAAGGAACAGTAAAAACGCTTCTGGCAGCTGCGCATGGTGAAGCACTCAGGAGGCTGAGGCAGGAGGATGGAGTTCCAAGCCAGCATTCACACCTGTCTCAAAAAAAAAAAAAACCAAGAAGAAAAAAGGAAATAAAAAAATAAATAAACCCACAAGATGACCAACAGAAGAGTCAGTGCCAGCACCCTGCAGAACCAAGTGACTTCAAAGACCAGCAGGGGTTGGTCTACTGAAGTAGTGGTCCAACTGCCACTTGGTCTCCACATTGCCAGCTTCCTGTTGACCCACAGCCCTGTCTCAGTTCTCAGGGCTCATCCAGGACCCCACCCTACGTTTGTCCACATCTCCTGGGTCTATCTGTGACTTCATGACCCATCTTCATGACCTTGAGACTTTTAGGAGCTGGTTGTTTTTCTTGCAGAGCCCTCCCCCACTCCCCGTGCCTGCCTGTTAACCTGCAGACATGTGAAGCAGGTCACTGGTTGGTGGGAAGGGCACTAGAGAGGTGGCTTCCCAATGCAGTGCCCTCTCAAGAGGCCCAGGGAGTCCGTTTGTCCTATGGCTGGGGACCTTGACCTTAATGAGCTGATAGAGGTGGTGTCTGCTGGTTTTCTTTATTCTTTTTTTTCCCTTTTGGTGGTGCTCAGGCTCACCAAGTACTCTACGACTCAGCTGCACCCAGCCCAATCGTTTTCTCTTTGTAAGTAAAAAATAAAAAAGTAAGGCCACTGTTCCTTGTTGCCACTTGATGTTCTAGGTTTGTTCCTCAACCCCTGCCAAGTACCTGAAGCAGACAGAGCCACCTGCTGGCTTTCCAACAGAAAAACGTCTGTTAGCAGGAGCCGGTGGCTCCTGCCTGTAATCCTAGCTACTTGGGAGGCACAGATCAGGAGGATCGTGGTTCGTAGGGCTAGCCCGAAAACAAAAGCGAGACCCTATCTCAAAAATACCCAACATGACTATGAGCACATGATAAAAGCGAGAGCACACAAGGGAGGGGTGAGGATAGGTAAGACACCTAAAAAACTAGCTAGCATTTGTTGCCCTTAACGCAGAGAAACTAAAGCAGATACCTTAAAGCAACTGAGGCCAATAGGAAAAGGGGACCAGGAACTAGAGAAAAGGTTAGATCAAAAAGAATTAACCTAGAAGGTAACACCCACGCACAGAAATCAATGTGAGTCAATGCCCTGTATAGCTATCCTTATCTCAACCAGCAAAAACCTTGTTCCTTCCTATTATTGCTTATACTCTCTCTACAACAAAAATTAGAGATAAGGCAAAATAGTTTCTGCTGGGTATTGAGGGGGAGCGGGAGGGGGTGGAGGGTGGTAAGGAGGGGTGGAGTAGGTGGTAAGGGAGGGTGGGGGCAGGGAGAGAAATAAACCAAGCCTTGTATGCACATATGAATAATAAAAGAAAAATGAAAAAAAAAAATAAATAAATAAATAAAATGAGATTTAAAAAAAAAAAAAAATACCCAACATGAAAGAGAGTGGTGGAGTGGCCCAAATAGCAGAGTCCCTGCCTAGCAAGCATGAGGCCCTGAATTCAAATTCCAGTGCTGCTAAATAGTTAGAAAAACTACTGATCATCACCCTTACTTTTATTAGTGCAAATTAATTATACGAAGGGGTTTCACCGTGACATTTCCATACATGTTCATGAGGCAGTTTGATCAAATTCATCCCTATTACTCTTTCTTAACTCCTGTCCCCTCCCCCTTCTTGAGTTTTTCGTTGGCTTCATTGTGCTATTTTCATACATGTACATATATCCAATGTACTTCTATCATGTCCACTCCCATCACCTTCTCCTTCCCCCTCCATTCCTGTTGGGTCCCCCTCAACTAACTGAATTTTTTAAAGCCTCCTCCAAAAGCTTTCACAACACAAGCAGTTACTCTTTTAGTCTCTCCCCAATCACAAATAGATGACACACAGCCTGTGACAAGGGTTCAGCAAAGAACAAAGCAAAAACTCACCACACTAGTTTATCATTCTCTGCTCTATAAAACTATTTTTGTTAAGCTTTTCATTTTCTGGAGTTTGGTGGTACTGGGGTTTGATCTCAGGATTTCAAGCTTGCCAGGCAGTGCTGTTTCACTCTGCCACCCCCTTCCCTGTTTTTGTTTGTTTGGCAGTACTAGAGTTTGAAGTCAGGGCCTCACATTTGATAGGCAGGCACTCTACCACTTGAGCCATTTTGCTAGCCCTTTATGGCGTTTGTCCAGATGGCTTCCAACCTCAATCCTCTTGATTTCTGCTTTCTGAGTATATAGGATTACAGGTGTGAGCTGCTGGTGCCAAGCTTCATTTTCTGGTTTTGACACTCTGTTCTTTAGTTAGTCCTCTCTTTCTTTGAGCTCATGTGTGCTACACAGGTGCTCTACTGTTTGAGCAGCACTTCCAGCCCCTTTGTTAGTCTTTACAGCAGTTATAGTATCACAAAGATACTGTAACTGTGCAGTTTTAGGATACAGAGTATCACAGGAAAATCACCAGATTCAGGGAAAAGTCAGGAGCCCAGCTGAGAGCACACTGTTAGTCCACACTGGTTGGGGCCAGGCAGGGCCAAAGCTCCCCACTGCCTCCAGAAATCCCACTGCCCATCATCACCAGACTACCATGCTCAGAACAGAGTCTCTGCCTTCATTAGTGCTGATTCAGCCATACAGGCTGGACTCTGGCCAATGGCCACTCTGTATCTGCCAGGATAGCCAGGAAAGTGACCATTTTTTTCTCCTTTGGGGGCTTTGCCCACCACCAACTTTCACAAGATAAAAAGCAGCTTCAGAAGCTGGAAAGCACGAGCCACAGGGGGACCTATTTCCATGCTCAAGGTTATCTCATAGTTTTTCCAAACCAGAATGCTCAAGAGAATATGGAAATACCTTAAAAATCCTCCAATCAGGTCTGCATTTAGCACTCTGCTTCAAATGAGCAAACCAAACATTTTCACAGCATGTTACATTATCGGGGACAAACAGGCCCTAGGATGCTGTCTTGTCTGCTGTGCACCTTGATTGGCCATTTTGGCACAGAGAATTCCTCAGTGGAATTCTGCTTCACCCTTCTCATCTGGAATAGCAATAAGCAACTCCAAAGGTCCCTGATCATCTGAAACAGGTGAGAAAAGCTAATCATTCCCTTCCTGCCGCCAACAACAAAACCTGAAAGCTCCAAGACTCTGTCCAAGAACACATTTGCTCCGACATTATTTGCACCTCAGTTCAGGTTCAGAACCTTTTCCAGCCCATTACTTTTTTTATTTTATTTTATTATTCATATGTTCTTACAAAGCTTGGATCATTTCTCCCCCCTGCCCCTACCCCCTCCCTTACCACCCACTCCACCCCTCCCTCTCCCCCCTACCCCCTCAATACCCAGCAGAAACTATTTTACCCTTATTTCTAATTTTGTTGTAGAGAGAGTATAAGCAATAATAGGAAGGAACAAGGGTTTCTGCTAGTTGAGATAAGGATAGCTATACAGGGAGTTGACTCACATTAATTTCCTGTGCATGTGTGTTACCTTCTAGGTTCTTTTTTTTTTTTATTATTCATATGTGCATACAAGGCTTGGTTCATTTCTCCCCCCTGCCCCCACCCCCTCCGCCCCCTCCCTCTCCCCCCTCCAATACCCAGCAGAAACTATTTTGCCCTTATCTCTAATTTTGTTGTAGAGAGAGTATAAGCAATAACAGGAAGGGACAAGGGGTTTTGCTGGTTGAGATAAGGATAGCTATACAGGGCATAGATCTAACCTTTTCTTTAGTACCTGTTCCCCTTTTCCAATTGGCCTCAGTTGCTTTTAAGGTAACTGCTTTAGTTTCTCTTCGTTAAAGGCAACAAATTCTAGCTAATTTTTTAGGTGTCTTACCTATCCTCTCCCCTCCCTTGTGTGCTCTCGCTTTTATCATGTGCTCAAAGTCCAGTCCCATTGTTGTGTTTGCCCTTGATCTAATGTCCGCATATGAGGGAGAACATATGATTTTTTGGTCTTTTGGGCCAGGCTAACCTCACTCAGAATGATGTTCTCCAATTCCATCCATTTACCAGCAAATGATAACATTTCGTTCTTCATGGCTGCATAAAATTCCATTGTGTATAGATACCACATTTTCTTAATCCATTCGTCAGTGCTGGGGCATCTTGGCTGTTTCCATAACTTGCCAGCCCATTACTTCTTAGAAGCTGGAGAAACAGAGAGGGATGGGCAGAGAGAAATAATAGCAAGGAGGACTGAAAAATCCACAAAGAGTCAGAAGAGTGGAGGGCTACTTAGTAGGCTGGGTGTAATCCGCAAACCTGAGCTGAAGTGGCTCAAGGTGTGTTGCTGAGGGGGTGGGATTTGGCGGAGCAGAGCAGGATTAGCAAGGAAAGCCACCAGACATCCATCTCTGTAACAACTGAACCAGCACAAAGGTAGAGGCAGAGCTCGGCTGACAAAGTACAACCTCTGGTGGCAAACTAGGTTGAGACTTCTGTCCTACTTGCAGCAGGCGATGGGCTGAGGGGGGATTTCAGGCCCCAGAAACAGGGAAAATTGGATTTCTTTGGGGGAATGTATGGACTGGACTGGGTGAGCATTCTGACCTTTTCTGATCCACACTGTAGGAAATCACTAAACACAACCAGAAAGCCCTGCAATTTCTCACCGTCCTTCAACCAAGATTTTGTACAGCATTAAATTTAAACATTTTATTTTGCAACGTTAAGTATGCTTGTTCAAACACCTCGCCTTCATTTTAAGGCCTACTTGAGAATCAGAGGACCTAGTGTCACCAGACAAACCACCCCTGAGGCAATCCCTTTTGCTAACAGTGTTGTTTCCATTTCTTTCCTACCTAGACAGGCAAGCATCTCGGTTTTAGATGCTGCCTTGGAAGCAGGCGCAGGATGGAACCGGAAAAACAGGTTTCAGTTATAAAGGAGCCCATGTGGCCTTGCTATTTACCCCATCTTAATGTCATATACTGTGACCCTAACCCTAATAAAGTTCCCCCACCTGCCAGCATCATCCTGGCCTGGTCCTGTTCTCACCTAAACTGAAATCAAGGCAGATAAGGATTAAAGAAAAGCAGTCCTGGATCGCAGGGATGGACGCAACTCCTCCCCAGAAAGTCATGAATAATCCCCCACTTATTAACAAAAATCCTCCTTTTACTCAAAGAGGACCTTCACCCTTTGCCCAGGAGAGAAGCTCATCTGTGAGCTATTTCATGCACAGTCGGCTCTAGGTTTTGCTCTTGGGTCCACAATTCTTCCCCAGAAAGAACTGATAACTCGGGGGTTTTGAGTATTAAGCTACTAGAAGATGTTCCAGTATTGAGTTGTTTGGGGAAATCCTGGGCCATCTCAGGTAGGAAAACAGTAGTTGTCTCCTCTCATCAGGAACGTGCCCATGGACGCTGGTCCATCTCTGCTCTCCGCCATCAGATCAGCGAAAAGCTGCATTTACCAGATTGTCAAGAGTCTGAAGAGCTAACTTTCTGCTCAACAAGGACGAGTTTTGTCGCCCACCGCTGACAGCAAGGCCGAATCACCTATGCAACCGCCCACAACTCTGTCCGGACCGGCCAGCGGGGCCGTAGACACCAACCAGTCTGGAGCTGGGCCATGCCTCCTTGACCTGGAGGTCCGCACTTTCATCCCCTTGCGCCTTCCCCTTTCCGGCACTCACTTTCCCTGGCCACAGCTGTTCCTCTTCCCTTTCCCAAAACCACACTCCAGTTTCCATTTCAGGCCGCAATGCCCGCAAGGGCGTCTGCGGAGCCCGCAGGCACACGTGGTCCTGGAGTCACGTGCCTGGCGGTGATCACATGACGCACACGGTCACGTGCCCGCCGGCATCACGTGCCCAAGCGCGCGGGGGGCAGGGCGCAGCGCCGCTGGACGGCGCCCGCTCTCGCGAGACCTGAGAATCACGTGACGGACGGGGCGCGGTGCGGTTCACGTGACAGGCACTGCCGGCCACAGGGCGTCCTCGGTGCCGGCGCCTCAGCGGCAGGGCCTGTCGAATCGGTGGACACCGCCCTCCCGCCTCTGCCGCCGCCGCCCCGCGCCCGCTGCGGCCCCGCGCAACCGCTGTCAGCCGCCCGCTCCGGCTACGGCCGCGCCTCGCGCCATGGTGGCCCCCGGCGGTGCCCGACGGCCGCTTCTCCTGCTGCTGCTTGGTGAGGGTTGGGGGGACGTGGGGGCCGGGTCAAGGCGGGGGTCCAGGCCGGCCTCCCACTCGGAACCACTCCTGGAGGCTGGCGTGGCCCCGGCGGCCGGCTCGGGCTCGGGCTCGGGCTCGGGCTCGGGCTCGGGCTCGGGCTCGGGCTCGGGCGGCAGCGGCCGGGCCGGGCCGAGGTCGCCGGCGGACACGGCCTCGCGCGCGGGCTCCCGGAGGCCTGGCGCTGGACCCGTGCGCGGGCACGCGTTTACGTGCGGGTCTTCGGCGCCTCGAGGTGTCTGTTCGAGGCCGGCTGTCGGGCTCGCCGTGCGGCTGTCCACTCAGCCCAGCCCGGCCCAGGGCCGCGGAGGACGGGGACGAGAACCGTCACAGTCCGCACGGGCGTGTGCGGCCCCGAGCCCCTTAGACGCTGGTGGGACCGGGCTCAGTAGGGGCGCCACGGCCTGCCCGTGCCTCCTCGAGACACCCGAAGTGCCGTCCACGCGTTTGGGGTTTTGTTTTTTGGTACTGGAGTTTGAACTCCAGGCCTTGCGCACAGGCGCTCTGCTACTTGAGCCACTCCACCAGCCCAGGTACTGGGGTTTGAACTCGAGGCCTTGTTGTGGTTTTACGAGTTTTAGTTCCTCGTTTTTATTCTTGCTCGTTGTGTACAATGGATTGTTTGAATTAGGAGAGGTGCGCTTCCTCTAGTGGTCACCGACCCCATGCCTTCCTTGCCCAGGGCCCCATAACGCGCCATGCGGTGTAGTTTAGAAATTAGGAGTTGCGGAAGCAAGTTTTGTCATGTCATGTTGACTGTCATTCTTCACTAGAAGAACTTACGAGGACTGGGATATAGATTGTCCCTAGCTTGCTCAAGGCCCTGGGTTCTGTCCACAGCACTGCAAAATTTTAAAAAATCAGAGCAATCTCACAAACCTTAGCATGTTCATATTTGGTTCATGTTTCTCAGGCTCACTTTTTAAATGGAGAAAAAAATCCATAATTTAAGATACTGTGGTAATTTAGAGTGCTGTAATAAGTTTTATGTTCAATCCGACTCTTAAAAGTATTTTTACAACTTGATTTAGGTCTGTCTTAAATATATTTTTTAAATGTACTAATGCACCAAAAAGATTCCTTTTTTTAAAAAACTGACTTTATTGACTCCACATGAATAATGAGGAATTGTTTAAAGCCTCCGTTTTGTTTGAATACTACATAGAAAGAACGGTCATGGACTGAAATTATTACATGAGATGACACATTTCGTAATGAGTCTCCAATATTGATGTCAACTGGATGGCTTCCTTCCCCTTTCGGACGAAGACTTGTCACTCGGGAAGTTCGAAAAGTTTTGTGCTAATTAGTGTTTGTGGGAGTTTATCAGTTATTCAGGGGAAAAGACTGGTAAATCTTCACTAGCTGTGATGTCAAAATGTTTTGTGGTCCTGTAATTTTAAATTTATGTTAGTTGGACCCACTGCAGACAGGACTTGAACTGCTCGGTTTGATTGTAGCGCCAGGTCACCTATACTGTGTTTTAGTGCCGCTGTCTCCTACTTCACTTAGAGCCCAACCTGTGACTGGCAAATAGTAAGTGCTTGGTACCTATGTGAGCAAACGCCCAGTTTTACACCAGTGGTTCTGTTTTTTTAGGGGGCTGGAGGTGGGTAGGTGGTAGTGGATTTTGAACTCAGAGCCTCACACTTGCTAGGCAGGTGCTCTACTACTTGAGCCACTGCTCCAGCCCTGTTTTGTATTGGGTATTTTCAAGATGGGGGTCCCATGAATTATTTGTCCCGCCTGGCTTCAAACCTCGATCTGCCTGATCTCTGCCTCCTGAACAGCTAGGATTACAGGCAAGAGCCACTGGCACCCATCACAGCATGGATTCTTAACAAACATAGGCAAGATCAACATTTTAGAAATACATATACTTGTGCACTGCTGCTAGAGGTTGTGGTTCAATGTCTAGAATGGAACTTTGGTTTTTGATTTTTTTTTTTCTCATTAGAAGGTGATTATGGATTGCTTTTTAAGAAAAATGAAGCTAGGATATTTCTTTTGAAAATTATTATTATTTTGTGATACTGGGGCTTGAACTCAGGGCCTACATCTTGAGCCACTCCACCAATCCCTTTTTTTTGTGAATTTTTTTTCGTGATAGGGTCTGAAGGAACTGTTGGCCCCGGCTGGATGCGAACCATGATGCCTCCTGAGTAGCTAGGATTTCAGGCATGAGCCACCAGCATGTGGTGAAAATTAATTTTTTAAAGAAATGTGTTGATCCTTTTGGATAACACTCCTTCATTTTAAAAGCAAGTGTTTTGTACTCTAAAGCATGTTCCCTTACCAGTGCTGAGGCCACACACTGAAGCAAAAACTTGTACTTCTCACTTGCTTTGTGACTTTGAGCAAGTTGGTCAGCACCTCTGTGCCAGTCTCCATCTCTGCAGAAGAGAATCCATAATCTACCTATTAGGGTTGTCATGGTAATCAAATTAATTGTACAGTGCTTTGAGCAGTGCTTGTCACAAAGTAAATGTATTACAAGTCCTTGTTAAGCAGCCTGGGGTGGCACATGCTCAGTCCAAGAGTTCCAGGCCAGCCTGGCCAGTGAAAGGAGAGACACCTCCACCTCAAAAAAGAGTGCTTTCTAAATTATCTGCCTTTTTGAAATTTTGTAAGGGACTGAGGATTAAATAGTGAACCTGACTCCTATAGGAGTTGAGTACTTAAGTAATAACAGGTAACTAGTTGATACCCTGCATCACATGCTCAGCTATGCCTGAGGTGTCTGCACCCTTCCTTGCTGTTCTCAGGTACATAAACTGGGGGTCTCGGGTGGCTATTGGGCCATGGTCACAGGCTAGTAAGTGGTGAAAAAGCCCCTGGAAACTGAGGTCTCTGACTCAGAAGCATGCAGTCCTTTTAGAGAAGGGAATTCCTACAAGTAAGAGTATTTTGAAAGAATTAGCCAGAGTTCCTCTTTGTGAGCCCTGAAGAAGTGAGCACATTGGCTCCTAGGAAGAACTGCCAGAGCTAGCAGTCAGTCCATTGGCAGGCAGGTGGGGCCCTGGCAGCTGCTCCTGATACCTGTCAGATTATTGCAGACATCCTAACTAATTTTAGGAGGGTCTTGTTTATTTTTTCAAATCAATGCCACTGTTAGGAAATGATTAAAAGATTTCTGCCCATTTGCACACATTTTTCTTTTTTTTACAATCCTATGTTTTCTTTTTATTTATTTATTTATTTCGGTATTAGGGCTTAAACTCCAGGTTTTCACCTTGAGCCACTCTGCCAGCCCTTTTTTTGTGATGGGTGTTTTAGAGATAGGGTCTCTTGAGCTCTTTGCCCAAGCTGGCTTCCAACCACGATCCTCCTGATCTCTGCCTCCTGAGTAGCTAGGATTACAGGCCTGAGCCACTGGCCCCCTTATATTCTTTGTTTTTGTTTTGGGTTTTTTTTTTTTTTTTTTTTTTTTTTTCTTTTTACCGGCACTGGGGTTTGAACTCAGGGCCTCATGCTTGCTAGGCAAGCTCTCTTACACTTGAACCACTTTGACACCCCCCTTTTTTTTGTGATGGATTTTTCAAGATAACAGACTATTTGCTTGGGGCTAGCTTCAAACCGCAATCCTGATCTCTGCCAGTAGCTGGGATTACTGGCGTGAGCCATGTTGCCCACTACAATCCTGTTTTGACGTTCTTGTGGACATTTTTCTTTTGGGCAAAATTGTCTTCTAGTGGGCAAAGTTTCTTGTTTTAATAATCTAGAATTTCTGGGCCTCTGCAGAATTGATATGAGCATCTAGTGGTGCAGGCATTTATTTTAAATTGTTTTAGTAACACTTGATTTTCCTTCGAAAGCTCAGGCCCTTAGCATGTTCACTAAATGAAGATGAAAGTTGACAGGTTATTTAGGGTAAAGTGTTTCCTATGAAAATCCTTTGGGTCGTTAAAGAGAATTTTTTTTAATGATTTAGGAAAAACTCTGGTGCAAGTTGCTGGCCTGGGTGTGCTCCCTTGGGGCATCTTCAGCATTGGAGCTTGTGACTTCTGGGACCCTCCTGCTAAGAACATCTCAGGCCAAGCAAGGCGGGGCAGGCAGTGATCACAGCCTCACAGGGCTTAGCCTTCTGTCTGCTTAGGCTTCAGCTGTACTTGCACCTGCTCACTTGTGCGTCTGCCTGCCTCTGGCCCTGCTGTATCTCCTCTGCAGCAACACTGCACTCCTACATCCCTCACAGACAGCCTCAGAATGATTTTTCTTTTCTTTTTTCTTGGTGGAACAAGGGTTTGAACTCAGTGCTTTGTGCTTACAAAGCAGGCATGCTACCACTTGAGCCATAATTGAAGTCTATTTGGCTTTGGTTATTTTGGAGATGGGGGCGTCTCAAGAACTATTTGCACAGGGTGGCCTAAAACCTTAATCCTCTGGATCTCAGCCTCCTAAGTAGCTAGGATTACAGGGTGCTGAGCCACTGGACCCCAGCCTCATTGTGTTGAAAAGAAATTGTGGAATCTTCTCTGTTTTTCTAAGTGTGATTTTCATTCATTGGAAATGCCTTTAGTATAATGTTGCCTGAGTATTGCAGGGGTGGATTAAAAAGCAAAGCAAAACATAATAAATTGCACAGACTTCCAGAAGCATTCCGCAGTTTGTTTCATTCTCATATAGCAGCTCTTAAGAGCATAGGCCTCTCTAAAGGAAAGGAAGGTGTCTGGAATTTCTGGTTACAGTCTTTAACTCTAGACTCAAATACTGGTTGCTCTAAAAATTTTTCATTTGTGAAAGTTCCAAGGATATAATAAATTAGGTTCATTGGAGTCCATTTAACCTTCACAGAGAAAAGGATTTTGCTTTATTTTATTTTTTTGAGACTGGATTTTCCTGTGTAGCCCAGGCTGGCATTAAAGCTGCAATCCTGCTGACTGTGTGGTCCATCCCAAGTGCTGGGATTAAAGGCTCTGGAGCTACTTGAGTGTCTTGTTTGTTTGGCGGCCCTGAGGTTTGAACTCAAGACTCAGGGCCTCACACTTGCTAGGCAGGTGCTCTTACCACTTGAACTACTCTGCCAGCCCTTTTTTTGTGATGTGTTTTTTTCAAGATAGAGTTTCAAGATCTATTTGCTTGGGGCTGCTTTGAACCTTGATCTTCTTGATCTCTACCTACCTCTTGAGTAGCTAGGATTGTAGGCATGTGCACTGGTACGTGGCTGAGAGTAGTATTTTAAATGAAAAGTTGAGTAAAAGTTAAATGAAAAGTCTCTTGGGATGCTGTTTGGGATTAGGCCACATGAATGTAAGTGCTCTTTGAGTGGGAGTACATCTTTAAACTGACTCTTCAGACCCCGGGTGTGTAAATGTCATTGGAAGGGCATGCACAGGCTTGTAGCAGCAGAGGCATGTGAGGTGACACCATGTCACTCTGGACAGTTCACAAATAGTGGCTAGCAGCTATTTGCCTTTAAAACTAGCAAAGATAGCTATTTTTGCCAATCTGTATTATAAAACTTAGGGTTTGTCAAAATACTGCTTTTCAACCTGTGATTAGATTACATTTGCTGCTAGGGATCTCAGTCAGGGTGGTGGGATATTTTATAAGGAAGACAGAGAAGAAGTATTCAGCAGTGACCACTTTGTAGCCAGAAAGACTTGTGGGGAGGTCAGCCCCTTTTGGATGAATTGAGGGTGTGCCTGAGAGCGCTGAGCCTCGTGCAAATTAAATTGAATGACTTGAGCAGCATACTGAAATTGGCAGAGCTCAGATCTTTTGAGTCCATGGATTTTCTTGCCACACCAGTGGTCCATGAAAAATAAAAAAAATCAAACTTGAAATACGAGTTAAGGACCACAGTGAAAGATCCTGCATCCTCTCCCCTGGATTTTGCAGAAGGTTGGTATTTGGATTGAGTTGTGCTTTTAAAGGCCCACTGCATTTTTTTTTTTAATGTGAGACAGGTTTGAAGTCATGGTTTTACTCTTGCAAAGCAGGTGCTCTGCTGCTTGAGCCACACCTCCAGTCTATTTTGCTTTGGTTATTTTGGAGATGGGGTCTCACAGGACTGATCTCAAACTGTGATCCTCCCCATCTCAGCCTCCCAAGTAGCTAGGGTTACAGTTGAAAGCCACCATCACCCTGCTGTCCTACTGCGTTTTACAGATCCTCTGAGGAACATGGAACAGGTAGGCCTAGGGTCGACCCAGAAATTGTTGTGTAACCTCCCAATAAGTGTTCTGAAATAGAACCCTACATGGCTGTAGACCAGGTTGGGAACCAGTGGGTGGGTGTTGAGATAACAATTTCAGGATAGTGCCCAGGAGGGACAGAACACCAAGTGGAGCATCATCTGTACTTGGCCTGTCTAGCCTTTTTGGGGTGGGTTGGGGGTATGGGACTGGGCCTTGAACTCAGGGTTTTGCACTTGCAAAGCAGGCATTCTATTGTTTGAGCCACATCTCCAATCCACTTTTTTCTGGTTATTTTGGAAGTGGGGTCTTGTGAACCATTTGGCCAGACTGGTGTTGAACCTGCATCCTCCCAGTCTCAGCCTCTCAAGAAGCTAGGATTACAGGTATGAGCCACTGGCAGTGGGCCTGTCTACCTCAGCGGAGTTTCCAATAAAATCCATTACTGCTCGAGTTGCAGAAAACAAACACCCATTTGTACTTTAAAAATGTATATGAGGGCTGGCAGAGTGGCTTATGCAGTAAGAGCACCTGCCTAACAATCATGAGGCCTTGAGTTTAAACCTCAGTTTTGCCAAAAAAAAAAAAAAAGTTATATGACTGACTGACTGACTGTTTACTGAAATTGGCAGGCCTTGTGCATGGTGCCTCCACAGTGTTTGTGGTGAAAAATGGTAATGGGACAGCTTGTATAATGGCCAACTTCTCTGCTGCCTTCTGGACAAGCTATGAGACCAGCCATGGCTTTCAGGTAGGAAACACCTGCTTCACCTGTGTGTGATTGTCCTTTGAAAAGTTGCTGTGCTTTAACGTGACTGTTCTTTGTGTGTAATTCCTTCTAGGATCACCAGGACTCACGCCTTCATCTGTATCCTAGACACAGTCACCACACACAAGCCACTTGTTTTGGCTTCCACTGTTTTAGCATGAATATTTCCCAGCTTTCCTCATAGTTCTTTCACAATCCCAGCGCAGCATTTGTCTGTGTTCCTCATCACAATTTGTTCAGCACTCCCCAACAGTGGCTCTGATCTCTTGCATGTAGAGGACCATAAGCACTGTAGTGCTATGGTTACAGTGTTCTTGGAGGTTCTGTTAACACAACTTTGTTCCTGTGGATAAGCGAGGCTTTTTGTACCTCCAGATTTCCAGCAGATGGGTAGCATGTGCTTGTCATGCTTCCTCCTTGATTGCCTGTTAGTGGACATTTCACATCCTCATTGTGTAAATTTACTCTTAAGCACATCACTCAACCACATTTTATTCTCAGTTCTTAGTTGGAATTGCCATTTCTCCTCACACACCCCCATTTCAGCAGCACTCAGCCCTTTGCTAGAGGGCCGGGGGTGGGGGACCTGCAGAAAGATCGCCATTATGGAGAGCATTCTGGACCCTGTGCTGCTGCTTCCCTGGTTTTAGTTCATTTGCATAGTCTCCATGTAAACAATTCTGTCAAAGAAGAAAACTGGAAAGGTGCTGTTTTCTAAAAAACATCTCAAATTATAAATGCTTGTCCACACACTTTTTATTTAATTTCTACTCTGCTTTTTGGAGATGGAGTCTCACAAATAATCTGCCCATCTCAGCCTCCCAAGTAGCTAGGATTATAGGCATAAGCCACCAGTTGTCACCTTTAATCCTCTCTTTTTGTGTTTTGTTTCAGGGGCTGGATTTTTTTAAAACAATTAGTTGTTAGATATTAATTATGTGGTACAAATAGGATCATCCGTAAGCAATCACGTGCTTTATATTTTCACAGCTCATTCCTTTCTCACCTTTCACAGTTTTGTGTTTATTAGGACATTAGTGTAAGGTCTCACCACAGCTACTTAACAGCTCGGTTCATTAGTGGCTATTAGTGTTTTTCCAGTTGTTTGCTTTGGTTTATTACAACAGTAAATTGCAACAGTTCCGCAGTAAACACCTTCTTTGTTTAAAGAGACTTTCTCTTTTGTTTATTTTGTTGTTGTTTTGAGACAAATCTTGGTATATAGCCCAAGCTGGCTTAGAGCTCTTGATCCAGGCATGTGTCCCTGTGCCAGCCTAGAGACATTCTTTTTTTTTTTTTCTTTTTTTTTTTTGGCAGTACTGGGTCTTGAACTCAGGACTTAACATGTTGAGCCACTCCACCAGCCCTTTTTTTATGAAGGGTTTTTTTGAGATAGGGTCTTGTGAACTGTTTGCCCTGACTGGCTTGGAGATATTCTTTAAATAAACATTTTTATAGCAAAAGAGTAGTGTTAGCTTTTTCAGATGTAACAAATATATAGCTGGTCCTCATGCCCTTATAGATCAAATTTCAAGTCACTAGTTCCAAGGTAACTTTTGATTTTGTTATAAATTAAAATTATTTTAATAGAAGTTTAATTTTTACCTGAAAATTGAATCACCTTTCTCCTAGACTCAGTTTACTTTTCAGTCTATTACTGACATGTAATAATACCGACCCTTTTGTGGGTTTTGTTACTTATATTAAAAATGAATACTCTATAAAAATATAGAGTAACTACAGCCAACATAATTTACTATGTATTTCAAAATAATAGCATTCAGAGGTTCCCAACCAATAAAAAAAATAAATGTTTGAGGAGACAGAAATGCTGATTGCCCCGATTTGATCATTACACGTTGTATACATGTATTGAATTGCACTGTGCCTCACAAACTTATAACAAATACTGTATCAAGTGAAATATGTTTTAGATGAATATGTTGAGGTTGCTCTGAGATGGAACTGAGTTAACCCCTAGTTGTCTCAGACTTACAGAGATGTCTTTCTTTGGTTAATAACCTACATTCTTAAGAGTTTCTGTTGCAATGTGTTTGTTCTAGAATGCAACCTTTGACCTGCCATCCTCTGCAGAAGTACTGAATAGCAGCTCTTGTGGTGGAGAAAATGCTTCCAACCCCAGCCTCGCCATTGCTTTTAGAAGCGGATTTTTGCTGACCCTCAATTTCACAAGGAATGCAACACGCTACCGTGTGCAGCTCATGCATTTTGTTTATAACTTGTCAGACACGCACCTTTTCCCCAATGCAAGCTCCAATGGTAAGAACCAGAGTTGACCACTGTGAAGAGTATTGGAAGATTGTCTTAAACTGCTAAGTACACAAGTAGTTCAGTTATGTTTTTTGTTTTCTTGTATTTTTGAAAATACTTTATTTGTTTGTTTTTGGATACAGGAAGCAAGACCGTGGAGTTCATAACTGACATCAGGGCAGACATAGACAAAAAATACCGATGTGTCAGCGCCACCCAGGTCCACATGAGCAATGTGACCATCACACTCCGTGATGCCACCATCCAGGCCTACCTGTCAAACAACAACTTCAGCGAGGGAGGTGAGGTGCTGGCCTGACCCATGGCCAGGTGATGGCTCTGTGTGCAGAAGTGTTCCCACTAGAACCGTCTATTAGACCTTTTCCCTTTATAGTAGGTGACCTCTGCAGATGATATGGGCACTCCCCCCACCCCAGAGTTGGAGTTAACCCAGGGCCTTCTGTATACTAGACGAGCACTGTACCACTGAGCTACGCAAGAGACATCTTGATTGAAAGGGTAAACATTGGCATGAAATAAGCCAGGCACAGAAGGGCAGTGCTGCATGGTCTCGCACATGGAATCTGAAAGAGTTGATCTGGAAATTGATTGTAGGGTAGGGGGTGCCAGGACTGAGGTGGGGGTGTTGAGGAATGGCAAAAAACAGGACGATTCAGCTGGATAGGAAAGAGAGTTCTAGAGGCTTGTTCAGCAGCATGGTGACTACAGTGATTGTTGAACATTGCTGAGAGGATAACTTGTAAGTGTTCTCACCACAAAAGATATGAGGTATTCGAAGTGATTCCTCTGTTAATTTGCTTGTTAGCCATTCTACAACATGTGCATGTTTCTAGTACATGGTAAATACACACTTTTTTCCCTCCCTGTAGTGCTGGGGATGAAATCCAGAACCTCATGCATGCTAGGCAAGTGCTACATTGTTGAGCCGAGTCCCAGTCCCACAATTTTTACTTGTTAGGGAAAGGGGGCAGAAAGGCAAAGCAGATAAAACCTTACCTATGTTGTCCCCTTCTGACAGGGCCGATGGGATCAGGCTCCCAGGTCTCTCCCTTCAAGCCAGGCAGCCCACAGCAGGGGCAGAAGGAACAGCATTGCCTTTGTGACCTCTGACCCCTGACCTTCTGGCAGGAGCCCAGCCCTCCTCACTCACTAGTGTCCACAAGGTACTTGTGAAATAGTAGCAGCCTGTCTTTGAAGGTTGTTGGAATTAAGGAGGAAATTTATACAAAGTATTGATCTCCTTTTAGGGCAAAGAGTAGCAACGAAATTCTACTCTTCTCTTTCATTTGTTCCCCCACCACTACCTTTTTGCCTCAAGTCGTTTTTACTATTAAGAAAATTCTGCCCAAATTCTACCAGTTAGGTCAGAAATCATGGTCATTGTTTAGAAGGTTGAGGGTGTGTGATTTGCATGAGGGTGAGCTTACTGGCACACAGGAGTGTTTAAAGATGCTGCAGCTTACCATAGTCTCAGACCTGCCTGCTCCTCAGAGCATGTGGAGGCTCTGAGGTGACTTGGGAGGGGGCTAACATAATGGCTAATTGTACTGCTGTTTGGAGTTAGTCGTCATCCCGCTCACGGTGTGCCGGGCACACTATAGCACTGGCCCTGTCCTGCACACCCAAGGTAAAAAAAAAAAAAAAAAATTGAGTCTTTGCTCCCATTTCCTGAGTAGGAACAGGAGATTCCCCCTCCACCACCACCATACACATATACTTCTTCCTACTTTATCCTGCTAATCCTGCTAGACTAAAATAAATCTTTACTAAAACTTCAAAAAAAAAAGAATATTTGATGGCACATGAAAATGACTATAAAATTTAGTGTCTGAGGGCTGGAGGCATGGCTCAAGTGGTAGTGCTTACATATCAAGCATGAAGACCTGAGTTTGAATCCCAATAAGTTTAAAAAAAAATCAGTTTAAGTATTTTCCAGTTAATCAGCTTTTTTAGTAACAATGGCAGAACCCTTGTGAGAACCACAGCCTGAAGGCTGAAATATTTACTGTCTGTGGCTTTACAGAAAGTTTGCTGAGCTCTCAGCCAGTGGCTGAGAGAGTAACAGAGCCAAGGCTAAAAGAAGCCCTAGCCCAAAAACTAGGCATAATCGGGAGAAATAGGGACTTCACTGGGAGCCTCTGAAGGAAGCTAACGTGCCATGTCCTTTTACAAACTGTACTGCATCTGATTTTCAGCACTAGCCCCTGGAAGTTGTGGCAATGGTCCCTTACCCAGAGTCAACCTGAGCCTCTCACTGCTTCCCTGCCACCTCTTTTCAGTCCAGCCTGGAGCTGTGTCTGCTTGGTGGGGAGGACAGGCATGGGCCACATGTGTTTGAGGTGGCCTCAGCTGTACAGTGACAGCTGTTTGTCTGGAGCATGGGTGTTCACTGGGCTCAGGCAACCCAACAGTCTGCGTGTGGGCTGTCCCCATTCTCTCCAGTCTGAAGAGTAGAGGAAGCAAACACTGCCAGAACCTGGGAACCAGAATCTGGCCTGTTGACCTCATCCAGTTTTGTTGCTGCAGGGCCTACATATAGTTACCACATGGCTCACTATTTGATTTCACTGTCCTGGGCACTGGACACAGTGTGGCCCACTCCTGCTTCTCAGCTCTCAGGGCCTGGAGATAAGGGGTTGCATGAAGGTTGACTGATGAGTTGAGGAGAGCCCTGAAATCATGGCCTCTTTTCTCTGGACTAAAAAATGGAGATGCAACAGACAGGCTCACTGGTTTCTAAGGGTAATAATTACTTTTAAGGGAAGTTTTTTAGAATGGTTGTAAGTTCATAACAAAGTTGAGTGGCTGACTGTGATACTACCCCCTGGAGGCAGCCAGTGGCATAGCGTCATGAGGAGATTGGGCTTCCAAACTCTGCTTAGTGATCATTTGGATCTCTGCTGTGGTCCCCGTCCCTCTCTGTCCATCAGGTTGTTCATCAGAAGCCTGGTTTCACTGTTCACCTGTCTTCTAAGATGGTTGGTTTGATTTTGTTCAATCTGCAGATAACATGTGCTTTGGAAAGGAGAACACCTTGTTTGTAAAGTCTAGTGGGCGGCAGGGGATTTGGAACTCATCCTAAAGCTTCCCTGTGTATATTCAGTAGAAGCCAGAGCTTCCCGTTGTAGGCCATCAGGGGCAAAAGGGGCGAGATGAAGTCACAGTGAGCTGTCCTCTTTACTAGAAGGAAGGAGCCCTGGGTCTTTTGAAAACCATCTGTCTGTGGAGTTCCATCCTTTATAGTAATTCCTTACCAGTCAGCCTCTACTAAGCACAACAAAACACAGGCAGGGATGTTGCTCAGTGGTACAGGGAGTGCTAGCTAGCATGCAGAATATGTGAGGCCCTGGGTTTGGTCTCCAGCATCAAAAAGAAAAATATTTTTAGCTATATACAGTGGCTGATACCGCTAATCCTAGCTACTCAGGAGGCGGAGATCTGGAGGATTGCACTTCGAGGCTGGCCTAGGCAAAAAGTTTAGGAGACCCCATCTGAACCAATAAAAGTTAGGCACTGTGCCTATTATACCAGCTACACCGGAAGTATAAATAGGATTGTGGTCCAGGCTAGCTTGAGCATAAATGTGAGCCTCTATTTGAAAAATACCTCCAGCAAAAAGGGCTGGGGATGTGGCTCAAGTGGTAGAATGCCTGCCTAACAAACATGAGGCCCTGAGTTCAAATCCCTGGTCCTAACAGTAGTTGAAGGAATGTGTTTCATATAAATCAGTGATTATCTTGGCTCCCTTCTCTCATGCCCAGTAGAGTTTTTATTTCTTACATGCATGTGCTTTTTTGTTGTTTGTGAGACAGGGTCTCACTTAGCAGCCCAGGCTGGCCTGGGACTCTCGGTCCTTCTGCCTCTGCCTCCTGAGTGCTGGGATTAGGGCATGTCCCACCTGACTTAGAGTTTTTAATCAGAGGAGTTACAGGCGAGGGAGGCTTCTGTGACCCATTTGTCAGTAGACGGCAGTGACTATAGCCAGGAAGCCTTGTCCATCTTGCCTTCTGATACAGTGTCAGACCACTTAAGAGGAAATAAAGCATGAGTCAAGGTTGAGCTGACTTCCTATCTGCCTTGTTGAAAATAGGCATCTTCTCTCCCAAGTGTCTTTATTTTTTTTTTTTCATTTTTCTTTTATTATTCATATGTGCATACAAGGCTTGGTTCATTTCTCCCCCCTGCCCCCACCCCCTCCCTTACCACCCACTCCACCCCCTCCCGCTCCCCCCCTCAATACCCAGCAGAAACTATTTTGCCCTTATCTCTAATTTTGTTGTAGAGAGAGTATAAGCAATAATAGGAAGGAACAAGGGTTTTGCTGGTTGAGATAAGGATAGCTATACAGGGCATTGACTCACATTGATTTCCTGTGCGTGGGTGTTACCTTCTAGGTTAATTCTTTTTGATCTAACCTTTTCTCTAGTTCCTGGTCCCCTTTTCCTATTGGCCTCAGTTGCTTTAAGGTATCTGCTTTAGTTTCTCTGCATTAAGGGCAACAAATGCTATCTAGTTTTTTAGGTGTCTTACCTATCCTCACCCCTCCCTTGTGTGCTCTCGCTTTTATCATGTGCTCATAGTCCAATCCCCTTGTTGTGTTTGCCCTTGATCTAATGTCCACATATGAGGGAGAACATACGATTTTTGGTCTTTTGAGCCAGGCTAACCTCACTCAGAATGATGTTCTCCAATTCCATCCATTTACCAGCGAATGATAACATTTCGTTCTTCTTCATGGCTGCATAAAATTCCATTGTGTATAGATACCACATTTTCTTAATCCATTCGTCAGTGCTGGGACATCTTGGCTGTTTCCATAACTTGGCTATTGTGAATAGTGCCGCAATAAACATGGATGTCCCAAGTGTCTTTAGAGCCAGGTGGCAGTACTCTCTCTGGGTGGACTGCGGGTAGTCTTCCTGAACTCCAGCAGCCAGGTCTCAAGGTTACATTCCAGCCAGTTGTCTGGCTTCACGGTTCTTGATACTTGGGTTCTTGGTGAATGAATCAGTGTACTCTTCTGTGACCATGAAAAGTTAAAATAAAAACCACTTTGAATATAGGTTATCATAAATCTCATTTTCCATCCAATTTGGAGGCAGTAATTTTTTTCATTCTTTAGGAACAAGAGTCTCATTCCTAATCTAGCCTGAGTTGAGTATCAGCTCTTGCCATTTGAAATTCTTTTGATTACCATGTACAGGTTTTATGACTTCTGCTGCTGCCAGGAGATGGTTTAAGACCTTCGAAGCACATGAGCTGTTGAAAAGCCTGAGTCTGGGAGGATGCCCAGTCATACCCCCCTTTCCCTGTTTCCTTGGTGGAGAGGACTGGGTGTACCTGTAGCTTCCCTTGGGTCCCAAGTTGCAGAAGCTTCTGTGACAGCACCACCCCGTGGCATGCTTTGTGTGTTTCATCTGTGACTATTTCCTTTGGATGATGAACCCTCTGCAGGAAGGTCTTTGGTAGGCAGAGTGTGAGGTTTAGAATTTAGAATAAGGAGAGCATTGTAACCCATGGATTATTATAGAGTCCAGTGTTTTGTACAGCTCTTAACACCAACCTGCAGCTCTGTCTAAGGATGAGTGAGTACTGATTGTCAGTGTGTCTCCAGTTGGCCTCAGCCCCATGGTGTCTGCTCTGCCACATAACCACCCAAGGTTAAGATCACTCTACAGAACTCTACAGTTACTCTGGGCCATGCTGTCTGGAAAGTTTTATGGTGAGGAGGGAGCACAAGGGGAGAGGGCATGCAGGTGAGCCCTAATCTAATTCTAATCTGGGTGGAGTTTGAAGGCAGGAGTTGGCAGCTGGGACAGAGCTGAAATGAAAACTTCATCTTAGCTCTGAGTCAAAAATAAAGAAGTGATTTCAGGACATTCCACAGCAGGTTCCCTGTGGACATGGTCTGTGACTGAACCTAGCAGAAATATGAAAGAATTGAATTGCATGGAATATGATGTATAAATTGTATTCCAAACTTCTTGATTTTGATCTACAGCAATGAGACAAAAGAACCTAATTTGAGGCGATAGAGCCTTGATGTTTGAACATCATTCCTTTGCTCCTAAGCAAACTCTTCACTCTTCTCCTGCTTTGGGTTATTTGCCTTGGTGTTCAACATGCATTGCTGTGAACCACTTGGTGGGTCAAATTCTGAGGAACATGTCCTCTCTGTGTGACACTCCATCCCATTGTTCTTTGGAGACTCCCTTGTCCCCCACTTCTGGATTGTGTTCTGCTATTGGTGTCCTCACCACCACACACACACGCACGCATGCACACGCGCACACACACAGTGCCCTCTCCCTGCAGGAGGATGCTTGCTTGTGCCCTCATTACAATTCTGCAGCAGCTAGCCTGCCTGTTCATCATGGAGGCTGCTTGCCCCATATTGCCCCAGGCTCTGGCGTACCCTACGGGATAGTCCTAGGATGTGGTCAGTGTCTGTGTTCTTACACTGCTCCACCTGGCTGGAGCCAGTGTATCAAGGACCTCTTCCTCCTTTGCGATCTTGATAGCACTGTGGTTGGCATATGACAATTCAGAGTGCTTCCTTCCCCTGGCCTCACTGTACAAGATTTGTTACGAAAAGAAGGCACAGGGGGCACTGCCCAGCCCTTCTTTGGAAGGGGGCTGTCCCGCTGCCTAGGCTGAGCCAATAACATGCAGGTGTTGAGGAGGTAGACACAGGTGACAGAGGATATTCTGGGTCCCCCATCCATGCCAACTGGAGCCAGCTGTTCGAGTGACCTGGCCTCTGTCCTGTGCTTCTAAGAAGGCAGGAACTCATTCTGAGGATGGAGAGAGTCACACTGCACAAGGGAGAGGGCCTACAGTGAATTGAGAGAGATGGGTGGATATTTTCAGTTCTGAGTTTGTACTTAGGCCACTGATGACTACAGCAAGCTGGACTTCCTTCCACCACCTTCTCCACTGTGCCTGCAGAGACACGCTGCAAGCAGGACATGCCTTCCCCAACCACAGTGCCTCCTGTGCCACCCAGACCTGCTCCAACAGCTGGGCCCATAAACCCTTCTGTGTCCAAGTACAACGTGAGTGGTGACAACGGGACCTGCCTGCTGGCCAGCATGGGACTGCAACTCAACATCACGTACATTCAGACGGACAACACGGTAGGAAGGCAGTAGGGGAGGGGGTCATCAAAGAGGCGTTATCACTGCAAGTCAGTACTTCGTGCAGTCAGTCACTCAGCAGAAGCCAGTACGGGTCTTCACTCAATGTGCACGACTCACCAGAGCACTGTGTCCTCCCAATGCTTGGTCTGTGTTCCTGACCCAGCATGTGGGGCTATGGTGGACAGTCCCATCTGCACAGGTCTCATTTGGTGCCTTACAGGAAAAGTGTGGTCATCCCTGATGGAGCAATAAAATTTCCTTAAGCTTTTATCATTTTTACACTTTTTTTCTGAAATAGTGTCTCTCTCCTAATAGTAGCAGCATCTGGGGCTGAGAGAAAGCGTGGGGGGTGAGTTTTAGAGTGTGCAGCTGGGCGTGGGGGGTGAGTTTTAGAGTGTGCAGCTGGCCAGGCATGGCTGTTTGCACCTGGAGGCTGAAGTGGAAGGACCCCTTGAGGTTGGGGGGAGGCTGGGGAGGATCAGAGTTCATGCATGCCCTATGTGGGGTGCAGCATCTGAAAAAGTTGGAAGCAGCAGGATGGCATTAGGGAACCTGGAAATGCCCCAGTGTGGGTCAGTGTTTTCTGGTAATTGTTTAGCGTGGATGTCCATGCACTTACGGTTTCCCTTTCCCCAGAGAGTGGGGTTCAGATCCCGAAGGACTGATAAGTACACTGATTGGTGTGCTTATCTTTTTTTTTTTTTCTTTTTTGGTGGGACTGGGGTTTGAACTCAGGGTATCACACTTGTACAGCAGGCACTCTATGGCTTGAGCCACGCCTCCAGTCCATTTTGCTCTGGTTATTTTGGAAATGGGATTTCACAAACTGTTTCCCTGGGCTGGCCTCAAACCAAGATCCTCCCAATCTTAGCCTCCCAAGTAGCTAGGATTATAAGCATGAGCCACCAGCACCCAGCTGTGCTTTTCTTTCTAGTTGACTTTATTTTTTGGTGAGGGGGGATGGGTAGTTTGAACTCAGGGCAGCTTCTCTCACCAGCCCTGCTTTCCTTTCTAGTCTGTGGTCAGAGTGTTAAACATCAACCCAAACACCACCAATTTCACCGGAAGCTGTGGTCCCCGTCTGGTGACCCTGGAGCTGCAGAATGAGGCCATTTTCCTGCTTTTCGAGTTTGGAATGGTGAGGCGCCTTCTCTTCTGTCATGCTGGGCATATTCGCTGAGGGCTTCTTGCCACCTTTGGGACCACTGTTCTTGCTTCCTGAGGAATCCATGGCTATAGGTTGGGCAGACATGAGCTAGAGTGAACAGGGTAGAACTGTCACAGCTCTGCCTCAGCAAGGAAACTGCTCGCTCTTTTTTTGCCCACCTTGTCTAGAGGAAGGGCCTATGTAGGCTGAACAGTTGGGGTGGCTGCAGAGAGTAGAAAGTGACAAGGGGCAGCCCCAATCCTGTCGGCACAGGGAGCCAGGTGGTACCCAGGCTTCTGCATTTCCTGGGGTCACACACTGCACTTTCTTGCTCAGTACCAGAATCTTTATGTCCTGTGCCATCTTCTGGGAAGAACCGTGTGCACAGTTAGTGACTGTTAGTTGTAAACACCATCTGTAAATACATTTATTTGTGTGATGCTCACACATGCTAGACAAGTGCTCTGTCACTGAACTACACCACCATCCCATGTAGATATTTTTATATGCTCTGAAAATGAGCTGAGTAACTTGGGTTTCTTGCAGTAGATCTTAACTTTACTGTACATTCAGAAAGGGCTTACTCAATATGGCTGCTGCCGTCCCAGTTTCAGTGGGGAATCGGAACTAGTCAAAATTTGTGCTCCCAGAAGACACCATGCCCCATATGGATAGGAAGTTGTACTGCTTGTCCTAAGGCTAGAAGCATGGGCCATGTTGACCACCAGCTGCCTGTGCTGTGTGTAGGGCAAAAGTCCAAGTGGTTAAGGATTGTCTCCTGCTCTTTCAGAATGCAAGTTCTAGCCGGTTTTTCCTGCAAGGAATCCAGTTGAACATGACTCTTCCTGATGTTAGAGGTGAGATCCCACAAATCACATGAACAACCCCTCCACCGCCCGTGGTGACTCTTGGTGCTCAAACTCTTCTCTGCCTTCCAGAACACACATTTCGAGCTGCCAACAGCTCACTGAGAGCCCTGCAGGCCACTGTCGGGAACTCATACAAGTGCAACACCGAGGAACGCCTGTATGTCACCCCAGCATTCTCCCTCAACATCTTCAGCGTGTGGGTGCAAGCTTTCAAGGTGGAGGGAGACAGGTTTGGGTCTGGTGAGTAGCGCCAAGAGCACATCTACAGTGGTGTGAAGGCAGGTGCCAGCTGGCAGGGATACTCCCTTTCCTCTGCAAAGACCTGTCCTCCTTTCACCATGAGGTTCAGAAGGGCCTGCATTGGGGCACAGCACACCCATTGAGGCAGTAATGTTTAGGACCTGTGGGAAGCTCTCCAGTGGAAGAGGTGTTTCAGTGGGGCCCTGACCTGGGTGCAGCACAGCTGACCAGTCTTGTCCATTCTAATCTGGGAAGAGCGCACCTGTGATCTCCCAGCCACATGTCTCTGTATGGCTTCTCTCAGGGACAGTAAACTGGAAGTAGTCTTCCATCTGCCTCATCCTTTTCCTCTGGCTGAGTAGGACAACCTGGGGAGGGCAGGTGCTGTGGTGAGCGGCACGGTGTCATGTGTCTTGCAGTGGAAGAGTGTCTGCTGGATGGGAACAACATGCTGATCCCCATTGCCGTGGGTGGCGCCCTGGCGGGGCTGGTCCTCATCGTGCTCATCGCCTACCTCATCGGCAGGAAGAGGAGCCACGCTGGCTACCAGACCATCTAGCCTGGCGGATGCTCCATGGACACACGGGGTCTGTGCTCATGTCCCCGCTCTTAGATCGCTGAGGAGGGGAGGCACACTTTCTGCAAACTGTTTTCAAATCTGCTTTATAAAATGTGAAGTTCATCTTGCAACATTTACTATGCACAAAGGAGTAACTATTGAAATGACGGTGTTAATTTTGCTAACTGGGTTAAATATTTTGCTAACTGGTTAAATGTTAATATTACCAAAGTAGAACTCTAAGGAGGGCAAGAATGCTTTTCTGAATTGGCACAGGCTCCACTTTCATTCGGCGTTTTAAGATTTGGTGTTTGGTTTCTTCATTCTTTACTCAGATTTAAGCCTTACAAAGGGAATCTCTGGTCTGCACACTGGGTACATTAGGCTGTCATGCTTAAGAAACTAAAGGCAGTACAGCAGGAAAATCCTACCCCAGAAGTGCTCTGAGGTGAGCATCTGGATGCTCAGAATGCTGTCAGGTCAGGAGAGCCTGGCCCACGTTGCAGGGGCCAGCGTCCATCTGGGGCGTGACCATCATTGTTTTCCATGCTCTGCCAGCCAAGAGCCACACTTTTCTAAGTATAGAAGGGGCGTTATTTCTATTTACTTTTTGTAAAGTGGTTTCCAGTCTTCTGTCGGCATTCGGGGTGACCCTGTTTCTGCACTGTGTACAATAATAGATTCACTTTGCTGATGTAGCTACCGCGGTGGGGTGGGCTGGACACTGAGGACCAGCTCACATGTAACGCATTGCCTGTAACAGTGCTAATAAAAAGTCTCCTTCTTTGTCTGTCTGGACCTTGTGCTTTTGTCAGCCCCTGAGAGCCCATGGTGGGATAATGCTGATGGTGTGTCCAGTGTGTCCTTGGGGATCTCTGGTCATGGGAGTTCAGTCCATGGAGGGAGTGAGTGCATTGCTGTAGCCGGCCTTCTAGGCAGCAATTTGAGAACAGTGGGTGTCCCTTGGGGTGGGTCTTCACTGGGGCCAGTATGCCACGATTGTGGTTTCTGCCATGCCACACACACTGAATGTGGACTGTGGGGACAAGAATCTGATACTCAGTGTTTCCTTGCAGCGCTGACCACCCTCCTGCCCATTCATCACAGCGCAGGCCTCCCAGAGGTCAATGGGCAGGTCTGACCCCTCCCAAAGCTGTGTAAAAAAGCCTGAGAACCTCATGCCTAAAACTCATCACAGTTGCCTGCAGTCAGAAAGACCTGTCAGGACTGGGGACATAGCTTCAGCGGTAGAGCACTTGCCTAGCATGTGCAAGACCCTGGGTTCAATACAGAGAACTGCAAAAAAACAGTCTGCCATGGAGAGAGGACTGCTCTGAGGCCTTCAGCACTGGGTGGATTGTACAGGCTTGGGTGCCAAGGGGTGGCATCTCTAGAATTGCCAGCAGCCTGAAGACACAGCAGCAGTAGGTCCGGGTGGGCACACAGACATCACCTCCCCAGTGTGAACAGTACAGGTGAGTCTGTCCCATGCGCCCAACTGGCACTGAGCAACTGGTTTTGTGCAGGTCTGTAGACCAGGACTTGCAGCATGGTTGCAAAGCAGCCTTTGGAAAGATTCCCGTGGGGTGCCAAGTGCACCTGCAGGGGCAGCAGTTCTGAGGACCTGGGCTAAGCCTGGGAAGAGACCTGTGATCCAGCATGTGACGGGGCCTATCCCTAAAGATGGTGCTGCAGGAAGCCAGCCCCCACCTACGTAGAAGGAGCCTAAGGGACCTAAGGGTCACGTTGGGACCCCAGGACAATCCTGAGGAGCAGGAACATCAGGTGCAGCTTCAGTTGGAGGTGGGTGCCACACAGTGCCTGGAGTGGGGGATTGGGCGCCACCCAGCTGTCAGTCAAGCATTAGGCTTCTAAGACCACTGACAGCTGATAAACCTTGAGAAAAGGCCTCTCAAGGGACACAGCAGCCACACCAGGCTGTGATGCTGTGGGTGCCAGGTGTCTGACCTGAGCATGACTAGCTACAAGATGGAGGACTTGGCCCTGAAAGTCCCAGACCAGACTCCAGAGCCCAGCAGCAACTGGTGGCAGCTGTGGTTGCCCTGGTAACAATGGAACACAATGGCTGGGCTTCATGAATGGCCTGTCCCCTGGGTCGCCTGCCAAGCTTTGCTGGGCACCAAATTTACTGTGATGGGACCACCCTGTCCCCTTGGCTATGCCTGCCTCTCTCAAAGGCCAGCCTCTCGTGAGCGACAATCTCCTCCGGGCACTGACAGCCAGGACCACAGTCTGAATGAAAAGCACATGGCAGACCAGTCCATAAAGTGGAAGGTCAACTTGGAGAAACCAAGGGGTCAAAAGTGATGTTCCTTAGCAGGTGGGCAGGTTGACCTGTGTCCTGCCCACCTGCCCATGCCCCATGCTCTGTGCCCCACCCGTTGCACACAGGGCTCAGCCTGGCCTCTCAGGAAACTGGCCATGCCAGTCAGACCAGGACGGGCTGGGAGGGAGTGTCATGGCTCCACCCCTGTCCGGGCTGTGGCTGCACTTGAGGCCACACTGCCTTCTCTAAGCCCCTCCTGCTCACCTGCTCTATCACTCCTGCTGCACACTAACTTTAAAACATTAAAATCCTTTATAAAATCAATGGTCTTCCTCAGGAGAAATCACATGCTTTGCGTACAACCCTCACAAAAAGGCAAATGCTCTGCCACAGACAATGACATCCAAACACACCCGCAATAGTGACCAGTCACCATTTGGAGCTTAATTTTCAGTTGCCACAAGCTGATAATCCCAAGCTCACGGTGCTGGCACAGCTTATCAGACACAAATGCACAGCTCATATTTTATATATTACTAATATCTCAGATGATAAAAATAACTTTTTTTTAGAAATTTATGATTTCACAGATCATAATTGAAAGGTAGAATGACATTTTAAATCACTTTGAAAAACACTGAAGCGTAAAGACATCACGTATTTACAAAGAAGGAAAGCAGTAGAAATTGGTCATATGTCAACTCTGGAAGTGAGGCTTGTGGTCTGCACGGTGGGATGTGGGCACCACCTCAGCCCTGAGCCAGCAGCACAGCCCGGCAGCTCTCACGGAGCCTGGTGATGGTCGTCATGGACAAGCTCCCTGGTTCTGAAAATATTTTCTGAAAGAGAGACAGAATTAAACATACTTTTACCTTCACTTGCCCCACTAAAGTGGTAGCACAGCAGACAGACAGATGGACCAAGGTCAAAGGCTTAGGGCTATGAAGGAGGAACGGCAAGTCTTGTGTTCCCTGGGCATCCTGTTTGCCAAAGGGCCTCCTTCCCTGGCTCAGGCCTGTGGCTCTGCTGCTCTGTAGTTTGAACTAATCACTCAGGATCATCCGCTGCACCCCCGCCTCCTACAGCTTCTTTAATACGAGAAAGGTACCATGACAAACCAACCCAGTGCTCACGCAAGCCTGTGAGCCAGGGCTGGAAACATGGCGCAAGTGGGAGTAGAGATCAGGAGATCACAGTTTGAGGCCAGCAGGCAAAGAGGTCACGAGACTCAAAAAAACCCATCACAGAAAAGGGCTGGTGGAGTGGCTCAAGGTGAAGACCTTGAGTTCAAAAACTCCAGTGTCTCAAAAAAACAAAAACCGTTAAGAGCAGCAGTGGGCCTCAGGTTAGCCTGGTCGCAGTCCTTCCCGCAGCGAGTTGAACTTAGGATGAGGCTGTAGGGCCACCTGGAGACTTGGCCTCAGATCCACTCCAGCCTGTGACCCCGCCACTTCTCAGAAGCCCAGGACACCTTTTTTTGATTCCGCTGTGGCTGTAGTTAACCTTCTAACTTTGGACGAAGCAGCAACTCAGGAAGATAAAGCACTTTCCAGCACACCTCAAACTTGGGGACTGAGCTTTGGCGTCACCAAGAGAAGAGTGGTAGTCAGGTGGCCATGGGGGCTCCTCCCAGGGTCCCCACTGGACTCCTCCATAGGTTGCTGTCCCTTGGGAAGCTACACTCCCTTCACTCAGCCTGCAGAAGCCAAATCAACCCCATGCTCGCCTGAGCACCTGAGGCACGTCCCTCAGCGGGACGGCTGCAGAACGCCTCCCATCGTCTGCTCGGTGGACAGACACATCTGTGGCCTCCTTTTGTCATCCACTGCTGCAGGAGCCTTCACCCAGAGGCTGGCAAATCTGTGCAGCTTGTGTGTAAGGCTCTGCTCCGACTCGGCACGGGCCCCGGCTGACACCCGCAGGGTTTGTCAAGGCTCCGGGAGACCCCTGGTCTGGTGCTGCCCAGCCTGCCACCTGCCCGGGTTTCCCTTGGAACATCCTCCCTAGGGTCACGAGCCCACTGCAGCTTCCAGGAAGCGCGCTGGCCCCTGAGGCTGGAGCCAGTTTCACAACATGGAGTCAATTCCCTGGGGTTTCTACGTGACATTTCTCACTACTGCACAGGCGATCTCTTTGACAGGGCCACGGTTTGGTGGGCACCGTGGCCTGTCTCCTGAGTCTGCTGGAGACAGAAACCTACCTCCCAGCTGAGCCCACAGCCCAGAGGTCCCTCCTGTTCCCAGGCCACTTGGGTCGAGAGCAGCAGGGAGAAAGCTAGTCACAGCTTTTGGGCCCAGACTCTGAAAGAGTCTGAGCCACGAAAATTCCACTTTTTCACTCCCAACAGCAAGCTCTGCCCCTGGTGCAAATGCTACTAGCCCTTCTGGGCAAGGCCGTGTGGGATATACTGCCAAGTCCTATGAATGTGTAGTCACTTCAAAATGAAAATTACAACATGAAACGGTCCTCAGGATCTGAGTTCCATTGGCCCTGCCAGCGTTGCTCCAACTGTGGGCTCTGCTTCAGTCTCCTGCCTTCCCAGCAGGGCCTCACCAGCCTCTGCAGCCTCCACAGCCTCCACCTCACACTCTCAAGTTCCAAGTCCAACCACATGGCTTGTGCCGGGCCCAGGACCCAGCAGAGCCTTGCCCAGGCTGAGTCTTACAGAACTCACCTGCATAAATGTGTGACACTCGGTCACAAAGTCCCCTTTAGTGATCTGCTTGAACTTGTCACAGATGTCTGGGACGCTGTCAGCTTCTAGTATCAGTGCCTGGTGGTGTTTGATTAAGGTCAGGGCCACCCGGAAGATGATTTTGGAACCTTCGTTGAACAAACAGTCCCAGATCCGAAGCACAGTCTGGAGAGACACAGAAATCCCATGTCACCTCCATGGTGACCCACACTGCTCCTGGGGCTGACCAAGTGCTCACCTCCACAGGCAGGGTGTCTATGAACAGACAGACGAACCAGCGCGACACCAACAGGGTCCACAGTACACCGTGGCCATCCATAAGGGCCGCCACCGCCGGCAGCTTCATCCTCACCAGCTCTGCAAGGACCTCCTGGTCGGTCTTCAGGCCCAGCATCGCAGGGCTATAGTAATCTACCAAGCGAAGCAGAGAAGTTGCCAGCACGCTCTGTAAGCACCAGCGCCCCAGGCAGCCTTGCTCCCCTGAGCCAGGCAAAGAACTGGCTGACCTGGGAGGACCCTTCCCGGAAGAAGGGCTGAGTCCAGGCAAGGGTGCTGAGCTGACTCTCACAGCAAGGCCTCCCAGGCCAGGGAGCTGCAGAGGTCGAGATCAGACCTATCTGGACATCAGTTAAAACCTGCAAGCAGAAAGGAATTGCCTAGAGGAAATGCTTGCACCCCGTGTTCTTGGCAGGGTTGTTTACAATAGCTAACAGGTGTCACCAGTGGGTAAATGGGCAAACACACATCCTCTGTCCACGTGATGGATTATCACCCAGGCCGTGCCACGGGCGAGCGGAGGACACGACTCTCAGGGAAAGACAAGCCGGCGGGGAAAGTCAGGTGCAGTGGCTCTACTCGTAGTGACCGGCTGGAGGAAGGGCAGCGCAAGGCAGTGCCTAAGGAGCACAGTTTCCGTCTGGGAAAGTAAGAAAGTGAGAAAGCCCTGCGATGGATGGTGGTGGCTACACAACCGTGTGACATACCGAACGCTCCAGGACCGTCCACTCAGAAACGGTTAGGGTGGTAAATTTTATGTTCTGGGCATCTCACCGCAATAAAAAGAAAACTCAGTCAAACGCTTCCAGCAGCATTTCTATGTCTTTCCAAAGAACTTCTCGACTTGTTAATGTGACGTGCCGTTAACCATTTTAATGCTTGGTTTACACGATAAAAGAATTCAGGACGTCACCAAAGTATGTATGCCAAGCCCACACCCATCCATGTGCAGCAGGGACGGCTTGTTCTAATTAAGCCAGAATCACTGGCAAACGCTGACAAGGCCAGTTCTTAGGGAAACCCTGTCTTAAAAAAAAAACTCTCGTTTTTATTTTGCCTCTACCTTTGAACCTTTCAGCTATCTGTTCTTTTTTTTTTTTCTTTGAGCCAAGGGCTCACTATGTAGCCCAGCGATCCTCTTGCCTAGCTTCCACAATGCTGGGATTACAGGCGTGCACCATCTTGTCAGGTCTTTTTATCCTTCTTCATTGGGCACATTCTGCACCAGCTGAGAGTTGAGGTGGGAGATTATCGGGGGACTCTGCAGAGGGAGCTGAGCGACAGGGAATTTGCAGAGTAGCACAGCGTGACCTTGGCTCTACTACAGAGACGCTTAGAACAGCTTCCAAAAATAGACCTGCTAAACTCTGACCCTGCACTCCACTGTGCTCAGTCGGTCTCCATGGGGAGGATTAAATTAAAGCCACCACACTCTCTATTTTCTACTGGACACATTCTCTTGAATGTGGAAAGCCCTGCCAGCCGACGTGGCACCAGGCTCACTCATTAGGTCTGAATCTCGCTGTGTGTGGCTCGGTAAGGACAGACCAGGACCCATGCTCTGGGAAAGTGGCCGCTTCTTCCTATCAGCCTCCTTGTCCCTCCTCATCCCTTGTCTCCTACAGACAGCCACACCTTTGCAAACAGCCTAATAGCATCTCACCCAGGCTCAGGGACAGCCCTGCCTGTCCCAAGACTAGGTGGAGACCCGAGCTCTAGTCCCAAGGTCCCCAGGTCTGGGCTGAAACGTGGAAGGACCCACAAAGGCAGGAAGGTGTAAGAGCAGCGGTCTCCAAGTGGCCACACAACAGTGCAATGCATTGAAGAGTGACGTCCCCTTTTAGCTTCACTGCCGTTCTCCAAATCTGCCCAGTGAACATGCGTGAGCTACATATGACCACACACTCAATTAGAAACTACCAGGCACATGTCGAGCACTTCATCAATATTACCAGAGCAACAAGACGCCCAGAGCACACATACTGCAGGGTCCGCCCTCTGTTATAAACCACCAGAGAGGTGAGGCCTGGCCCACAAGCAAGACAATGAAAATGAAAAAGCCAACAGGAACTTGATGCACTTGGGTTGCAAACGCCATTCCATGTAAAACTGGGGCCACGACAAAGTCCGGGGGCCCATGCCTTTCTCCTTCCCGCTGTGACCTGGGACACTGCTCTACAGTCCTACGCTGACCAGCAACCCTCAGCCACCTCTGCTCTTGCCTCCCTCAGCTGGACACATTCCAAGTTGCAGCATATCCCGAGTGGGGCTTCAGGACCTGGGGCTGAAGGTCAGAGACATGAGTCCAAGGGGTCTTGGCCCACTCACTCACTCGCACCTCAGGCGCAGGTGTGAGATGGGACCCCCCCATCCCCACCCACCCCCAGTCCCCCAGAGACGCCTCTGCAGCCCTGGATCACTGTGAACCAAAGGCCATGGACAACCAGCAGTGCAGGAAGAACTCTAAAAACAGAATCTCCCGTCTCCCTGCCAGGAAGGACAGCCTCAACTCTGACCAATGGAGAAGGCGCCAAGCCCACATGCAAACGTCTGCAGCTGCTGCCTCACACCGTCACCTCTCAGTCACCTCACAACACCTCCTCACGCTGTCACCTCACACCATGACTTCATGCCGTAACTTCCTGCAGTCACTTCATGCCATTACCTCACACAGTCACCTCCGTCACCTCATGCTGGCCCTAGGATAAGTGCAGCACAGAAGACACCCACACGACTTGTGCTACGGCATGTGGTTATGACGTATCTATTTTATTATCAGTTATTTTACCATCAATTATCAGCCCCCAGTTTCTGTGAGGCCTAACTTACACGTCACGCCATCATAGGTATGCAAGAGTTCAGGGTCTGGTGGGACCCCCGTTCCAGGCGTCCACGGGGCCTTGGGGTGCACCCCAGAGGAAGAGGAGACTCTGCCATCTTTAGTGGGGTGGACAGGGGGCTCCTATGGACCCTGCAGGGTCTCCATCGGCCTTTCATTCCCCAAGACAGAACTTTTCAAAAGGAACTACCTCATCTGAAGACAGCACAACAAAACCCTCCACACGCTGTCTGAGAGCGGGGATGGGAACATTACGGAGGGGGCGGCCTCGTTCAAGGTACAGTGTACACAGGCATGGAATTATCACAATGAGTTCCCCTCATATTAATGCATGATAAATCAAAAATAAAGAATAAAGTCACTATCTTCCAAACGGCAAAAGGCCCAGCCAAGGGCAGGGCCCCCCCAGGTCCCAGCTGCTGAGGTGGGGGAGGCAGGAAGACAACACAGCAAGACCCTGCCTCAAATACGAGAAACAAATAAACACAACCTTTCCTATCTTCCTCTTTAAACGTTTTGCCAATTCCTAAACCTGAAATAAATACTGCAAAAATTAACTGAGAAAAGAAAGAAAGAAACCACGCAATGGTTCTTCCTCCACTAGTGGGAAATCAAGCCCCAGTGTGGGCACTTGGATGGCACCTGGCTCGGCGCTGCACTGGGACCCAGCACTTGAGCTGCCATCACTGGGCAGAAAGGAACACATGGCCAACAGGAACACTACACCCAGGATGGATGGCCACAGGGAGACACCAGGATGGCACGGAGACCTGCTCACACCTGGTCATGACCAACAGGACATGGGAGCCCCATGCAGTCCCTCCTGTGTGCAGCTGGAGCTGCCGCCTACAAAATGGGCTTACTGTCCACATGATGTTCTCCTGCCTTTGACACCAGCAATTAGCAATGGCTTCCCTACAATTCAAGGGAAAACCAGGTGAAACCGGTTTTTCAGGTTGGACAGGTGTCATTTTATCAAGGCTGACTTGATCTCCTGGAAGGTTCCACTATCCAAATGAGGTTAAGTCTGGGTGAAGTCCAGGTGAGGACTGGGGGGGGCGGGGCAGGGTTGCTGGGTAGACTGGCCCCTCTAGGTAGGTACAGGAATTCCTTGCACCCAGGGACACAGCCCACCTGCATCTGCATCCTTACACATAGAAGCACGAAGTCCCCACATGACAGACAGAAGGGAGGATGGCATTGCAGGGGCCTCTCCACCCCTGACCACCACCACCCCGCCGCCCCGGCCCTCCTGAGCACTGAAAGGTAAAAATCCTCAGTCAGCCTCCTCGAAGACAGCACAACTCAAGGGAGCTGGAGGAGGACAGGTGGCCACGGTGGGGAGTGGGGAGATCCAGTGAGGTGGGGCCTCCAGTGGGACATCTGAGGTGAACACCTAATCAGGTGACACTACAAGTTACTCAATCCCGGGTTCCTCCTCCATAAAAAGAGGCTGACATACCATTTCTGTCACTTCTCAAGAGACCACGACCATGAGCAATGCACCTGACAACCAACTGTGCTGTGTGAATTTGCCTCTGTTGCTACCAGAAGACCCGCCATCCTTCCACAAGCTCCTTTCGTATAACTGGCCTCTGCATCCCTTTCTGTTAAGACTTTAATCCTTTGTTAACCTGAGGACCTCAGAGCCCTTCTCTAAACTAGCGTAAGAGGCGCTCAAGCTGCTTTTGCTAAAAAGCACTGACTTCACAAATTAACTAAAACAGGACAAGCTTGGCATCCCTGCCTCCATTTTGTATGTCTTTGCTTTAAGCCATTCTCTTTGCAGTCACTTTGTAATCACCTTGGATTCCAGAAAGGACAGAACTGATAACATCTTTATGACAAGGACTAAAACTTCCCATGAGGAACAGTGGAACATGCAGGACTGACGTCCCTCCAAATGAGGACAATGACCTATAAATGGTGAGGCTGCACCCTGGAGCAGGAGCAATCATCCCATGGGAACCAGATCGCTCCCCTCAAGTGATGTCAGTGATGACATCTTCTCTGAAACCCCTCTGGAAACCTTTGAACTGAGATAATGGCCAACCAGAACACACCTGTGACTGGGACTGTTTATCCACACCTTTGTCCCCTGCCCCAGTTCTTTTGCCTACTTAAACCTTTAGCTCATGTCTGTACCCAAAGGTGGCTGAAGATGAGCTGAGTGCTTCTTCTGCCTCTTCCCACAGCACGTCCCGAGCCGTGTAATAAACCTCCTTTCTCTGCCTTTACCAGGTCTCTTTATTTGGCGCTTAGGGACAGGTGGCTGGACCTGGCATATGGAATCTCAGGAGTTTGAACCTTGGGTCCAAAACACCGGTTTCACCAGCAGCTACGTTGCTTATGACGTCTTTTTCCAAAACTAGTTTTTGACTTTCATGTAACCAAAATGGCTCACTTTTGAGTTGTGTTCAAGAATGTCTCCTACTCCAGCATCACAAAACTGATCTGTTGTATTTTTCAAGTTTCAAGGTTTTGCTTTCTGACCCTTGGAAACACAGGTCTATTTTGCTTTCTTCCAGACAGTCAGTTATCACAGACTGATGATTCAGCCTCACCTTTTCCATTAAGTGATACACATCCAAGAAACATTCTGACATGTCGACATACTCTCTGCTCGGGTAATAGCTTCTCAGTTCTGTTCCAGGGCTTGCTTATCCATCCATCACAATCCCAAAATATTGCAGCACTAATTTAATCCCCCATGCCCTTCCTCAAGCCTCTCTTCTTGCCTGTGTTTGCCTCTAACTCTTTCATGTGACTGAACCATGCCTGCATAAAAAGTGCCTCATAACCGTTTCTAGACGAAAGCTGTTAGGTATGATTTTAGTTAGGATTTACACATCCGTGTCACCACTCTTCCTGACGGGAGCTGATGAGAAATTTCTCTTCTATTTTCTGTAATATTTATTTTAAGATTTTTTTCAGTGCTGAGGATGGGACCTAGGGCCTCATCAAGTGCTTCACCTCTGACTTGCACCCCTAGACCCATTTTTATTATTATTATTATTATTTTGAAACAGGGTCTTGCAGTACTGCCTAAGCTGGCTGCAAGGTCCTGGGCTCAAGCAATCCTCCTGTCTTGGCCTCCTGAGGAGGTGAGACCACAGGTGCACCCGGCCGAGGTTTATTAAAAAGCAGTAATAACAGCAACAGCAAAATACAAACCCTGAAACACAACAAACAAACAAAAAACCCAGGGATGATCTGTTGCTGGTAGGAATAAAAACCAGGTATGTCACCAAGTCAGTCTTACCAGGCTATGGTTTTCTCAAAATATCTCTGAGTAGGAGAGAAATGGGGGATGTTTTAGTGAAGGACTGTCACTTTCCATCCCACAGTATTTTTTTCAAACGAGACTATATCTGCACGTTTCTTGCACAATGTTTAAAAGCTAGACAATTAAGGCATTGAAGTGACCCAGATTTAGAGATGATGACCTATATTTGTCTTATCTGTCTCTTTCCTCAGCTGTCTGGATTGCTCTGTAGTGACAAGAGTGACTCTTTTTCTCCACAGCCCTACCTGATGTTTTACTTTTGACACTTTCTTCTGTCTGGAATCAAGACCTGTTTGCCCTGCAGTTGGTTCAGCTGAGTCTAGGAGCCACTTCTGCAGGAAAGGACACTGCAGCTGACCATGCCACTCTGCTTTCCCAGAGGGTGGCTGCCGTCCACTGCTTGCTCTCTTCTCCTGGGACACCCCAAGGACAGAGTTGGGTAGGTGCTGCTTGTGATGCTGCCCAAACCCAGGATGGAGCTGCAACATGGCAGATTTGAGGGGAGCAACTGGATATCCTGCTGCACATCCATCACAATGCAGCCTTTAGCTTGTGGCATGCTCAACCCGAGTCTGGCTGGGGTCTCCTCCTGCCTCTCACGGTCACCACAGAACTGCAGAACCTTTCCTATGGCAGGGATGACTGCCGCTCACCTCGGTGAGCCTCTTCTCCAGCTCTCAGCACCTCCCAGCACTTCCTCCTTGCACAGGCGCCTGACTGGGCTCTGGCAACTCCATCTCTGCGCCTGCTGGACTGGGGCAGCACCTCCAGCACTGGAACTCACCTCAGTGAGGACATGTGGAGGTCTGAGCCCTGCAGGCATGGATCAGAACCCAGGCTTCGCACATACAGGCGAGGAAAGGCCAACATGCAAATTCCCTAGGTCAACGGTGTTTGACAATTGTGTGCCAGCAGCATGGCTGGTCTGAGGTCTGAGACTCCATGAGCAGTACGGCAGGAACTGCTGGAGAGGCAGCAGCTGAAGCCACACGTCCCTGTGTGTTTTAAATGCTCTTTCCTCAGGCCAGGCATCTCTCACTGTCCCCAGGACCATGGCCAGGCTGCAAGGGCAGCAAGTTGTCTCTGTGTAGAGTCCTCTCCCACAGTCCTTCCCAAAAGAACCCACACTGCACCCACAGTCTGCGTTGTACTTTACTGAAATTGGAGACTATTCATATTTATTTTTTCTTACTCTTACTTATTTTTTTGGCAGAACTGGGCTTTGAACTTGGGACTTCAGACTTTTTAGGCAAGTGCTCTCCTTCAGCCACTCCTCCAACCCTGTTTGGTGTTGAGCATTTTCAACTGGTGACATTTGCGCCAGGGGCAGAGCTTGCTGTTGGGAGTGAAAAAGTGGAATTTTCGTGGCTCAGACTCTTTCAGAGTCTGGGCCCAAAAGCTGTGACTAGCTTTCTCCCTGCTGCTCTCGACCCAAGTGGCCTGGGAACAGGAGGGACCTCTGGGCTGTGGGCTCAGCTGGGAGGTAGGTTTCTGTCTCCAGCAGACTCAGGAGGCAGGCCACGGTGCCCACCAAACCGTGGCCCTGTCAAAGAGATCGCCTGTGCAGTAGTGAGAAATGTCACGTAGAAACCCCAGGGAATTGACTCCATGTTGTGAAACTGGCTCCAGCCTCAGGGGCCAGCGCGCTTCCTGGAAGCTGCAGTGGGCTCGTGACCCTAGGGAGGATGTTCCAAGGGAAACCCGGGCAGGTGGCAGGCTGGGCAGCACCAGACCAGGGGTCTCCCGGAGCCTTGACAAACCCTGCGGGTGTCAGCCGGGGCCCGTGCCGAGTCGGAGCAGAGCCTTACACACAAGCTGCACAGATTTGCCAGCCTCTGGGTGAAGGCTCCTGCAGCAGTGGATGACAAAAGGAGGCCACAGATGTGTCTGTCCACCGAGCAGACGATGGGAGGCGTTCTGCAGCCGTCCCGCTGAGGGACGTGCCTCAGGTCTCAGGCGAGCATGGGGTTGATTTGGCTTCTGCAGGCTGAGTGAAGGGAGTGTAGCTTCCCAAGGGACAGCAACCTATGGAGGAGTCCCAGTGGGGACCCTGGAGGAGCCCCCATGGCCACCTGACTACCACCTCTTCTCTTGGTGACGCCAAAAGCTCAGTCCCCAAGTTTGAGGTGTGCTGGAAAGTGCTTTATCTTCCTGAGTTGCTGCTTCGTCCAAAGTTAGAAGGTTAACTACAGCCACAGCGGAATCAAAAAAAGGTGTCCTGGGCTTCTCAGAAGTGGCGGGGTCACAGGCTGGAGTGGATCTGAGGCCAAGTCTCCAGGTGGCCCTACAGCCTCATCCTAAGTTCAACTCGCTGCGGGAAGGACTGCGACCAGGCTAACCTGAGGCCCACTGCTGCTCTTAACGGTTTTTGTTTTTTTGAGACACTGGAGTTTTTGAACTCAAGGTCTTCACCTTGAGCCACTCCACCAGCCCTTTTCTGTGATGGGTTTTTCGAGATAGGGTCTCTCAAACTATTTGCTCCGGCTGGCCTTGAACCACGATCCTCTTTATCTTTGCTTCCTGAGTAGCTAGGATTACAGGCATTAGCCACCAGTACCCGGATTAATTTCTTATTTATTAATAAATAGAAAAGCAGAAAGTTTTAAAATAACAATTTTCGCCTTAAAAAATAGTCACAGGTGGCAATACTGTGCTGACCAGATCCACAATCACAGTAAACACGTATGTGAAACCATGTGAGCTGCTCAGACCATGTGATCAACATGGTGCAACAAGCCCCAGGCACGGCCAAGACACAGCCACGCTCGAGGGCAGAGCTGCAGAAGCCTGCATCCTCAAGATGACTGCCACTCAGGCTGGGATCCCCAAGAGAGATATTCTGCTTCTCTTTCACACCATTGGGAAAAGACTGTTAGCCTCAACTTCCACACAAATCAACTGGTTTCACTACACCTCGACTGGCCAGCCAACCATTCTGATAACACCAGAAACGGAGCAGGAAGGTGTACGGTGGCTATTTCAACATACCAGGCAGAATTCTTCCAACAAGAGCGTCCAAGAGCCAAAAGGATTCTTCTTCACTCTTTGTGATAAGAATCAAATATCCTGCTATGAAATTCATTCCCTAGAAATCAGAAAAATGAGAAACAAAACTTAGAGTTTTAAACCACCAAGATTCTGCTAACTACTAGGTTCCCAGTTCTCTGGCAGGTCCCTAAAACCTGCATGATTCTAGAACAACTTTTGGTCAGAACTCAGGGTTTACTATCCAGTACTGTGCCTGGAAAAAAATGTCAACAGCTAAAAGAGCCCCCCCACCCCCACCCCCACCCCCACCCCATATGCCCCGTGGCATTCTAACTCAGAGCCTGTATTCCACCAGTGGCAACTTTGTAACAAGGCGGCACCACACCACTGGATCCAAACAAGTAGTCTAGTACTTAGGAACCGCATGGAACTCTACCTCAGAGAGGACACTGAACCAGTACCGCATTTACAAAACCAGTAAGGATCACGGTCTGACACCTGGGGACCAGGGATGGGCAGAGTTTTGCAGGGGAGACTTTTGGGAAATTCACAGTGCACACTTCACAAAGGGCAATGTTGCCAGAAACGTCAAGTACGAAACCTGTTCAGCTCAGAGCAGCACACGAGGATGGGGACTCTGTGCATTTGTGCCACTTCTGGGTGACTGGATTTTACACGACTTCTATTTTCCTCCTTTGGCTCACCTGTATCTTTTAAAATGAACATGTATTTCTCTAATAATAAGGAAAGAAAGCCAGCTTTGGTCAACCAATGAGCTGGGTTCAGGTGACGCCTAATGAGAGAGAGGCTGCAGAAGTATGGTGCTGAAGGCACTGCAGATCCCGTCCACACAGGGACCAGGTCACCTGTATCGGGAGCAAGTGCCCACCATCCAGTCTTCACACACCTGACCCGCACCACCACTTAGAAAGCAGGCCCAAGAATACGACTCAACAAACCAAAGTAAATGTGCAGAGATAACCGTATTGCAACCATGAAGGCAGAGAGCAGGTGAGGGTTCCTTGATAGAGAATGGACCTGTCCATGGGTCATAAGCCTGATGACCTGGGGACAATGGTGACCCATGGAAGCATGTATGGGCAGTCACCTTGGGTCAAAAGCAGAATCCAGTGCAGGGCATGGTGGCACACACCTGCATTCCCAGCACTCAAGAGACTGAGACAGGAGATTGTGGGTTTGAGGTTAGTCTCGGCTACATAGTAAGACCTGGTCTTGAAAAAGAGAAAAAGATTGAGAAGTGGTTCAAGTGGCAGAACACCTGCCTAGCAAGTATGAGGACCTGAACTCAAATTCCAGTAAGCAAAAAATAAATAAATAAACACACAAACAAACAGATAATAAATAAAACCCCAGAAAACACAAAACGCTCTCAAACATTCACTTGCACTGTGGCTGACTGCAGTTCGAGAGGGTGAGGGCTCCCGAGAAGGAGGCCACAGTTTTTGCAACCTGATCTTGGACTTGACCTCCCAGATGGAGACAGCAAACTACTCTCCAACCCCACCTACCTGCTGATTCACCTACAAATCCAAACAGGACTGAAATCCAAGGGCAGAACTTCCCAGGAAAGCAGCCTTCCCGCAGCTACCTCAAAGGTACACGGTCTGCGGTGCACCGCCCACACCACCCACAAATCTGCACAGGGCAACTGAGGTCCCAACACGTCTAGAACCTACTTAATTTCCTCCCCACCTGTCTCCAATCTTTACCCTCACCTTGTCTACCAAAAAGCCTCAACTAGGTGTTCCATTGTGTCTACCAGGAGATTAACTTTGCTTTAGCCTGTTGCCAGGCTCCTAACAGGCTGGTGAGCCAGACAGGTAAGGCTCACACCAGCAGAATGTCACTGCTGTGAACTTGTGAGGTGCCAACCTCCCCCATCACACAGAGGCTCACCTGGCAGTACCCCACACCTTGGTTGTGGAGCCCGTAGGCCAGCAGCACGTTGTACAGGGTGTTCTGTAGACAGGGCTCCGCCGTCTTCCGGAACCTCACGTTGTCTGGGAAGGTCCGGTTCAGGTCTGCATGGAAATTTACCAAAGGTCACTACTCCACCTCTGGGCAGCCCCAGAGGGCAGATGTGCAGAGTGCTGTCCAGGATTTCAAGAGTGGCTTCCCCCTGGGTGCTCCCTGAGCCACCCCACGGAAGGCCACCCTTCCCCTACTGTGCCAGGACAGCAGAGGCAGGGCCCCAACTATCCTCCCTCAGAAACGGGTGGCAGAGTGGCCTTCCCAGAGCTGCGGACTTCGGGCCCATTTTCACACTGGGCCAGCCTGGCCCACCTCACCGGGGCCCTCAACCTCCCTGAGGAAGGAGAAGTCCTAGCCTGGTGGCCAGGGATGGCAGGTAGAAACTGAGCACAAAGCCTCGGGAAGTTTCCCAGCTCTGAAGATCGAAAACAAGCTGGGAGAACATGGCGAGCCTCCCATCAGAGATAAACAGACAAACTGACCTCCAGGAACTAAATAAACTCACACTGCCGGCCTTTGTATGAACAGCCTCCCTGCCCAGTCCCTTCCTGCTCAACGGCCTCACCATACCCACTCTCCGAGGCCCCAAAGAGGCTCCTCCCCCTGGAATTCTAGATTCAATGAACAAACCCATCCAGGGAATGACAGCATCTTGCTCTTCCAGACTACGGAGGCAGCTGCGTTCACACGTGTAATACCCTCAACCATGCAGAGATTCCCCGCGTTTTGATGTCTTTCTTCAGGAAAGGAAAAGCCAGACGTGAACAGGGCTGGCAGTTATGTTACCCTGCATGAAGGTGGCTCTGTGGGCACCACTCTGTAAAACTGTTTATCCAGGTGCTCAAAACCGAAACAGAACTTGCATGCAACCCAGCAATTCCGCGTCTAGGCGCACGCCCAGAGGGAACAAAGACAGGGCCACAGCAGGTGTCGGCACACATTGCCAAGAGGTGTCCATCAAGGGCAGAGAGAGATAGGTGCACATATGGAATAGTGTGCACCTTTAACAAGAAAGAAAAAGCAACTTGGAAGGACCTTAAGGACCTGATGCTCAGGAACATGAGTCAGTCACAGAAGGACAACTCTGTGTGACTCCTCCTCCGAGTCCCTAGAGCAGTCAGAGAGACAGGAAACAGAATGACAGGTGCCAAGAGCAGGGGGGTGGGAGTTGGGGACTGGCATTCAGTAGGTTCCAATTTAGCAAAGAAAAATGGTGACTTTATGTTTTCCAAAAATGCACTACCCTGGGCCTTGGAAATCATTTCCAAACAAACAGCAATACTGTATTTTATTCAGTATGCACAGCCTCCCATGAACCCCTGCTTCCCAGCCCCAGTCAGTATCTGTGCCCTGCTGAATGACGACCCATGCTGTGCTTCTGTGCTGAGACCAGGATGCAGCCTTGGCCCCACACAGCCTGTCTCCCCATCCTCCCCGCTCTAGCTCTGTGGACTGAGACCCAGGAAGACAGAGGGAGGCACATCAGGGACACCCTACTCCCTCAACCTCTCAGTCCTGCGAGTAATTGGGTTTATTTAAAAATTAAGAACGTCATGTTTTCGTCAGTTTCTCAAACCCTCTTAAAATTGGAAAGGCTGGTGGTTTCCTAAAACTCTAATATTCAATTTAGGTTCAAATTGTCTTTGCACTTTGAACTTTTGAGAGCCAGTAGCCCTGTGCCCTTGGTCAACAAGAACCCCTGAAGGACAGAGAAAGGCCAGGCAGCACCACCAGCACCCGGGACAGTCACAATAGCTACCTGGCTTATGGCACCACAGGCCCAGGGAGCAATCACTGCATGCACACATGTACTGACCCCACGTGCTTGTCCCCCATGGCCACTGTGCCTCTGTGCCACGACAACGCTGGCTGCCCAAGCTCCAGAGACTTTCCGTGAGAGAAATAGGGTCTGTTCAAGACTCCAACTACTCACTCCTGAGCAGACACTCAGTATTTGAAGGATGGATTAAAAACACTGTTCTCCCTACAACTGTATCAGCTGTCATTCTTTCCCAGAATACAATTCCAAGTTAAAATCAGTTGTATCTGTAACAATGCAAGTTTCTTGTATGGACACAGCAGGTCCTCACTCCTGGTCTACCCCCACAGTTAAATGAGGGGCCCAGCCACCTACCTGTCCTGATGGCTTCCTCCAGGCTGGAATTTCTCTCTCCCTGGAGAAGTCGGTGGTAATATCCAGGGTTCTGGTCCATCTGGGCCTGGGCTCCACTTACAGCCATCCAGACCCGGGCCCGGTGCTCCAGCGGGATACCTTTCCGGACATAGCGCTTCACTGAAATGAGAGGGGGGATGTTAAGTGCTCAGAATCCAAGGGGACCAGGCTCCCCTTCCCTCCCCTCCACCTTAGATCACAGCACTGAGCTCAGGACGCAGAGGGGCCTGGCCTCCCCCCCACCTCCAGCCTTCAGCTCGAGAGCTTACCTCCCTAAATCAGCATGAAACGGGGCTAAAAACCTGTCTATCTCCACCAAAACTGGCACACACTCTAAAAATCCTCTAAAATGGATTGCTCTCCCTCCTCAACAGCACACAATCAGGTATATGTGCTAACCACTGAGGCCTCTACTTCACTGTCCAGCTGCTGGGGAAGGTCATTCAGGATCCTTTCATACCACCAGCCCTGCAAGCTACATACTAGGCTATGAGGACGGGAAGCTAGACAACTGGGGCCTTCCCCAGGCTCCTGCTCCAGGAAAGACTTGGCCTCAGACGGCCACTGAGCTGAGAGCAGAGGCCAGGCTGGAGTGTGACTCAGTGTTAGAAGGTATGCTTAGCATGTGCAAAGCTTTGGGCTCCAGGCCTAGCACAAAAAAGGAACAAAAGCAAAACAGCAAGACAAAAAGCCCCTGGAGGTGGCACCAAGACATGTGGCTGCTTTGCTGACTTGGTTGCTGCAGTCAGAGGGAGCACAGGCTAAGGGACAGCTTCAGGCTGGCCGAACTTGGAGGACCTCGTGCACCAGGCTCCGGCACTGGCTCTTACCTGGAGGTGAAGAAGCAGTGACCCTGGCCAGTGGCTTTTGACTGAGGGGCAGAAACCATTGTGAGGCCAAGGTGTGCATACCCTTGTGCAGGACTGGCCCAGTATGCTGAGTCTTCATTATGTAGGAATAATTTTATTGAAAATAAGTGAAAAAGTCATTAGCTTTTTTCTTTTTTTGGTGGTACTGGGGTTTGAACTCAGGGCCTTACACTTGCCACTTGAGCCACTCTGCCAGTCCTGTGTGTGTGTGTGTGTGTGTGTGTGTGTGTGTGTGTGTGTGTTGAGTTTTTTCAAGATAAGGTCTCTCGAACTATTTGCCCAGGGCTGGCTTCGAACCGCAATCCTTCTGAGCTCTGTCTCCTGACTAGTAATTAGCAGTTTTCTAACGGCCACAGAAACATAAGATCAGAAGGCAAAAACCACGAGTTACTTCAATTAATCAATACCAAGTAATCTACACGGAAGCAAAAGATCTGTGAGACTAACATTTGCATTAATTCCATTGAGCCCAGGACTGCTACCCTGTGTGTACCCTTACTGACTTTAAAATGCAAAGCAGCCATTTTCAAAGCCAATACTCAACGCTTTGCTGTTTGCCTTTGAAATCACATTACAAATCTCATTGTTTAAAAATAACCCATAATTCAGGAAGTGCTATAATTTGGATATTAAATGTCTCCCAAAGGCCCACAAGTGGAAGGCGTGGTCCCCAGGGCACTGCTACGAGGAGGTAATAGAACCTTTAGGAAGTGGGGCCTAGTGGGAGCCATTTAGGTAGCTGAGGATTCTGCCTTTGAAATGGATTGTGAGACCCTGGTCTCTTCTCTTCCTCTCTCTTTTTTTGCTTCCTGCCCAGGAGGTGAGCAATTTTTCTCAGCCATATGCTCCCGCCATGATGTGCCACCACCAGCCCAAAGCAACACAGACACCTGCTCTGCTATGACTTACCAGCTTCACACCTGGAGCATGCCTGCTTCCTTATCTGTCAGAGTCAGCACTTAACCCAGCCTCTGAATACCCAGGAGGGAGCCACTCAGAGGTGCAGAAGCCACTTCAACAGACTTCTGCTACTTTTTGACAATTTGTTACCTGAAGTTACACAGGAGCCCGGGACTGGAGGTGTGGCTCAAGCAGTAGAGTACCTGCCTTGCAGTGTGGAGGCCTGAGTTCAAAACCCCAGTACCACCAAAAAAAAAAAAAAAAAAAAAAAAGCAGAGGAGCCCGGACTGACCTCCCAGGCTAGCCACAGATGGTTGCTAGCACTTGAAGAAAGCACCCAGAGAACGAGCTGCCACCTGTCTGTACCAACCAAGTCCAGAAAAATCCCCAGGTCTGGGGCACTTGCCTTTGAAAAGGCTCCCGTAATTTACTCTGAGTTCAGCCAATGCTACATTCTACCCACTAAGATGGAATGTTAGTGGCCAATGGCCATCACCTCCCTGCTGCAATCAATCCCTCCTGTCACGATGGGAAAGGGAGCACAAGTGTGCAAAGCTGCAGGAGAAGAATCCTGTATTCATTCTGAAGGGCTCCTACTAGGCATTTGCCATGGAAAAGAAGAAAATACAGCATTCAACATACCACACACCGAGTGCTCATCAGGCTAAATGAGAACGGTCATCTTAAGACATATCAAATGCTGAGATGTGCAGGTAAATGAAAGCACTCAGGTAGGTGAAAATCCTCCAAAAAGAGCAAGAATGCCCAGTATGTCTGAGAGAGCAAGGTAAGGCTAGGCCAGGGTTAGAGTGAGATGCTGGGCAGAGCGTGCTGAAGCTCGAGGCTGGATCTGAAACTGAGCCTCTTGGCCCCGCACCACCCCAAGGCTCACCCTTCTAGGCCAGGCAATCTTTCCCCTGGCTTCTCATTTCTGGAATAACTCGTCTGCTCCTGTTTCATGGCTAGTGATCCTCTTGGAGGTTTGCCAGCACTATGGGGTCCCTGACGTCACACCCGGAAACCACACCCCACACAGGCAGGGACACTAGACTCCAAGCCACACCCCAGACTAACCAGGGTCCTGTTTCTGGCCAGAACATCAGGCTAAGGCTCTCTGCCCTGACTCTGGGCCCCCTCCCTCAGGCTGTGGGCTCACCAGGAGTCACTCCCAAGCCTGTTTGTACCAATTATTCTTGTTACCATAATTACAGTCTAATTAACATTACGTAATCAAAGAAATATGAAAGCAAAAAGAAGGCTGCTACTTCAATAATAGCCAAGTTAAAATTTTAGAAAGAGCTGAGACAAGTGCTCAAAGCAAAGCAAAACAAAACATAACCCACACAATTAGGTGTAAGACAACTGCAAAGGACTGGGCTGGGGTGAAGATCTGCTTGCATTTTCCACTAGGGTTGCTTCCAAAATGACTTTTATTCCACTCTACTTGGATAATGGAGCAATGGAGACAAGGCCCTGAGTGTGGCTTCCATGAGCAAGAACGTATAGACCCACAGATTCAAAGAAACGGAACACAACGGGGCGGAACCAAATGGCAAAATCGGACAGGAGGATGGATGTGCACTGCTTTAGGTAAAAGCAAAAGGTGTGTGCACAGACCTGCATCGTGCAGGAATGCTCTGTTCTGACTGATCTCATGGCCAGTCCCGTCTTAGCCATGGCCACAGCACAGAGCCATTTCCTGCACGAAAGGCCAAGTGCAGAACCATGGGTGCATCTGAATGTGCATGCATGTGTACGTGTTTGTGTGTGTGTGTGCGCAGCTGTTCCTGAGGACAGCTAAGGATGGTCCCCAGTGGTCACCTCTACAGGAGGCTGGAGCCTGGGATGGGAGAGAAATAACTATATTTTATAGCATTTAGTATGATTAAGGTATTTACTATGTGCATAAATTATGGTTTTAAGTATACATGTAACACTTTTTAAAGTTAAAAGACCAGTCAACTTTTAAGGATAAAACCAAAAGAAAAAAAAAAAGTTAGATGCTCACTGGAAACACACTACTACCACAAGCATGGGACAACTGTGAAGGGGGCATTTGTAGGATGCACACAAGATATTTGCTCTAGGGTCTATAAAGCAAAGAAAGACCAACTCTGAGGTCCCTTTCAGCTCTGTGACTTCATGCAATGCAAGGTCAAGCCCAAGAGTCTCCATCGTACCCCATGGACAACAGCCCTGGAGGGAGGGCTCAATCCCCGCAACCAATCACACAGCAGGCTGTAGAGATCAGCCTCCTCCCCCCTGTCATGGACCCCACAAGTGTTTCCAGAACACCTACTATAGGCCCAGTTCTCGAACCCTCAAGCCCCTTCAAGAGCCAGCTTTCTCTGCTACCCATGGCTAACTAACTGCATCCCCAGCTCTCTGGCCAGTGCAGGGTCCTTGGCTTCTTCACTCCCCTTCCTCCTCCCAGTACTCCAGTCACCCAACCCTGCACCACCATTAATACTGCCATCACCACCAACACTCCTGCTTTCAGGAGAATTCGCAGGCACAATTAACCAAAGCCCTCACCACCCTGCATGGTAGTCGTGTCACCCTCGGTCTATCAGACATGGCAGGTTAACACCTCACTCACTCAGCAAATACAAAATCCCCATCCTGCCCAAGCCACATTCCATGTCCCCAAGATTCAGCAGTGACAATAAACATCCCTGTGGACATTTGTAGAAGGGTACACAAATGACTGACAAAAAAAAAAAAAATGAGATGTGTGCCTGTAATCCCAGCTACTTTGGGAGGCTGAGATCAGGAGGACCTGGGTTCCAGGCCAGCCGAGGGAAATAGTTTGCGAGACCCCCAGTTCCAAAATAATCAGAGCAAAATGGATTGGATGGAGTTGTGGATCAAGCAGTAGAGTATCTGCTTTGCAAATGCAAAGCCCTGAGTTCAAACCCCAGTCTTACAAAAAACAAAAAAAGAAGAGTGCTGCTTAAGTAATGAGAAAAAAAGGGCTGGGAAAGGAGGTGTGGCTGTCTGGTGAGGGTCTGGGAGTCTGGGGAGAGCCCAGAGGGCAGGGGAGGGGGAGATTTGCCACAGGACTTGGGAGGGCCCTGCCCCAGCTGATTTTGAAGTTAAGAGACCTGTTTTCTTTCAGGCCCCCAAGCATGTATATGGCTCCTAATTTGGAAAGGATGGCCCTTAGGGCTCAGGGAAGTGTCTATCCACAAGCATTGACCTTGAAGGCTCTGCTCCCAACCCGCCCAAGATTGCAGTCCTCCCCAGCTCCTCCCGGAAAGAGTGTGAACTTTGCCCATCCTGGGTAAGAGGGTGTGGTGAGCTCGGTAGGTGGCTGGATCTGGTTCTCCAGGCCCCCTGCTCCGTGGCACTGCCCCAGCGACACACGGGCCGGGTTCTCCCACCCCAGGCAGGGTCCGAGGTGCACTGGTCCAGCTACCAGGGTCGTGGAGCAGAGGGTCGCGGGCAGAGAAAAAGTCGGGGTAGGGGACACACGGTCGCGCTGCACAGGGTCGCAGCAGAGGGCGGAGGCTCCACTCACCTGTCACGCTTTTCCGGACGCCACTGCTCCCCTTCAGAAGTTTGGACCATTTTATGGCTCTCTTGGTGAGTATTACCAGATAGGTCGAAAAGAATTTCTCGTAAGCTACATAATCAAAGTCTTCCGGCCTTTCGAACCCATACGGATCGACCCTACAACACAAAGAAGAACCCGTTTCGCGTATGAAGTTTCCACGCCCACGGGAGTCTGGCTCCGGTCCAGGGCGCGCGTGGCTCGCGCTCCTCCCCACCTCCTCTCCCCGTTCTCTGTCCCCTTTCCTCCCTCCCCTCCCCTACCCCCGGGACACGCGACGCGACCCCGCACAGCAGCGGACCCGGCTCGGAACTGGTTCTGCGGGAGCGCCAGGACCCTGGACCCCAGCCTCCAAACCAACCTGGGCACCCGGTCCCGCGCCGCCTGCGAGCGCTCGGCGGGCTCCATGCGGAGAAGGGTCGCAGGCCCCGCTGGACCGCAGACCCCAGGGCTGCGCGGGACCCTAGTGCGCCGTGGGTCCCGAGCTCGCGAGTCCTTCCGGCGGGGGCGGGGGCGATTCGGAGGGGGCGGGGCCTGGGCGGGGCGATTTGTGCGGGGGCGGGGCCAGGGTGGGAGGGGTGGGGCCAGTGCGGGAAGGCGGGGCCCTCGAGGAGATGGGCGTGTCCAGGGCGAGGGTCCCAGGGCGCGCAGGCCTTGTGCACCTGCTCCCACGGCTGGTGGGATGAGACCCGACCCCGCGCCCAGGACGCGACCCAGACAAAGGTTAGAGGACGTGGATTCAGTTTGGGTCTCCGAGCGTCTCCAGATCTCAGGACCTCACGGACCAGACTTGGGAAATCGGACTCCTGTTTGGGTTTTTTTATGTAGAAAAGGAGCGTCGTGTTTTCCATCAGCTCCTCTCCATTTCAGGGCTGCAATCATACGAATTTGAAGGCGCCCATCCGGAAACACCCTCCTGGTCCCCGCCTCTCCAAACTCAGGGGTGAGGGGACCCAGGTTGCGGAGCCAGCGTCCCCCTGGTCCAGCCTGGGCCCCGTTTCGGTGCAGGCGTTCAGGGCCCGGGGAAGGCGCAGCTGGTCGGGCATCCGCGCTCCGAAACCGCAGGCGGACGCCTCCCGCCCTTTGCGCGCTGTGCGGTCACAGCCGGCGCTCCAAGATCCCTATCGGCCTCCACCGCAAGGGGACAGGCCACCTCGCCCGCCCCTTCCTGTGGTCCGCGTCGCCGTCTGTGTCCTGAGATTTAAAGGGCATGGGAGCGTGGAAACCACACCTGCACCGCCGTTCTGGTACCGGCAAGAGGCCACCAGTAACTTGCCCAGAATGAGTGTTTTGGCAGCGAGGTGAGGGAAAAGGAGGTGTTTTTGCTGCCTCAGGCCGCCCCCCCTTCCTCCCCCCGCCTTTAAATGTCAGCACGGGGGGGGGGAGGTCAAGCAATGTGGAAGGTACTTTCTCTCCATGTATGGCAGAGCCTTTGCACAGGACCTGTCCCAAAGGCAGCCTCAGCCTCCTGGAAGGATCTGATACATGGGGCAATGGTGCCCTCAGCCCGGCTTTGAGAACTAACTGCAGATCGTCGTTCCCAAATGTTTCCTCTGAGCATTTAACAGGGAGCCTGGAAAGAAACTTGTAGAACTGAACTGGGTCCTGCATCCATCCCCAACATGTGTGTCTGTTTTCAACCTCTCCATCCATACCCTGGAAGGAAATTTCTTGCTGGACTGAGCATACCTGAAATTCCAGTTCCTAGGGTTGCCCAGTAACTGGTTCTGAGAGAAAAACTTGCAGTGGCCAGCACAGCCCAGCAGCTAGTTGCTTTTGAAAGGCAAGGTGACCTTTCTTTCCCCAGAGAGAGGCAGCCCTGGCCTGCACTCTGACCTTCTGTGGACCTTTCGCTGGCAGAGACTCAAATCTGCAGAGTGGCACACCCTAGTCCCTCATGAGCCCTCCTCTTGGCCTGGCCATACAGACCAGGAGTGGAGTTAGCCTGGGCCCCAGGAATTTTGGCCTCTAGTTTTGCTGTTCTTTCCTTCCTGCTCAAGCCACAGATGGAGCAGTTGCCATCCAAGCAAATGAGGTTTTGACAGCTCCACTTCCACAGCACCAGAGCTTCACTGGAGCCCTGGACACCACTCTTTGCACAGTTCCTGCCCTTCTGCTGTGGGGAGTGGGGAGACACCTTGGTCCCTCTCGTGGCCTTGGAGAGGCCTGTGGCTCTGACACAGAACGGGAAACACAGGCTGGGCCTCCTGCACCTTGAGAATTTTGGAGCCAGATGTGACCAGTGTGTCATGCTGTGGGGAGTGAGTTAGATAAGAGCGGCTGCCCTCCAGGAAGAGTGGAGAGGAAAGATAGGAAATGCTGCCTGAAGGGTGCATATGGCCAGCAGCCAGAGCAAGGCAGAGCTACAGGTCCCCACCCGTCTCCCCCTTTCCAGCCAAATGCCCACTTAGGGCCAGGAAATGGCTGGTCCACAGTGACTTAAAGTAACCTCTCCCAGAGCCAAGTGTCCTGAGAACAAGGCACCTTTTACAAAGGGGCCAGCCAGGATTACCTATGACCCACGGAGCCCACACCCTCCTCCTTCCCACGCAGTGAGGCTGCAGCACTAAAGCCTCCAGCAGCAAAGTGGGGTGCAGACTCGGTTGTCTCCCAGAACCCAAAGGAAGTCTGGGCATGCTTAAAGAACACAGCAGTTCAGTGGCTGTCCCCTCAGACTGGAGGAAATCCAGGCAAGCCCCCAATAGCAGCCAAGACTGGGGCAAGTAGACAGGATTTTAGTGGAAGGACAGATAGTAACAGCTGAATCTGCTGGTCAGTCATCAGTCCCAGTCACCAAGGTGGTCAGCAGACAGTGAGGGCTCCCTGCTGCCCCATGCTGTAGATGGAGTCTTTTCTGGGGGCTCCTATCCTTGATTGGCCCCAGCGCCATTCAGGCTTCTCGCTGTGCTGGCCATTATAGAGCAAGGGGGACAGGAACAAAGGGACAGGTAGGCAGGATGGTTTGCTACGTCTTCCACATAGGAAATTAACCCTGAGGGGCTGCAGAGCACAGGGCATGTGAGGCCATGGGTCCTTATTCTCCAGAGTTGTGCCAGGGCCTGGGACTCTGCATTGCTCAGGTCCATGGGCCGTGGATTGCCTGCATGGCTAGGGCTGTGGAACCACGTGATCCAGTTCCAAAGGGGGCTGGAGATGGAAAGGGAGGGGCAGTGCTGTTTAAGAGACTCCACCTGCAACACGTGGGCATATGACCAGCGGGAGGACTTGCTGGCCCTCGATGAACATCAGATGAGGCTAAGAGCGACTGCTCTGGCATGTGTGAAGGAAACTGCCTTGAGACTGTTGCGCTGTATTTGATAGATATATGCATTGTTACTTTTTCATGGAAATTGACACTGTTGAACTTTACCTAGGTCCTGTGAGCCTGAAAACACGAGGATAAAGAACCTCCCTCCTTCACACTGCCCCATGGATGATAGATGAAACTGACCATGCCCCCTTGTCCCCTGTGACAGAGCCAGACACAGACCCTCCTGCCACATTTGCCTCATGAAGCCTATTGGTCCTAGAATTCTCTGTCCCTGACCTTTGCCCTCTGCCTGAGCAGGGCCCCTCTGGGAAGAAGATTCCCTGACTGCCCGTCAGCCAAGCCTCATCCTCACAGAGCTCTCCCTAGCCTCCAGGGTCACTCCAGAAGGGTACAAATGGCAGGTGTGATTTTGGAGCTAAGATTGTGGAGCCTAGCACCTGCTGTGGGGCGTCCAGTGAAGACAGGGAACACTGGGCTCTGGCCTGGGCTTGGGCTCCACTCAGGTGGGAAAATAAGGTTCCAGCCTCATGGAGGGATGTCACAGAAGACACAGGACCACATGCAAACCACTGTAGGAGAAAACATCCCCAGATGGGATTCTTCTTTTTTGAGGGCGAGGGGCACTGGGATTTGAACTTACACATCTACCACTAGAGCCATGTCTCCAGCCCTTTTCATTCTGGTTATTTTAGAGATAAGGTCTTACTTTTTGCCCAGGCTGAGCACTATTTTTACACTTGCCACCATCTCTGGGATGACAGGCATATGTCACTATACCCATTTTTACTCCCTTGAGATGGGATCTTGCAAACTTTTTTTGCACAGACTGGCCTGGGACTGTTAGGTAGCAGTTAGCCATGAGTGATGGGGACTTGCCAAGGAAACCGGAAATGGAGAAATCCTCAAAGTCTCTGAGGGAAAAACACTTAAGAGCCTCTTTTAGGATCAAAATAGCTCATCAAGGTCATGGGATGTCACAAGAGGTTTTTGAGTCACCCACCCGAAGGAGGATCACCATCAGTTCCTGAAACAAAAGATCTTCAAAGCAAAGACCCAGGCCTGGAGACCATATCCGAGAGAACAGGTAGACCCTTTAATGATTAGCACACTGAAAGTCTGTAGACCTACCCTAGCCTTGTGTCCTGGTCCTAAGGGGACTTAACGCTCCAAGGCCTTCCACCTAATAAAAACTGGTGCCAGGGTGAAAATAATTGTCAATCTCACCTCTCTCTAGAGATGACCCTCTTTTAGTTTGTTAAAAGTATAATAAACTTTTCTAATAAACTTTCCTATCACTTCCACTATGTTCTCTTGTCTTGCCTGAATTCTTTCACTGAATGCAAGGACCAAGTTAGATAGCTGTGCTGGCTTTCTGATATTTTTTGGTTGACTTTCTGGTAACAAAATCACAATCCTCTTGATCTTTGCCTCCCAAGTAGCAAGAATTACAGGCATGCACCACTGGTGCCTGGTTCCTCCTGGTTTTTGGAGGTGAATTTTCTTTGCAAATCCAGTAAGCTGCTCAGACTTTCTGGGCCAGGGCTGATCCAAAGCCAGGTGGGCAAAGTTCAGCTCCTCCCGGCCTTTCCTGACTGGTTTGTTTTCTGAGGAGCAGAGGATGGGAGGTAGAAGAGACTCGTGACTACTTTTCTTTAACATTTTAATTAGCATATATCAGTTGGGGGGGGTTCGGTGTAGCATTTGCATATATGTTTATAAGGCATCTGGGTTAGGTTCATCCCACCATCATTCTCCTTTCCCACCCCTCCCCCCACTTAACCATGGCTCCCTTTTTAAAGAAGTCCCTGTAACTTCAGCTGTATTTGTAGCTGGTCTTTCAACAGCTTTGACAGCAAACGTGTCAGAGAGAACCCAGGGGGGAGCTGAATCAGAGCTGCGTCAGAGTTGCTGGACCCCGTGCACTACACTCGGGATTTGTGGCAATGCTTCATTCTAAAAAACCGAGCCAAGCAGAGGTTGCTTTTATACAGACAAAGAACAGACAGCGGATTGGTTGTTATAAGTTACTTTCCCCAGACAGGCACTGGTGGCTCATGCTTGTAATCCTAGCTACTCAGAGGCAGAGATCAGGAGGATCGTAGTTCAAAGCCAGCCCAGGCAAATAGATTGTAAAACC